ACACTAAACAGAGACGGAACTATATTATTGCCTGTTCTATTCAATATTGTTCAACTTATCTCTCTCGCACATACACATAAACGGCGACCTCAGTCCCTTTCTTTCCGTCCACGATTTCTTTATTCAGTATGGTTTTAAAGTTGACGTAAGACCGTTGTCGACGTGGTTTTGATTCGCGACTTGTTTATTTTTGTGTCAAATCAAAACTTTTGATTTCGAAACGATGGAGCTCAGGTAAAAAAACAATTTGAAACAGTGATGGATTTATTTTAGGGCGGTGAATTAATTTCTTGACTGTTTTATTTTATTTATTTAAAATGTCTAAAGAGACTGTAGTGTACTTTTGGCCAGTTGTTTTGAGTCTGATATACTTTGTGGAGGCGGGGATGATTGGTGATCAGTGCGACTGGACTGGCAGGTAAGTCTTATTCTCCGATTATTTTGTTTACTTTTTTAGAATATAAACAAAATTTGACTTTTAGAAATTAACATATTCTGCATAGTTTACCTATTTCTTAAGAAATATAAATAAAAAAAAAAATAATACGATCAAATAGTGTAAATATTACTTAATATTTGTTAAGATAATCTCTATTACACACGTACATCGTTATAACTTACTATTTTAGGCAATGTAACAGAGAATTAAAACTAAGAAATGCCTAACAAGACAAGAATAGAGCTTGTACGTTACGCTAATTACTTTGCCGTAAATTAATTAGATTTAAAAAAAATACATTACGATTGTACTCTTCGATTACCTGTAAGTTGGCTAAAATATAGAGTATAGTAAAAGAGAATTCTTATTAGAAGTGGAATTCCAGGATACGTTTAAATACCTTGGTCGATTTAAAATTACAATAAAAAAATCGATTGCAGCTCGAGGTGCCAAATTTGCTTGAAATGTTATTTAACGGTCGTGTGTCCAAAATTAGCATGGAATGGATGTATTTTTGTTTATTGTCTTAACTTTTTATTCAACAATCAAGAATGCGAAAATTACACTTAAGCAATGTTAAGTAATGCTGAATGGGTTTGCTGCTGTGCGATTTAGAAGTTTTTAAGACACGCTATCCTTCATTTATTTACATTAAACGTCCTTAATGTTAATGATAATTTAATGTATGTCTAGAATAGAGCAGCAATGAGTATGACTGAGTTTTATGGTAATGAAGTAATTGTTACATTGTAATTTCTTAATATTTCCTAGCAAATAGTTTAATATGAAGTATAGTTATATATTTCTCTAACTCTATCTTTTCCTCTTTTATTTATGTCGACACTATAGCAATTATGTTACTTTTAAATAAGAGTGCATTGACATTAGGCAACAGACGCAGAAAAAAAACTGATTGAAATATTTTCAATTAAAAAGTGGATGCGGCAAAAAAAACGGAACAAGTGCAGGTGTGCAAATAGGACTCACGCCTTGAGAGTTCCGTATAAACCTAATTATGCTATGATGAATGCAAACTGGTGTGAAACCTCATTACATACCAAATTTCACGACTCAACGAAGAAATTTCACGATAACCCGACGTGAAGTAAAATATGGCCTTTGATGGCAGTTTGCGAGCGTAAGATACGGCACATAAAATAATTTTACATGGCCGTTTCATTTGATTGGATTGTCATTATAAGGTTTACAAATATATAATAAAAATACTAGCTGACGCGGCAAACATTGTTTTGATGTATGAATCATTTCTAGTTTTTTAATGCCACACCATAAAAAATAACCAAGAAAAATTTGTCCAAAAATATTTAAAACAATTTTTTTAGGGTGAGCCCTTAATATTTAGGGGTATAAAAATTTGTTATAAACCTATTCTCATACCCACTGAATATACATATAAAATTTCATCAAAATCGGTCAAGCCGTTTCGGAGGAGTATAAACACTAAAACTGCGACACAAGAATTTTATATACTAGAAGATATTGTCTTTATAGTGGATTGTCTTATAAGCCTAATTTGCTTATAATAACAATACAGTGTATTGTTGACCAGAAGGACAAACGGACAACACATAAAAAGTGTTTGACTGTAATTTGTAGTGGACAGTTTTCTGTGGTAGGACCACGCAGCAGTCTCCTGCTGCATGAATTTGCAGATTCGTCCGGTTAAGTATCACGACCTCACAGAAGACCGACGTGACCCAGTTTAAAGGTGATACGTATCTGCAAGCCTACGAGCGTCGTAGGTGTCAATGGGCGGTGCTTATCACTTAACATCAGGTGAATCGCCATCTCGCTTGCCACCTTCTCACATAAAAACAGACACCTACGCCCCTAATTGACAATAAGGTGTTTTACCACATGGACCGATGACGAACGGCAAGGGTTCTTCATCGATTATGCTTCGGAACCCTAAATAGGGCCATCATAACTCGACGTAATTGTTATTTGCTCTCACCCCGGAAACGTTGCGAGGGGTCGATAGTTTCCCATTGACCGTGGGGTTGAGGCGTGGGAATGTACAGTGGTGACTTTTCTCGTCATCCCCCGCCGTCCGCGGCCACGTGACCCTTCCGCCCACTTCCGTCTGTGTTCCACATCACATTTCGATCCGCCGATAATTAATTTAACGACAACGGCACATTAGTTAACATCGTTTAAGAGGGATGCACGTACTCTTAAATAAATAATAAATCGCATTGATGTTACTGCTACTACTGTTATCTATAATCTCCTTTCCTAACTACATCTGCCATTTTTAATGGTACATTTAAGGTTAAATAAGTGCAATTGTTTGATTGGTATTCTCAAAAGTAAGATTGAAGTTTTTCATTACCAAATAACAGCACGCTAAAGTATAATATATAATTTTATAGATAGAAGTGAACTGAACTTAAGTGCATTACTTTAGAAATAGATGCAACTGTTGCAAGTACGTCAAATATGAGTCGGTTCCGTTCGTTCTATATTCAGCCAATTTTATAGTTATCAAACCACATAAAATTACATTACGATGATAAGTATAACTTGTGCATATAAAATTACTACGTTTTCTAAATTCACTTCCTTCCGACTAATGTCTATCAATTTTTATTAAATTCGAATCTTTGTTATTCTGAATTTAATTATTAAAAATAAAACGGCCAGTTGCTACAATTGAGACATTGATAATTTTTATTTTTATAAACCGATTACAAAAACAATCGGCCAGTTGCTATCATATACCTATCTATTGCATTCGTAACACGCTGTACCAGGAGCAATGTATGACGGAGCAATAACGCTAATCGCTAATAGCTTAACACAAAGCGGCGGAGAGTGAGAACAAAGGTCGGCCGAGACACCAGCCGCTCGGCAGGGCTGGCAAAAAAGCAAATTGAGTGTCAATGCACCAGCATCGGCTGTCGGGCATTGTGGGGCATTCAAGTTCGTACATTAATATTTATTAGGGAGGGAGTGCACGAGGGGACCGAGATCTGTTTATTATAATATCCTCCTATTATAACGCGTTCGCACGATACGCGCCCGACTGTGATGCTGAGACAAGCAGTGCGACACAGTTTTTTTCATTTCTTTCTTCGACTACACAAGCCGAGTCGTCGTGATTTGTTTCTATTACATAATAGAATGCAAGATGAGTTTCAGACGTTAGAGGGGAAATTAATTAACTAAGCTCAGTAACACCATAAAGCGAACAGTTTATAGTCCTACGGATTTGATCGCGTCTAATTTTTTTTTCAAATTCCATATAATGCAATGCAGCATCCGTGACCCGGGTATTCTAAAGTGTTTTATATCCTAATTTTCAACATAACCCTATCGATTATCGATCTATTAAATAATCAAACGATGAACCGTGCTTAGGTTTTAAAGTTTTTATTTCATTAACATTAAAAAAAATCATTTAAAAATGAAACGTGATATTATTCTTAGTAGTGATATTATTTCAAAAGGAGAAGAACAGAAACAGATATATCGCGGGAACAAGTTATAAATAGTTTCATAATTCGTCATCTATACGAGTGTGTACCGCTCAATAAAACATTTTAATTTCACATTCCGAAGAGAATGTGACGTCACTTTAATAACATTAATTGTCTAATTAAATTGCCCCACGCACTGGCATTGCGGTCGCGTAAGAAACGGATGTGCGCAATGACATTGTCAACTTGGCGGAAAAGAAAAAAAAATCGGCGACACACAAGTCCCGCGTTAAATTTCTTCCAATATGGCGCCATACGCTAAGCTTACGCGTGTAAAAATGCAATCCGAATCGTTCCGGACTTTCGTTTTTTAATACAACTTTCATGCCCCTGTTGTATATAGATAGTTTATTTGGATAGTGATTGTTAGTTAGTGCTTTAGAATTTAATATGTCATACGAATTGTCAATATAGTTTTACACTACACGAAGATAGTTCGGGGTTGACAAACTAAAAGACAAGAATTTTAACTTTTTGATTTTTACCTTTATCGTACCAGCTTTTCCTAATCTAGGCTATGGACTTTGTAAAGCTAAAGTTCGCGCAATAACAACGTTTCGAAGATTTTTTTACGATGGATTGTTACTTAGTTCGTTTTATTAGTTAAATTAGTTACTACTTACGATGGGTAAAGCGTTTAATTCATGTTAAAACCGGAAGACATTCCCCTTTTTACTTCATGTGTCTTAGTTCTGTCATACATTGCCAAAGGATCGTGTGATTATTTCGGTTAACGAACCGGTCGTGTTATCTATCAAAATCCTACGCACTCGCTTCCTGGGTAAAATGCCATTTTCTAACTTCAATGGTTATTAAAATTTTTAAATACTGGTAACTCGGTGAATGCAGAGAGCAATTAAAAAAACATGAAACTTTTTTTTATACAATTTTTTATGTTTTATTATAAATTACGAAACGGACATTATAAAACATGTAGATAAACTACCGTACATTGAGATTTCTGTTTAGCGTCGGGGCGCAAATCCAAACGACGTGGGATCGGGAGTGGGTAGGGGCGAAAAACAAAACTTTTCATCCGTTTCGTCTGCAAATTTTAATTAATGATCATGGTAAGGGCGCTCATGGGAACGCGTTTTGCGGTTCCGTTTCCCGAAACCGGCGCGCATGGTGTCACCAAGCGCGGATGCGGCTATCTCTGGCCACGGGCCGCGATAAGCACCGCCCGGCCGCTGTCCATATGGCGGCCCGGGCTGCCAAATCAAGCGTGGTTTACCCCGGAAGGGCCCGTTGCTCGCTCCCTATACCGGAGAATCCGGAATAACGACCCTCAGCGCTTACGGCGGTAATATTGACCGCCCACTTTAAGCTTATTCTCGCGCTACCGTTCATTCGGGATTTTTTTTGTTGATAAAATCAAATAAAACACACCACTATAACACTTCAAGATGGTCGTTAATAATATTCAAGCAGACCGTAGCCCGACTCAATGCAATCCAATCAATATTTCTTCCATCTCTGCCTGTTAACGTATGTATCGTTAAGAAAAATTAAAATTTGTATCAGTTCAAGAGAGCATTAAGATTTATCACAATGTATTTTAGAACAGAAAACTTTTTGAACTTTATATGGTTTAAATTAAAGGAACGTTATTTGAAACTACATACTATATTGTGAGTTACAATAGACTTGTACCATAAATAAGTTCAGTTTTAATTTATGCGATATTTCATTATTTGTAACTATCAACTCGAATAGCCAACTAAACATAAGCAGAGATAGAGAGATTAAACTCCTAGTATTTTTTTTATGCGAAAAGTTGTCAAACGAGCAGACGGTTCACCTGATGTTAAATGAATGGACATCTGCCACACCTGAGGGTTACAGATGCGTTGACAACCTTTTGAAAATTAGGCTCTGGCTACCTCACTTATCAGTCGAATCGCGAAAGTATTTGTCATACTTCCACGCTTTACGCTGGTCTTTTGTAAGGTCGTGGTACTTACCCGGACGGGCCTGCCCATTCGTGCAACAGCCGAGGCTGCTGCGTGGCCCTACCACCGTAACCTAGTGGCGCGTAGGAGACAAAAGAGATCATTCGAGGCGGTAGCTCCTCCGCTATTAGACGAGTATCAATGAACTATATAATAAAACGGTAATGACGCATAGGTAATTAAACGAAAGTGATTCTCCATTCCCCGTTAACGTCATTAGGGCACCAGTGACGCGTCGGGGCCTGGGACCGCAGCGCCAGGACATTTCACATGAGCCGCGCTGTGAGAACACCACGCTTCCACTGAATTCAAACATCCATCACATGTTGAATGAAATCACGGCTATTTTTAAGCGGCGATTGTTTTTATTTGCCCGCCAATTGGGGCCAATCAGCGACACGTGTTCCGTCGGAGGCGAGTCCCGTCTTCCTTAAGCGCCTATTGAGCTCGTTGTCGCGAACGTAATTCTTGTAAAACGTCTCTGTGCATAGATAATATTGACAAGTACAGTCTGTTCCGCAATCATCGGGAGTGTATCACTTCTCCGTGGATAGATGAAGTCATTTTCTACATTCTGCGCGCATTATCAGGACCATCCCTTTTGAGACAGTTATCCTACGTTACCTTACTGCGTATAATCAAAGGCATAAAATGCCTCTATGTCTATATAATATCGCGGAGTACTGTCCTCTGCTTATGATTCGTGGATGTTTAAATAGGTTCTTTGTGCAAAGTTATAATACCTTTTGCAATTTTGTACTCTTAAATGCGCATTAGATGGAAAACTTGGAGCAAGCAACTTAATAAAATTGCCGTCGAGAATTTGATAACCTGATTGACGTAGTGGATGGCGAAACTGTCTCTTGCGCCAGACGATGTCGGTTCGATCCCCACTATCGGAATATATTGTGTGATGAACACAGAGTTTCTAGAGTCTGGGTGTTGATATATCTAAACATTTATTTACAAATAAAACTTTTATCAGTTATTTAGTACAGATTGTACCACCGATGCTTAGTTTTGTTCTGGATAACGTTGTGTAAAAACATTCCCTGAAAATTTTTATTTATTTGCGCGCGGCACACGGCGACAAGCTTATCACCTTTCATATTTGCACGTCAAAAGAAAACGCGGGTAGCACATAGCAGCTTCAGCTCTCTTTGTAAGTATTTGAAACGCGACGCTCTTTTAAACCACATACATGTAACGCACTCCAACTGATAAACACTACATTATTTCGATTTAATTACTGAAGTCTTTCCCATGACACTTGAGCGCTGTCAGTGCTATCGCCGCGCCGGTTAGGACAGGCACATTTTTATTACGTCCTCTCCAGCCCTCGCGCCGTATAATGTATGTAGCATATAACGTATGTACCCATTACGTATGTGAGTTTGAAAGTAATCTCATGCTCCTACCATATGTCCTGTTGGCCACGAATACGACTCTGCGCTACAAGACAGCGCCCGGCCGAAACCTTCGTCTACAATTACAATGGCGTTGATTAATAGTAATGATCTCGACCCAGTTTCTTCCGAATCTAGCGGTGCCGTCGTGTTTTAATTTTGATGGATGCAATGCGGAGCGAGGAAGGTTTGTCTGTTTGCATACCTGATCGTCGCGAAGATATTTGTTTGCGATTAAGATTAAAAAAAAAAAACGTTGAAGTAAACGAGCCGTTTTAAGCAAATTTCTAAGGGATTATAATCTACATCTACATCTACATCCACATTATAATTATATAAAAGCTTTCGTTCGCCGAAAAAAAATAGGCGTATGGACCAACTCAGAAAGCACAATTAGCGTTTAATTGATGTTAAATTCGTGTTCATGCTGTTAACGCATTGGTTTATTTTTTTTTTCAGTTGAAATATGAGTTTAGGCATTATGCCCTATTATTTTTTTTTAATCTTAATGTCTTTTTTCACATCTCCCATATTAGGAAATGTGGATAAATTGTTATAATTATGGTACATATTTAATCTAATTAATGATTTATCAATAATTTATTAGTACAATTTGTTATGATTTATTGAAAATTGTTGGTTTGATACCTATTGCGTCGTGATATTTCCTACACACTAGAGTGGGGGGTGATTGGTATTTGTTTTTGAGTGGTATAAATTCAACTCTCACAACGTACGCTGGCTAGTATTTTGGTTATTGGAAGTTAAGGCTATTGCTCTACAGCTCTAAAGCTAAGTGTTTTTGTTATCCAATTATTAAGTCATTGTTGAGTTACAGTTGTATAAATCGGTAAAAGCTGTTTTATAACTTGTCTCTAATAAAATATAAAACTCTGAAAGAGGACTTGAGCCATTGCAACCGCAGAGACATAGAACTATAATAATAGCTAAGAATTTGGATGTTACCAGAACCCGATACTAATTCTCACTGTCATAAAAACGCGTTCCAAGTTCGATCTGAACGGCTTTGTTGAACACTTCTGTGAAAGGAGCGGCTAATTAGCATTGTATGTGGGTCTGTGTTGTTGCATGAAATGGCGCTTTGTTTCGTTTGTTTGCCCTTTGTGAAGCTCTAATTGCGATAAGTTACAGTGCAGCCGTACCGACTTCGTCATTATCGGCTCTCGACTCCGGTACCCTATGGAGGAGCTTTCTATGTGGTACGAGCAGCTGTTGTGCCCGCCGAAGACCGGTGGAGGGAACACTTCTGTGTCTATACTATTGTAGATATTATTTTGCTCAAATTCCAGCTGTGGATTTGGACAAGTTAAAGATGGACGAAGTAATTATGAAAAACAAAACATAAATACTACTTACACAGATAATTATAAAAATCCCTTTAGCCAATATGCATTACATACATTTTGTAATTGGATTAGGTACATAAATATATCTTTCAGAAAAAGTAAAAAACATGTAAAGAATAGAACTCATATTTTAAACGGATGTTTCCATTTTGTTATGGCCTTAGAAATTTTACTACGACGAAACAGGTATATTTTATGTCCGATTGAATATAAAATTAAAATATATTAATATTCATATACAAACTTATAAATGAATATAATTATAGTAGGTATTAAACACGAAATGTCAAAGGACTTTGTAATTTTTTTGCTAATTTTTCATTTCATCTTCGAAACATGTTTGGACATTTTAATAACAACGCATTAATTTTAATTAATCTCACACTTTTAAAACATCTGTGATGGATTCAGCGGATTAGCAGATCATCTATACATAAGTAAATATTTTGTTTACTGCTAATTTATGCGTTGATACCGGTGTTCCGATTACGGTGTGGTCGTGTAAAAAATGGAGTGCTTCGCTGGTTTTTGTGCGACCACGGGTGGCGGCACATTTTGCCCAAAATCCGTAGTTTAGTATCGGCGGGACTCCGTGAATAATTCATGGGCGCGTCTGGAGCGTCATTACAAAGGATGCGCGGGCGACGTCGCACGCGCCGCATACAAATGCGCCTCAATCTCCAACCATCCCAGTCGATTTACGATATTCCTCATAATAGACATGCTCTAAGCCCCTCCACCTATCTATGATATTCCAGAGCCCATTTCCGGAGTCATATGTTGAATTTACGATGTCTTTTAATCGCCCGTTTCGTCGATGTATACGGCCATTGTTTTACACGTTAAAGTAGAAAAGATGAATGTCATTCTTTCTAAAAAAAAAGATAAATGCCATCTATTCCAAGGTGAGGCGACGAAGCTAGATTGCTTGTTGATAGTCGGTTTGAAAATTGAAAAAGATAAAAAATGTTTTCTCTCTAAAGCGAAGCGATAAGAGCCATAAACGATTTTAAAACTGATCATGGAACAGGTTGTTTTTCTTTTTTCTTCAAAAGCGAGGCGACGGAGCTATTTGGTTTGAGCCATAGACAATGTCGAGATTGGCAGTATTCGTTGCTATACGCCCTCCCGTCAAAAGTCGAATGCGGACGTTCGTTATTCGAACCTGATATTTTAATGAATCATTCAAACACGTCGAGCTCTCCGCTGGGGCGACAACACTAGGATTCTTCGCATACATAATTTCCTTCGTTTAAAAAGGATATTTTTTATGTTAATTATCATTTTTATTGAACGACATGTATAATGCGGGCGACGAAAATGTTTACGCTTTATATGTGCCGGTATTCCGTGACACGGCGTTGCTAATGATGCGTCCCTTACCGAGTAACCCGACACCTGTCCGGTGCCGGATCCGCTGCGTATGCCCATCCATCATACGCCCTATTATGTTTCCCAACTTATTTAATTTACTCGGCCAGGTCGACGTGCAAAACCGTTCCGTAATGCGTTCGTATCGCATTAGCGTCATACATTAAATACCTATTTTTACTGTGGTAGGGCCACGCAACAGTGTTCACTGTTAAACGAATGGGCAGGTCCGTCCGGGTAAATACTACGAACCTCACAGAACATCGGCGTAAAGTAGAAGTGGTACACTTCTCCATTTCGTCTAGTGAGTGAGACTTCATTTAAACGTGGCAACGCATTTTCTACCCCACAGGTGTTGCACATGTCCATCGGCGGTGGTTATCACTTAGCATCAGGTGAACCACCACTCGTTTGCCACTTTATCACGTTAAAAAAAACCTACGTGCACATTTTACTGCGGTAGGCTGCAGTAGCTTAGGCTGTTGCACGAATGGGCAGACTCGTCCTGAGTACCACAGAATATCGTGAAGTTGGAGTATGTATTATACTTTCGCGTTTCGTCTGGTGAGCGAGGTGACCTGGGTCCACTTTTGAAGCGCATCTGCATCACCCCGTCAACGATTTATGATAGGTGGCGTGGAGCGACGGTGATCACTTTAACGTCAGGAGAACCGCCTGCTAACTTAAATTTTAATATAGAAAAATTCATACATATATATTCTTCCATATGCGTTTATTATTTACCCCAATCGCTAAACGAAAAACTAAAGTCTGTTGATTATAGGGGTTCGCGGTCGTTCTAAAGCGGTTCGCAAATGGCAAGCGCCCGCGGCGGATTGGGTCATTCCAGTCCTTCCCAATCTTGGCAGCTAAAAACAAGCGATTACCCCGCGGGGTTTCGTCCTATCGATCGCTACTTCGCTAATCGAAGGATCGAGACGGCGCGTATAAACAGGCGACATTGAAAAAGCCAAACGCACACCGTAAGCCGTACATACCAAATACTGTCGCGTAACGCGCCTAATTGTCTGTGGCATTAGAGGTATCCCTTTGAGCCAGCGCCCGCCGAAGCTATTGGGGGCCAATTTATGACCGTCTCGACATTCGGCACAATCCTTTCTGACTGTTTAATTTTTTTCTTTCGTCAGCATTCGAAATCGGCTGTGGCCTATCAAAAATGCTGGCAGCAAAATATAAAGTGAAATATTTCAAAAGAAGTAATAGAATCAAACAAAGCAATTTTGAATTGAAGCCTATAAGAAGAAAAAACGGTCGAAACTATTCCGAATAAAGAGCGCATAATATTATAACGGAGAGGTGAAAGCCTTAAATTCGTGTCTATAGCAATATTTTATCTGTAATAATGTTCTGTTCGCTACATTAACACGAGATATCGGCGTAACAATGGCGGCTCACGGTTCGTTAAAAGATCTCGCCAGATAAAACCTAAATTGGGTGTACCGCGCTTAAAACTTCGCTTTTCCTGCAGATAGGTGACAATTACGTTAGCCGTTACAACGATGCTGGTTATTTATCTTTAAGAATCGTAAAAGTTTTTATATGAAACCTTCCGACATCATCAACGGGTTGTGCTATGGGTTTTTGCGGGACTTTCCTCAACCGAATGGTAATGTTTCAACCTTCCGACATCATCAACGGGTTGTGCTATGGGTTTTTGCGGGACTTTCCTCAACCGAATGGTAATGTTTCCCGATTGTTGACTGTGCGGTTGTTAACAGACTGTATAGGAACAACTATACACGAACGGAATGAATTTGTTTAACGCTCTTGTCGTTATTGCATTCCAGAACAAAGATGCTTGAAAAAATGTCTTACTTATCAATAAGTTTAATGTCAACTTATTGGGTGGAGAAGCTAAATAGAAAAGCCTACTGTAGTAGGACTAGGCTACTTATAAAGTTGCACGAGTACAGGCTCGTCTGGGAACGTTAACAGAATACCGGAAGAACGGCGTAAATACATATGCATTAAGTTTGGTGAGTGAGTCAATCAGTCCCACTCGTTTCTAGGTAGATAAAGAACGACTCCACGTCATATATATAATACAAATATTCATAGCACCTTATTAGTGTGACTCTAGAATTTATTCAAATGTATTGGTGACTGGTATATAAAAAGAATGCCGACGTTCGTAGGACCTTCTTTGTGCCAAAATTTCCGCAAGGCAGTCTAGTGTTAGTGTCTAATTATTTCGCTGGCAACAAATATACTTCACACTTGGCATTAGCTGGATAGAATTCCTTTGCGAATTGCTTAATATCGCCTGAATGCGTTCCACGCAGGCCCTGCATTTGAAACCCAATATGGCGACACGCGAAGCGATATCCGATATGTTACGAGCTCGGAGGAGGCAGTCCGCCGTTGACACTGCCACTGCGTGACTGCCGACTCTTGTTTTGATTTTCGTCTTTGGCATTTATAATAATCAATTAATAATTATTAATTTACCGATACTTGATTCATGCGTCAGACGTTAATCAACCTAGTGCATAGTTAAACAGTTTCTTGCGTAGATGCCGTGGGTTCACTCACGAATGGGCAGGCTCGTCCGGGTAAGTACCACGACCTCACAGAAGACCGGCGTAAAGTAGAAGTATGACAAATACTTTCGCGATTCGTCTGGTGAGTGAGGTAGCCGGAGCCCAATTTCCAAAAAGGTTGTAACACATCTGCAAACCCTCGAGTGTAGCAGATGTCCATGGGCGGCGGTATTCACTTAACATCAGGTAAACCGCCTGCTCGTCTTGCAACTTTTCACATAAAAAAAATACCCAAAATGTTACATAATGCCCCTTAAAATAAACGCGATAAAATTCATTCATTACAGCAGCTCGATTATTATTCGAATGCATATTTCGATAATAACTTCAAATGCTTTTCTATTGAACATTTCATTATATTTAAAATAGATACTAAATGAAGAAACTACAAAAGTTATGAGCTGTCTTTATGTAACACTACTACATACTATGCAAATTTATATAACAAGCTGAATGGTTTATAAATGTTTTTAAATTGCGGACCCGATCAATCTAGCCATTTTAAATTTGAATGTCGCAAACATTCCAAATCGATTGGTAGAATAATATTAATGGCACTTGGACTCATTCGGCCCGTAAATTATAGCTACTCCTGAGAGCATTCAAGGATATAAAACAACATTAAGATAAAACTACGTTTCGTTTTATCATTAGAACACTTTGTTTTACTGAATGCCTTTTAAGTTAAAAACTTAATAAATTGCTTTCAAAAAGTATTTTACATGTATTGTATACAACATTTTTATTATATACAACATTCTCTGATTGTTTTGTATATTATAAATACAAATTATATATTCTTTTTAATATTCCTCGAGGTATTTTGCAGATATAAATATACATAGACAAACACCCTGAAACGAAACAAGTATTTGTAAGATAAAAGATTTTTTCAATTATACTTAAGATATTGACTGGTTGAGAAAATCATAATTATAATGCTCTACATTCTTGAATTATTGTTTTTGTGACTTGTGCTTTAATTTTACTGAAAAATGACTGACAAATTTATATCCTGCTTAATTAAATTGGTTTTTTGCTACCTATTTGACAATACATAAGATAAGATTTTATAATTATTAGCTAGTAGAACATTTTTGTTGTTAATGCGATTGCTGTAGTATCTATACATTGTTAATAGATCTGTATATATACCGTATTTCGATATTTCACGAATGGTGATAAAGTCGCGTTGAAGGCTAAAAGCGAAAGCGAATCATAAAAAAGTTCAATATTTTGTTGCGGCATAGATCTAGAATTTACAGATAAAGAAAATTACAAATTCGAATATTCACTTAGAATTCACAAAATTCAAATATCGCCTCGTAACGATTTATGCCGCCCTGGTAGCGGGGAATCTACGCTTCGGATCGGTTTCACACTGCGCGTTGGGCAAAGGTACCTTACCCATGCGGCTTATCTCCCACAATGAGGGAACCACGTCGGCCCCTTCACACCTCCGTGTTTGTTGCGCGTTTTAGCGTTCACGCCTCGTGTGTGCTCACCCCTAAAGTTCGCGCCTCGCCTCTACATATCACGCGTCCATTATGTAAAAGTTATTTTACGTGTAAATTCGGGCCGGTCGACTTCACATCTCGGAGGTAACGCGGCCGTGATGTGGTGGCTTTTGGATTTTCTCTATGTGAATCGCTGCCGTATTCGAAATTCGGGGAATCTATTCAGCCTTTCAACCTCGGGCACACTATTTACGTGTTTGAGTAATATAAGCAGACTTAATTATGATGTATTGGTATTTCTTTTAGTTTTTTTTTTTAATTGTCCTTTAAATTTCACGAGGACAACGGCGCCGAAGCCAATACCTTGGCAACTGCGCTGCGGAGTCTTCGAAGCGGAGTATTCTTAAACATTCGAAATAACAGGTATAATAATAGAAATACCTATTACAATAGTTGTTTATGCTAAAATCGTTCCTATTTTATAATTCTCATACGCTTAACCAGTTTTCTAGTATTTATAATATATTGTAATTACAGATTAATTAAGAGTTGCCTTAGCCTAGCTGTCATTTGGCCTTTGTTCTGCGTGGTACCTACATATTTTCCGTTTCAGTTTTAAAAAAAGAACATTTTGAACTCAGATTTTTTTTGTCGTTTCTTCCTTTGTCTGATCAAAACTGTTTAAAACGATGTTGTATTGTTTGAAACCGGCTAATGAATGTTTCGATTTAGCGTTTGAATTTGATGTTGTAACGTTTTTCATTAAAGAAGACGTGTCAACGTGACAGTAACTTTCGTAGCCTTAAAGCGATGGATTTAGTGATGTTTTAATGTTAATCCATCCTAGTGAAAGGCGAACCGTTGCCCAGGCTGAAATTAGACTTAGATACCCGCTATATATCATATTGGTTAAGTATGATCTCAATTTAACGCTTACGATAGAGCGCACATCGATTTTCGCATGTAACATCTCGCACATAAGCGACTAAAGCTATTCGTTACCGTTTATTGTTACAGTGAAAGTTTACGTTACGAGAACTTGTGTTGCGCGACAACACTCATTCTCTAAGTGGAACGCCATAGTTTTTCGTGATTTATACGATCGGTTTTATGGGTTACGTCGGGTTGCGTAGTCTATTGTTTCGCTGCTTGATAATAGTTCTTGCTATGTTTTATTCGGTACAGACATATGATGCCTTGTTTCTAAAATATAACATAACTGGACGCATCGAGATTTTGAAAACGAATGTCGATGATGACCCAGTCAACGAGACTTTAGTCTATATGGCACTAATACCGAGCACATCTTATTGTGATGATTCAAGAATAAGAAGCCATTGGTTGTGCCACACAAAAAGCCGTTGCCTCTCACCGTGACCGGGGCCTGCATTCCGCCAGTCCCCGGATTCAATGCGTATTTTTCAATACTTCCCAGAAAGAGTTACATCAAGAAGACACCTCATATGTGCCATCAATGACGTCACTAACGTTCCCGTGATTTTAAAGTAGGCTGCAAAGCTTTCCGCTCAACACAGTAATGTCCTCAAGCGATTGACGTGCCACCGTAACGCGACTAAAAAGTCCGCACGCGGGACATCGCAAAACATGAGCGATGAGCGATGAAATAATGTCTCCATTATAAACGGAGTTGATTACAAGGCGCCCTTCGGGCGGGGAGTTAATCAAAATTGCATTACCGCGTTACGTTTGGTCACGGCGCGGTCGGTTGGTCGGCGATAGCGAAAAAAGCCGTCTGCGGCATACCGTGCGGCGCGACAAGATTGATGACGTGTGTTAAATGTAATGCACACGGCATAGAACATACATTCGTATATTTTACTTAATATGTATATGAATATTACTGGAAAGCCGTTTTGTCTAATTCGATCCAAAGGACAGCCCTTGGATCGAATTCATCTTGGTGAACGTTATTTGGTTATAGTCAGAACAGTTGCTTTTCATTTTATAGTGATGTCACATTAAAATAAAAACTTTATTTTCGTTAAACATTATTATTTAAAACGTCGTCTTGGAACCTTTCAACTTAGAGTGTGGTCAGTCTTTTTCAGTGTGATTCGAAACGGTGATATGGGATTGGTGGTTCGGGATAAATATCACAACGGCGCACCTGCATGACGAGACAATGGAGCGTTACTGAGTGTTTACTGTTAGCGTTCAGCCGGGGCCCAATGTGCGGTTCCGCGTAGGCGTTTCGGACGCCGCCATAACGAGCTGGGCAAACAGGCGCGGGCCGCCGATACGTGCGCGGTGACTGCCCAGAGTACACACTGGTAGCCAGGAATCCACTTACGCCGAAGCACGAGGTGTCATGTCTTCAATGTTTGAACAGTACGCCTTCAAACAGATCATCTATATACGTAGATGGCTGCATCACGAAACACCTTTGCCGCTTTGCGGTGGAAAACCAAATTTGTAATTTTGTATCGCTATTCATTGCCTACGTTATTAAGTAATTTATCTCCTTTATTTCTGTCCACCGTTATATCGACTACTATTTTAGATACTTCGACGAAGCACGCGGCCGAGGATAAAAAAAGGGCACAAAGAAAGCAAAATCTCAATCAAAAGCGACACCTACACGGGACCATTTCAACGGAGATCGGTGCCCGCTTCGCGCTGTTAAAGCGATACGAAAGTCAAACAACAATGTTTATATAGGATCCGCAACGTGGGCGTGCCGTCTAAATATTTTATTTTTCGAGTGACTCCAGGACAAAAGCCTGTTTGTGGCTCACCATTGTGTTCGGCTTTAGTGGCTTCTAAACAAGTCCACGTACGTGACGTTATAGAGATAACGCCCCCGTCCATCTTGATGTAAAAATGCACGTTTATTAAAATTTTCCGAGTGGACACAGTCATGTTTCAAGGATATATAATAACTCGCAGCGAGAAAATAACTCCTTCAATTATAACGCAATCTTATATGTTTTTTTTTTTCAATATTGGAGTATCGCAAATTGTGTCTGTGGTTTTAAAATTTGAACGTAAACTGGTTTCATTCGCAATTATCGCCGCGTTCGATATTATTTGCAAATACGAAGCGTCGTCAGACGATCATGTTCGATTTCACTTTAATCGTTCAACATAAATTGCGTATTTTACAACTGTTATTAAAAGAATCTCGAATTCGTTTTATAGCAAAGTTTTTATATTCAAACGCGAGTTTTTATTTCGCACAAAAACAAAATCATAAAGCATCGATTATTGTTTTTTTTTTATTTCATTCGGATGCTCTATTAACGGTCAAGTTTCAAAAACGCGTTCGAAATATTATGAAGCTTCTTTATTGAGTTTTTGAAACATCGGTGGTGTTTTAATTAAGCATAAATCATAGTTTAGGCATTCCCAGTATAAACTTTACGTCCCCACCGTTGAGAATAACGACCGACCGATATAATACTTCGGTATCTTTAAAAAAATAAAAATCCGAACATAATGAGACGTTGAATTCTGTTCGATCTGCCTTTGTCCGCATTCTTCATACGTACGAAATGCGCGCTATTTTAATTGGATCTTCGATGTTATGTTCCATATCCAATATACGTGATTTCTGGATATGGAACAGCTTCATTTATTTAAATTCATAGGCGTTCAAAATCAAAATAAAAATAAATAACTGTAAAACTAACTGGTTGTTGGACACTTTCTTGTTTATAAAACTTTTATAGTAAATACCTTACGGCATTTTCCTTTTTATAGTACGGTTTATCATATTTATTAGTTATTGCTGTACCACCTATTCATGGTGATCCTTTTTAATACACTAATAATTTTGGTCGATTAGAAAAACAAAAACGATACATGTCAAATAATAGTAAATATCTAAATACATTCCATTTGACTTTTTAAATACTACATTATACATGTATGCAATAGCGTATAACTTATTCATAGTCTATACTATCAAATAAAAATTAATGAATCACAGCTTCCGAGCGTACCGTTATTGTAAAACAAATAAAGTGTTATGTTTCGAACCTCTTTTAAAAGAACTATCAGAATATTAAGCGCGTAATTAAATATATCATATTCGCAAATTCGAAATTCAAGCGAGCTATGCCATACGTGACATGTAACAACGAGATCGAGGCGTATTTAACGTCTCTAAATCGAATGCACCAGCACGCAACGGCGCGTGCCGCAAGGCCGGTCGGCAGGAGTCAGATGTCCTGCTCCGCTCCTCTCGCTCCCACCTTCGGCGCACTTTATATGGAGTGCCTGATGCTTTAAGATTCGACCCGTTCCGAGCGCGTTCGTCATAGCTCATTGCGTGCTCACCACTGCGACGGAATGTTTCGGACATTTCCCGACTTTTCCGAATTCGATATTTGAATTGACTTTTTAATCTTCTAATTTGTCTTATTCACAGACTGGCCAGTGTGAGACTGATGCTGAAGTTTTAAGCGGTAATCTGTAAAAATATATTTGAATGTAACAAATATTTAAACATATTGTGGTATGGGACAATGCAATAACTTTCTCGTTCACTACGCTTTGCAACTCGTGTGGTTACTGCTAACCTTTTCATACCTCACGAAAAGTCCAACGTATATCGTCGGGCTGGCGGTTTCATTCGATGTTACGCGACACCGTCGGTATGACGCACGCGCCCCGTAAGGCAACGACTTCGGCACCACCGCTAAATCCTCATTCAAATCGCCCGCCGCGAAAAACGTACCGCCCGCCATATTTGGGAAATTGCGGTCGCATTTGAATGTCGCGTACGGCATTGCGAAATCTGCCGCCCGATTTGGCTAATGATGCAAAAACTGACGCCGAGTTTAAGCGCGCCCGCCGCCTAATGAGCGACGAGATTTTCTTTCGCGGAAAAACGAGCCTATGCAAATTTCGCAACGCAGCCGTCCTCTCCGATTTGGTTATAGCGATTCGACCGAAAGAGTTTGGTTCGTAATGCGTTTTTTGCATGCAATTCGCTTTATCGTTATGTGAGGAACGGCGCCGATGGAAAGTCACAACACCACATACGTTGCAGGCGTCATGCTTACTAATACGGGAATCAAGTTACATCATTAGCGGGTGTAACGCAAAATTATGAATAATTTTGCCGGTCTTCTGGGAGGTCGGTACCTCCCTGATCGAGCTGGCGTATTAGTGTAGCAGAAGTCACGTAAGCTCTTGTCGCTCTACCACAGTAAAAGGTACTTTAAATAAAGCAAAAGATTGGCAAAATTTGTCTGCATCAGGCTCGTGACTTTATTGGGTGATGCCTTCGCCACCAAAGACTTACACTATTTACAAGGGACTACCATCCCTTAATCATTAGTCAATAGCCGAATTGACCGTCTACAAGTACTTTGGGCGCGTTAATTTCTTAAATTCTACATCGCAATGTTTAACGATACACATCGCATAGGTGGTCGATCATGCTTTGAGGTATAACCGAGTTAGGTCAACGAGAATGTAGCAGACTAGTTTCCGGAGTTGATCGCCTACCGTCCATAAAGAATGCCCCTTAAATGCTAACAACACAACAGTTTCATCGCACCCAACTGTACTACAAACTTATACAGGCGGGTTGAGCGCCGCACAGCTCGCGATAGCCCGGGGCTCGGCTAAATAATGACGTGCTGGTACCTTCGGCCGGTAGGGCCATAAATTGCGAGCCGCCGGGCACGAGCCACGCTATGCGGAAAATAGGGCTGCCTGCGACCGGTTTCACTTAGCGTTAGGATTAACGCGACGGGCACAATATTACGGAGGACGATTAGAGCGTCCATGACTACAATAGAGACTACATTTAAGTTGTATTGTTGTATCATCATTTTAGCCTGAAGTCCACTGATGAACGCAGGACTCACAGACTGCCACGATGCACGATAGCACCACTAACCATCGACTTTTCTGTTGTATCATCGCTTTGTTTTGGTATCCAGGAGAAATCTTTTTAGACACAAAGCTACTAACATCAATTTCCTTGAGCTCCTATGGTGCTCACCGATGAACCTCTACACTGCTTCAAATCTCAGCTCCCTATGTTCAACGTAAACACGAAACCACGATCAGGGTCGAATTCCAATCGGCCGCGAACTCGTAGTAGCGTCGTCTTTTAGTTTCCTTTTACGGATTTCTTCTTTTATGCCCGGCTCTTGTACGAGTGATATTAGAAAGAGTTTTAAAGAAAGACTAAAATAATATTCGAGCTTTTTTACGTACTAATTCATGAGTCGTAGCTTTGATTCTTAGATTACATTTATTATGTCGACAATTTAAAGAGAAGCTACGCACTCGACCGAGGTACCTACTACTATATACTTTAATAGTTTTGCATTCCATTCATTGGGTGAGATTGGTGGACATCCTCTTTAAGATTGGCAACACAACTACACCCTCTCGAATTTTATGGGGTCCATGGGCGGCGGTAATCAACTAACACCAGCACAACCTACTTTGTTACATTCTTCCAAAAAAAAGTCTGATGAAGCCTCCATCGGTATTTATCTTCTTACAGTTTACGACGGCTACATAACTTTGTTACTCTCGGTGAATTTACGAGATTGTAATGTGAATCGAATTACAAACCGATGGAATCCAAACAACAACAGGCTTCCCGGTGGCGGTCAGAACGGCGCATTCCGGGCCTTTGTTGCAATTCGGGCCCCTCTTACGGCAGATTAAGCCGCTTTATTGGTTCTGTAACGCTCCTAAGGGACAGTTTTTTGTGACGCTTCAGATTATAACTGGCTTCCGTAACTTCGTACAGCTTTGAAACGCAACGTAAAAACTCCTTTAAGATAGTCTTATTTTGTTTTATTACATTCTCTGCGGCCGATGCATTAATACCTTTCATAGTTTTTGTATGGAATACCGGAAAGGCGATTATATTTTGTCAACGTTTAATGACTGAAGTCATACTTGTTGGGATTCTGGTAATGACGTTTTGTATGAAGTTTATCTCTAAGTTAAGGCTCTCAAAAAGATAAAATTGATTATTAAAGTAATTGCAATTGAAAATAACGTTATTAAGTTTGTTACGAGCTTTTATTTACTTCAAGAATTTATGGATATGTGTAATTAATCATACTTCTTTTTATAAAATAATTTTACATGTTATTATTTATCCTTACTGTATTTTATCCTTACTAATATTATAAACGCGAAAGTTTGCATGCAGGGATGGATGTATGTTACTCGTTCACGCAAAAACTACTGAATAGATTTTAATGAAACTTTACAATTATATAGGTTAAACATCAGAATAACACATAGGCTATAATTTATAAACATATTGCGTGAATTGTCCAAAATATAGGTAATGATAAATGTCATCTAAGTAGGAACAAATTCAGCCATCTGTGAGATATTCTGGTGTATAGTAAAAATTCATTGTTAATTCCCTTTTACCGCGCGGGCGAAGCCGCGGTTAACAGCTAGTACAAATTTTGTGTGTCTGGCTGTTTGTTCGGTACCACTTCTTGCCAAATAATTTCTAAAATAAAGCACTTTCATAAGTTCTCCGACACACGTCATCTATTTTCTGTTTGCCCTTGTTTTTCATTTTACAATAAGGTACATAATACACTATTCTTGAACTTAAGACATTTTTAACTACGTTCTACTCTTGAAAATTTACCAAAACAATTTAGAAAGTAGTACAGACCGAGCTGAGATGCTCCAGCATTTCGTCTTAGCATTCTCAGTCAAATTATTATAATCAAATGATAAACCCATGTTTAACAATCTCTCCGATGAACGCCTGGTTTATAGTGCTGGGAAATGACGGAGTGCTATTTGTTTACGTTGAGACGTCGTAAAAGTGACGATCGAAATAAATAGGGCAATGAAAACGCAAGTGAGGACTTTAGTATTCCGTTCGCAAACCGCACGGGCGTTTCTCACGGGTCCTTGCTTATTCTTTAAACGTCCGCGCGTGAGAACTATGCTTTATATGCGGGCCTCCTCTAATACTCGCCGTCTAATGCTATAAATATTAGTTTTACCAAAAATTGCCTCGATGAACAGATGGAATATTTGCAAGTACAAATGTTATCTGTAAATACATATATTACATCTGTAGTAAACTATAATAGGCATTCATGCCGAGATTTGAACTTAGTGATCATTATTTGATAATGTTTCATCATTCATTCAACAGTGAATTGCCACTAGCCTGTGACGTCTGTTTATATATACGTGATGGCTCAGTGTCCGGGTGTTTCTTTAATATTTATACACTCGAGCATCCAGAATAGGCCTATGCCCCTTCGAGAAATATATGTAGATTGTTAGTAAACTACAGAGACGGAAACAAAGAAAAACAATTATACTAGTGGGCTTTAGACCCTTTGATACTACAATGGACTGTTTTTCATCTAGTCCGGACGAGGAATGTACATTTAATGTTTAACATTAAAGATTTAATCAAATCAAAACTCCCGTTTCCTTGCAACCCGAAGTGTGTTGCAAAAAAACTCGTTCACGTGATAAGACCGGCTCCGCTTCGAGATCGCGGGTTGATTAGCAAAGACCAGCCTGAGACACGTTCATTAGAATGCTTTTCGTCGAATTTACATAAGAGAGCGGTGCGATTTCTGTCGGTTGCTTAATTCTGGTCCACTGGCAGCTCTATTTCGCGGACGTTGTCTAGGAGCGAGCGTTCATGAACGGAATGAAAGTTGTTTCATTGCAAGGTGAACTTATAATGTATACTAATTGATAACAGATCGACATTTTAACAGTCCGTTGAATTGATATATTTCACTTCAGATGGCCGTAAGTACCCTCAATTCAGTTACATAAAGAACAGAACTTGTGACTGATAAAACATAGTCCCTCAGACTGAAAGCGTAGATACACATATTCTTGCAACTGCAAACATAATTATATTTAAAAAGCCTTTGAATCATAAACACTTAACTTGGAATCAAAAACAATTAACATCAAGTGGGATGGTGATGAAGCTCTGGCTGGCTTAGGGGTGGAAAGTAACACTGTGCTGCTGATATGTTTAGAACGATAGGTAAAATTAAATTTACTGAACATTATCTCGTGCGCCAATATTACTGAACAGCGTTTATATTACTGAATCACAACACGTCAATTGTTCAAAGTAATTTCGTTACTTTTAGATATTATACAATTATATAAATATTTCACCTCAGGTCGTCGCATTTTCTTGTTTTGGGGTGTTATAAACACGAAATAAACAAGTGTTTGTAAGACACTTATCTGGTCATATACACGCTTGTTGTGGTGGGCATTGAATCCGCGATTTCCGACGCCAAGTCTACCAGCTTGTTACGCAGTTCGGTAACTGCGCCAATACATTCATCTTCATTCATCGTTTTATCCATAACACGTGATCAAGCGAACAAGGTTGGAATAAAAAGGATTTCAAGTCTTTTTAAACTTTCATCATGTGTACAACGCCGCAATTAGCATGTGTAGGTGTTGACATAAAATGCAGTTTATTATATATTAACAGAAGTGTTATCTCTTAATCATTTACCATTGACTATCTATTAGGAAGATAGGTCGTTTATGTGTATCTAAGTATAAACATAAAACTGAAATTACTTTTAGGCCTCCCGTTGCACCAATCACTTTTGTTTTGATTTATGTTTATTTTATTTTTGGTGTGCAATAAAGTACATTCATTCATTAGATAATTTATATTTTTCTCTTCTCTGGGCTATAGAGCGTACCAAAAAGTATGTATTTCTTTGGCACGCTCTATAGCCTACACTGTTGGAATTTTTACATTATAAGTTGTTATTACAGACATCTTAGTTGTGACAAAGACAATAATATGATACCCAGTATCTAAATGACGTTTACGTACGTTGAGTCTTATGTTTCGTGTTTATCATCCTAATTAAATTTCCCAACAGTAAATCACGTCAACCGTGCTCCCTAAAACTTTTTTGATGTTTTAAATTAATTCGATGTAGAGAAATTTTACGGCGCCGGTCATTCAGGTCGTAATCTTCGGTGTGTGGCAACCGACGTTAAATACACAGCCGGGGCCTGACAATGGCGACATGTTGACCGATGGGCTGATTGTCAAATTGACATGTGTCACCTGTCAGATAAACCGTGTGAACAGGACTCGATAGCGACAGCCTATGCACGCGACCTGGGGTGCAATAGATAATGTTAATGGAGAGGTGAAGTTAAATTTCAAATTGACACGAGGAAGTTGCATTAAGAGGGTTTTTCTGATAAAAGTAAATAACTTTTTCTACAAGAAATATTGGCGAACGAGCTGGTTCACCAGATGTTAAGCGATTACCGCCGCCTGTGGACAACCAATACACGCACGGGACTACAGCTGCGTTGACAACCTTTAGGGGCTAATCTCATCAAAAGAAACTTCTGCTTCACGGCGGCGGTACTTATCCGAATAAGATGCCATGATGATACCAAGCGAATGCATCATAATTCGATATTAATAGTTTGTAACCCTTGTTCCTTCATATTTAATCATATTCTGTGTTCAAAGCAGCTTCTGGCAAAGAAATTGGTAGGCTCGTTCATGGAAGTACCTCGACCTTGTGCGTTTGGTCTGGTGAGTAACTGGGCTTTTTTTAAAGGTGACAATGCATTTGTAACATGGAATAGGGTGGCTCAAGAAAGATATGAGTGGAAAAGATTGGAGGAGGCCTTTGCCGACTGGCAAACAGATCTACAAAAAATAAGCAAATTTCAAATAAAAGACTCACTAAATTAAGATTTAAATTAAACTTTTTCATGTTCATATATTTATAAAATTGATCTGAATAAAAGGCTATTATTATTATTATTATATATGCATCTGCTACCCTCCCAGTGTTGATCATGTTTTGTAAATGTCCATGGGCTGCGGTAATCCCTTAACATCGGGTGAACCGCCTGTTCGTTTGGCAACTTTTCTTTTCTTTCACATAAGAAAAAAAAAATTCTGAATATCCTTTGATACAGACCCTGCAAAGGATTCTAAAAATTAAGCTGGCCCTAAATTAGGATAAAAGTTATCGGAGATTTATTGGCGCCCGATTGCGACGGTGAAACGTTTATCATTTCCCACGGCGCCACTTTCCCAATACGCACGCATAAGTCGAATTCTTATCCCCTTATCAAATGTTCCCATGTGATTCTGTTCCCGTGCCCACTCTCATTATGCCGGCTATTTGCATTGATAATATTTGCATGCCTGATAGGCCCTAATCTGCCACGATATCTCATACATTTTTTCTTTTATGTTTTATTTTGTACATATATTATTTTTTTGCTTGTTAAATTTAACATTCGCTAACTTTAAATTATCCATATTAACGGAACAGTCTGAGGTCTGCCATCCTTATCGTATCTAATGATAGTCGGCAATGCAGAAAGTTTTTAGGGTCTTGCGGCGTCGTAAAACAGAATTAAAATTCTGCGTTTCAGTCTGCGTTTTAAAATAAGATAAGCTTTATATAGTATGTCAAAAGAAATAAAATTCTTATTTCAACTATGCAAAAAGCCGCAAACTTTAATAGAGGATGTCGTAATAGAAGCTTACTATTTTAACATACAAGTAATTCATTTTAAGAATGTCGCTCGCCGGTAATAACCTGAAGCTCGCAACATAGTTAAAGTGACTTCTCTCCGGCAACCCCCTAATTGCCAGCAGGCCTTTAAATTGCACATAATTGGAGCAATGTTCTACACACACTCACCTTTGTCACCGGAATCCCCGTTTCTTTCGTGCACAATTTATAAAGGTACCGCAAATAATTTCCCTCAAGCGTCCGAAGCGTTCGCGGATAAAAAACCGAGAGTGTAGGTACTTATACTTTGTAACGATAAAGATTTTGTAAAAATGTTCAAAGTTAACAAAATTACTTAAATCAATTAGCGTGTTTTTATGATTAATTCAATCTCTAAAATCTCTGCAATGAATGAAAGAGAACTTGATTTTAGACAATAACTTTCTGCGCTTCGTATCACGAGTGTGTTATACAGTTTACGTGTGACTCAACAAATATTAAACTATCCTGAGTTTGGTAGTAGGTAAGTGAGCTCGACTTTTGGATAACAAAATAGAAAGGCGGTATAGATAATGGTGGTATAATTTTGTAGTCGGTACCGAAAATAATAGAACAATGTGATTCCGATTTGTATTCAAACATTAAAGTCATGTTGTAAATTCAAGCTCCCTGTTAGTGCAGGAACAGCAAAATTCTAGTTATTTTCTAACTAACGGCGTCTTGGTTCGACTATGTTCGTAACTCTAGATCAGGTTGCGCTTCATCACTATCCCATTTGATATTAAGCAGTGTTTGTAATTTTAGATCTCAAGGCTTCTTTAATACAATCTTACCGTTATAAATAAAAAAGTAAAAAGATATGTTCGTTATCGGTCACAGGCGCCGTTCTTTATATAACTGAATTGAGGGAACTTAAAGCGTAGACCTTGAAGAATGGCGTGAAATCACTAGATTAGGATAGGTACTAAGTGAAATAATTGATCGGTTCTGCGAATATACATGATAGAAGCGTTATTCATTTAACTGAAGTCAAATAACAAAAAAAAAAAACAAATATATTGTTGTGTGATATCCTTCTTAATTGTTAATCACAGTGTTAATTTAAAAAATATGTACCAGTTTAGTGGGAAAAACAATTTTTATGACTTTCTCGTGCCTGTTTTAACGCTTTCAAAAGGCAAAAACGAGGTGTTTGTTTACAAACGGGACTAGTGACGGGCTAGCTCCCGCCACATGCAATTTCTATCGAGACGTACGTTTATTTTTTTTACAGAACAGGCAAAGGTCAACCGTAGGTATGTTTGTATTAGTATTATTTACGTCGGATCCCATATGCTGGCGCCGAGGCGAACGGCGCACATGCGCTCGACATCGACACTCAGCCCAATTCCATGTTCCATTTGGACGTGTTATAGAAAAAATATTTTATGTTCCGTTGCGCTTGCGTCATGTGAACACTACAGCTAAACAGCGATTTTATGTCGCTCAAAGTGAACGCACTCGTTATGTATTTTATGACTGTTTTATCCCCCATTTCGTAATAGAAGTGAAGTAACCGCCTACATTTTATGTCCTATAATCCCCGCAAAGGTCTCCCCTGTACTTTTTATATATAACCATTAGAATCCATTTTGTTAATGAAAAGCACCGAGTAGTAAAATAACTTAACTACCAGTTATTTTACTAGTCCGTGATAAAAAATTCAATAATTTTCAAATTTAATATTATTGATTGCTTCAAAAGATACGATAAGAATAATTATAAAGATTTTACATGTATAGCTAGATCACGAAAATAAATCGCATTCCTCATTGCTACCCTTTTCTGCAAAGTTGTGAAGTTTCAGACTTTAAAACCATAAAATAAAAGGCACTGAAACTCTACTTTGTTTGCGGTAAAATTTCGTTTTTTCGAATAGTCTCGAATAATCTATCTATCGCATAATATGAAAGCTTTCCTCTCATTGAAAAAAAATCTTCATTGTAATATATATATATATATATATATGTGTGTATTGATTCAGTCAGAAGTCACCAACTACAATGTACATATATTACGTATTATTCAGTCAGAAGTAACTAACTACATTAGGCGATGTGTCTATTAGGTATTTTCTTAGACGGTGTGTGACAGAGGGTCACCCACGCGCCGCGACCGTCCCGCACGAGTGGACCCCATTATACAATCAGTACGAATTAGCACCGCGATACTATGCCATTATTGCGGCGTACCGCTATCAGCGTCTATTGCTATCACGATCTATTCAGGACCACTTCAATAGAAGACTAAGGAACTCGGTTCCCCGCGCTCTAGAAAATGTTTAATGGGATTCTATTTTCAAATTTGAATTCACCCATGTATTCCGGCTATTTTGTTTTTTCGTCGGCACACGTGTCTTTTATTTACGGACAGGTTTTTAAAATTTTAAATGATATGCCATACTTTTCAGGTTTTTGCGACTTATCGGAAATGGGATTTAAATTTGATTCTTATCGTTGTCTCGTTTATTTGCAGTGGCTAAAGGAAGTCAATGTTTTATATTAGGAACTTGTGAACGTATAATTTATCATCTGTACCTTTGGACGTTGGTCGGAGTCGTACAAGGGTTTCGGAGTGAATACAATGGGCGCGCACGTGCTGCCGCCAGCCGCCCGTGGCGCACCAACCATTATCTGGGCTGGGTCTCTATATATGCTTACACTTATAGGTACGATCATTTGCCCATTGTTTCACGGAAACCTTATACACGCTTCGGCTTTTACTGTAAATTGGACATTCCTGTATCGCTTTAAATCAACCATTATTTAGTTTACTTGACTGGTACTAAATTATTTTAGTTGAGTACTCTTTATTTTTATAATGTGTTATGTGCATTAACAGGTTTTCATTTGAATAAGTTATAATTTAAATTTCGGTTTTGGTAATTGATATGTAGGAAATGTACTAAGTGAACAAAAACGGGCCCGCTGTAGCTTTACGCGGTATTTAATTGAAAGTAAAAACAAGTAGATCCTAAGTATTATTGAATTTAAATTATATCCGTTGTTTATTCACCAAACCGGTTCGGTTTCCAGCGATCGAGCGCTGAATTATCGCTGCAAATTTATAATGCTTAGTTTCCTGTTCGCTTATAACTAGTACAAAAGTAGATCACGGAACTCTCGGCGGCCGTTCGGACCAGCCGACAATTGTGCACGAGTCGCCGCTGACCTAGAAACAAAACAAAAAACGCACACACGCAAGCGGAGGCTGTAGCCTGTGTGGGCTTGAAAGCTTTCAAATCATCGCAGTGAGGTGCTCGACCGAGCGGCCGCGACAAGACGAGACGAACTCGTGCAACCAATAGTTTTTACATGACATAATTATGGCGTTTAACATTATAAATCGTAACATTTCATTTTCGTAAATCGTAACGATATTGTTTTAATAATGAGTCTTGCAAGTTATACCAGTTACTTACTACTTAAAATAATTATATTAGCACTAATTAGAAATAATTCGAGAATTATGTCCGAACCTTCCATGACAGTTCACATTTGAAATAAAAGAAACAAACTTGTATTCGTCCGAATACTACACATAAAAAATCCACACATGGTGTTAAAATTAGTTAATAAAGGATAGCTTCCTAATAAGGGAAGAATATCGCCAACCCTTTACGACCAGCCGTGGCGCCATTTAACGAGTCGTTTGTCACTAAACAAAATATTTAGAGGCACAGTGCACATTAACAGTTGTGATTCACGGCAATAGGTGCGGCGTGTGTAGAGCCGTTACAATGGCCAGAAGTGAAGTCCGCGATCATATCGAGTATGGTAATGGCGGCGGTGGTGCCGCGGCGCGTGGGCAGGCTGCGCGGGCGAGGCGCGCGTGTCAAATAGGGCTGTTCTGTTGTTTGGCGCCAAAAATATTTTTTTTAATTCGAACTTTACCGCTTTTTAAAACAAAAGTTCAGAAAGAAGATAAATAATTCGGTATTCCCATAATGCCACAGATCATATTTGTTTTTGCGTCATTTCAATAATAACAAATTAAGTGAAATTTAATATCCTAATAAAAATACGTACATAGTAATACGTTACAAAATAAAAAAGAATGAAAAATATATAGGACGTTTAAAGTTTTAAAAGACGCGTATGTGTAGATTTTATAGTTGTTTATATTTATGGCTGCAATTAATGTTCCACTAGCTTTAGTCCTATAGCAAACCTGCTATGAATAAAGGTTGAACGTACGCATCATTGTTATCTCGGACCAGCTTTGGGCAACAATAAATAAAAGTCTTCGTAGAAGAGACACATTCATTTTATTATTGTGGCGCGACTGTTGTAAAGTCAAGATAAAGCTTTATGACGTTTGTCGTGCGCTTATAACGAACTTTCGTTCAAAAGATAAATATTAATTCGTACTTTCTATAAACTAGATCAGGCCACGTCGAATTCGAACTCACCGTTATTTGAAATTTTTTTATTGCTCCGGAAAAAAGTTCAATCAATAAAATATTTATCGAATCATAAGAATACAAACATTACCTACATCTGAACTAGTAATAGGAACATATTGTTAAATATTTTTCCTTACATATCTTGTAATAACCATAAAACCGCTATGTCGATTGATTATTGATTTTTTTCGAATGAAACAAAAGATATGAGAGAATATCCTAATTTACATAACTTGTGGGATGCCAGGGGAATAACTGAATATGATTAAGGTTTTTTATTTTTATTTTCCACGAATCTATCTCGACTTAACACTGGTACGCTAAAAGTTTTGTTTCGTACGATTGTTATAACGTCGAATTCTGGCCGTAAAGTGACAAGAGGGCTTTGTTGTCCGCGGTTCATTTTAATGAGCGACCATAAAGGCGCGTTGTAAAGCAAAATAGAGGTATGCCTATTAATACTGTCCATATACATTAATCGCTCAATCGAAACATCTTTAAAAATTAAAAAACGAATAGTAAAAGCAACATGTTATACAAGATGTAAAATATGTAGTTTTAAAAAGAAATTAATATTTTAGCGCTTTTATTACACAACAAAAATTCAACTGTTACGTGTAATCGATGTTAATATAATTTAAATGAGAATAATTTGAATATGTTTACAAAATCTTTTTCCTTGAATCGTTTAAAAGTGCTAATTAAATTGTATCAAATTAAAAAAATAAATTGAGTACTCAAGTTTTCCTATAAGTATATGTGTATTGTAGTTTACGGTATTGCTAATCATTTTTACATGATGGTAGATCAAATTATTGAAGCGGTTTCTTTCGTAACAAGATGTCATCGTATAAGAAAGCAGAAATCATGGATTCGCCAGCGAATCAATATTTCCTTACCCGTTCTTATGAATCCCGTTTCTGAAGACAAGTGAATACGTGATGTATGACTAACTATGTATGACATTAACTGCCATTAGGTGAACGGTAACTGAAATCTGAAAAAGAATTATAATAACGAAGAGTACAAAATAAAAATATCTTATGTGCGTTTTGCTTTTGACACAATCCTTATTAACATCATACATTTCTCAATAGATTTTTTTGCAAGGATTCTTTCACGAAATGTATTTCGATAATGGTCGAGCGATCTCTTTCGTCGGGTGGCGGGGCGGGCTGCATTAGTGCCTTTTAGTCCAACACCGGCGCCTCTGTCATTTGCCCGTAATGGCGCGAGATTGCCCGCTCATTTCGACCTTTTCCCTCCGTTTTGTATCTGATGGATTTGTTTTTAGTGACTCTTGTTTGCTATGTTATGTTCGGGGCATCGGGATTCATTTAAATTTCTTACCATCCTTTGTTCACATATTTTATATTACTCGTATGAGTAGTAACTTGGATAAAGTATTTTTTGAAAAATATAATTGCAATATAATTGTTTCGGAAAACTGTTTATGTTTTTTTATTTTTTTCATTATACGAACACTAATATGTCGATTGAACAATAAACGATCTGAATTTAAGTTAAAGAAACGTTATTGTTTCACACGCTTAATGCAAATTACAATCAAAATATATTTATTATGGCCTAAGTCGAAATAACTTGCGGTTAAAATATATAATAATACGTTAAAATTTTAAAACCGAGAACGCGGAACAAACTGCAGTTAACACTTAACACCCTAACTTTAATTTTTTGTGTGTGTGTTTGAAAACAGAAAGTTAGCGGTTTTTGTATAGGTGCGTATTGTTTTTATGAATGTTGTTTTAGCTCGCGCCGATAACGAAAAGGCGCAGCCAGGGCCAGGGTTGTTCCTTTCACGCGAAAAAATAAACCGTTCTATATTTAAATGTCAAAGAAAGAGTAAATTGGATTTTAATATAGAATTATAATAAATATTACTTAACAGTATCATCGGTTATCACTCTTTGTTGACCCACCACAGATTACATAACCAGTCGAGTGAGACCGGTCGTTAGCTCATAATAGTATTCGTAGATTTCTTTTCTTACTCTTGCGGGGGCTTATTAAAAAACCAGCCCCGCAGGTCGCGTAGGATCTTCGAACCAAACGTGTATGTAGGCAGAACCTAATGAGTGTAATCCCGGCTCGTATAACCCGTAGCAATAGCTATTGTAGGTTGTTCACCCCTGAGTAGGGGTAAGAAAGTCCACGTGTGTGCGGCTGAGACGTTACCCAAGCCACGTGAACCGCACTTGAACTGATTTATAATATTCGAGGCATATTTCAACGCTCGACCATTAGGCTGGATTAGGGGAGCCCCGCGATGACGTGAAAGCTTTAGGGATGCCACTTGTCATAGGGATCTATTAAATTACGTGATTATTTCTTTAAATAAACCACTAAGATTGATGACCTCGCCCGTTTTGCTGCGCTCGGATTATTAAATTATACGGTAAAATATGTTTTTAATCCGTATAATGAATGGTATACGCCAGCACAGATCTATAACATCTCAAAACCACCCGCTACTGCATTACTTACGTCTTAGTATGAGGTAGGATGAAATGTTTTCGTGAGAAAAAAAAATGTGTGAATTTTTTTATTATAATTTTTCAGTTTAAGTTTTGTTTCAATTAATTTATAGATATATTCGCTTTTATTTTAGGATTTTATTAACAGGCCATGTCTTGAATATGAATCGAGCGACCAACAATAACGCATATAAAAGCATTCTCAATTTGTCACATTTCATTTTATTGGCGATTTATACGTTTATACACTTTCGTATGAGTCTTTAACCGACTTCAAAATGGAGGAGGCTCTCAACTCTATAATATTTTTATACAATGTTTTTTTGTTGGTTACCTCAAAACTCCGTCATTTATGAACCGTTTTTAAACATAATTTTTGCATTGACATCGGTCCGGTTTGTATCATGGACTCCGGAGATACAACAGCAAATGTATACTGATTGACATATTTTAGGTAGGTTTTGTTTTTTGTTAATAAATTGTATTTGTACGGCGTTAGTGTCACACCGGCCGGTCGTGGGTCGCCCGTGGGTGCAGCGGCCCACGCCACGTGCCGAGATACAATAGCGCCTTATTTACGAGGGCACTCAGATCTTCGACCAGAGGTGACACCGCGATCACTATCTCGAGCTGACAGTGCTTGCGCCGTATCTGAAATGCTTATTATAAACTAAAAACCTCCTACGTATTGTGCAAGGCGGTTTGACGAATATTCACGCCTAAACTGCGTGTTTGAGTGTGCTTTTTTTGATAAATCTTTTATAACTGATGAGGATTATTTTAAAGATAAACGTAATCAATATTCAGATAATGTGAAAATATTGATGAGTGAGCCGTGCCTTGATACCAAAACTTACCGCCATCTTATTTGGCTAATCAGTGTGAATCACTCACCTTGTTATTATTATCTTCATATATTAAAATTTTGCTTCCGTACGTTTGTGCTCACAAAACTCAAAAAGTAGCAGATGGATCGACTTGATATTTGTTCACAACATAGCTACTAAACGAGAAACGCGTAGCCTGGTTCGGCTAGTATTTAATGAAACATTACAAACAAACAGGGTGTAGCGAAATTGTATCTAAACATGGCTGCGATATACATCCGCCATGTAACTGTTGCGATAAACTAAACACCGCCAATCACCCGCAATCAAATCTAAATAGCATTTCTTTGGACAATAAATTTATCAATACCCGGTATCGCAAATGCCGAATGCTAAACGATCATCGTTTTTATACCCCACCGTGGCCGACCAATCAGCCCGCCCAAATAAGACGCGAACTCTCTCTTAATAAGTTGGCCCGAACCGCAAAATTGACGGTTCGGATTCCGATATCATTAGGCCTTTTAGGGAGACGACCTAGAAATCTCGGAGGTTTTGCCGAGCGCGTATGAACGTCGAATAAAACCAAGAAATATGCAGCGTCGATTGATTTCACAGTCACGACGGCTGCAATTAAAAGTGTATGCAAACATGTGCTGTAATTATGACTTGAAAGATAAAAAGGTACAAATCTGCAACGATTACGACGCGGACAATATGCCTTGCATGGCGAAACTCCACTGAATAAAAGTTCGTCTTTTATTAGCATGCCCCAATTATGGTGCCGATTTTATATGTTCGTTTTAATTGTTCGCCTTTCGGATTGTTGCTACGAAAAAATACTTTGTTGAATAAAGTTTATACTCAATTATTTTTTGCATGTTACAGGACTTTATTTGTTAGTTAAATGTGCAGATACGATATCCTGTTTCTAGTATTATCTTAGTTTAATGCTTCAGTTTTATATAAAATCCTATACTGGACTCAAGGAGGTATCCACGAGTTGGACACCCGCGTTCCAGGGCGGTTCTCACTGCCCCCAGCCACCGATTAGCTAAAAACACAGTCGACGGCAATCGGGGTCTCAGTCCGCACCGCAACCTCGTTGGCCCTTAGATGCCGTAGTCAAACGCACGCATGAGCAAATGCGCGGCCCTACCCACAGCGGAGGACCCAAACCCGTGGGTTCTGGCTAACCTACCTGTTCTGCGAGAGTTCAGTCTCGGGAATGAAAGCATTAAAAAAAACGAGTTGGATAGTCCCTAAGCCCTAATATAATAGAGTCACTCGTGACTCTCTGATATGATCGTCGTATTTTATTTCATGGATGACATAGTAGTTTAAGTTTAAGTAGTCTCTTCTCTTCGTCAATAGCAAGCGCGTGGCCTGTTCTGGGTTCGGTCCACATGTGGCGGATAGCTTCGCATTACCGAGTAGTTCAGTAAAAGATCTACGTTTCTCAAACTCCCTAATACAGGGATTCCCCAGTGCGGAAGATGTATTTAGAAGAAAAAGGACAGAACTCAGATATAACTGGCAAGTCACTTGTTCTGTCGGTAAAGGCTGCATGTCTCGTGGAACTCGTTTCATGGAAGAGTCCATTAACGAATGAAATGTTAATTACATTGATTAGTCTAATGGAAGATGAATGTTGTTAATCAACTCCTTTGTGTTCCCAGCGGCCTGACGTCGACCGCTGAGCGGGCCGTGACGCCGGTGTACCTCCGATGCCGCGAAGGCACCGTCTCTTGGATGTACCCCCGGGGCGCCTTGAGGTTACTCCTGCGACCGCCTCTGCCCGCAGCGGAGCGGGATTTCAACGTCTGCCTGAGGGTGATAAGGCGGCCGGACCCGCCAGAGTTCTTCCACGACCTCCAGTATAACCATACAGGTGAGAAAGAGAAAGGTTCTATGTGTTCTGTTTTATTTTTCTCTCTTTCTGCTCTACTATGCAATTATTTTGTGATCTTACATTGGTTTATTCTAACTAATGTTTAGTTAGTAAAGTTTTTCTGTATCGACACAGGGCTTTTACTGTGGTTTCAAAACACAAAAATTCTCTGCGTGGACAATGATCACAGAAAATGTTTGTCCTTTTAAGTCTGATGAAATATATTTTGGTTCCTTAGCGTGTTTATATTGACTTAATCGGTTACTCTTCCACACTTTATATATTATATCGCTTTTGTGATTCCAAGTTTATACAGCGTGTCGTTACCATCGCGACAATAAATGAACACACGTCTTACGCTACGAGCCAATAATCATAAAAGAATATTAACGTAAAACAAAATCCATAATTAAAAAAAAATATTTTTCAAACAAACTAATTAAGTAAAAAAGAAACAAAATTTCTAACATCCTATACAACTCGCGCCACAGCGTCGTATTACAAGCCTCTCCTTCTAACAGTATGTTTTGTCTCTTTTAAATTCATTCAACCCATTCATATGCTTTGTGACCTTTACAAATGAACGTTACGAATTACGTTACGCTTTTATAGGTAAGGGTGTTCTAAAATTCTTTGTTTTGGAAAATTTAATAACTCTGTAAATATTGATGTTTAAAGAATTTAAACGTTTAATACAACTTTAAAAACTTATCCCCTATATGTGTGTTCATTTATTGTCGCGATGGTAACGACACGCTGTATACACAATACCATAAATACGAGTACACACATATTCCGCGACAAAATCAGGGTAAGACAGTCTCAAGTAAAAAGCATCACTACATGTACAGGTTAATCGAGTTAACAACGACACTAGGCTCTACCATAAAAGACGCTAACTCAAGACGCTCGGCGGGGTAAAATAAAAAAAAAGAAACAACAGCGACATCAGCAGTTGCGTTCCCATGCGATCTTGCTTACTCGGAATCGATAAATAACCGCGCTTAGTAGTGATACGCTCTTTCCAGAAAAAGCCGCGAGGTTCCCCGCGCGCATCTTCGTGGAGGGGGCGCGCAAGTTGGTGCCTCTGTACGCGCCTGACGACGGGGATCCCCGGGAGTTGCGATGCTTCCGCAGCAGGCGGGGCAGGGCGGCACTATACGTCGAGGCGGACCCAGAGGAAGGACCTAGCCGGAGGGTTGCCACTTTCAAGTACGAGGCGCGCCCTTTGAACACGCGCCACTACGACCCGGCGACGGCGGACTGCAGGCCCTGCTCCGACTCCGAGCTGGAGCTGGCCTTCTGCACCAGCGACCTTGGTGAGGGTTTTTTTTAATTAGATTTAGCCAGTGCATGTGAACGATTCTCGAAGTAGATCTGTGGTATGCCCAGTTTCGTATTTGTTACGATAGCGTTTAGTTCAAATATTTTAATGCAAATAAAAGCCAAAAAAACATTCTTCGACGCGTTGTCATAAACATAATTGAGTATTTATATATGTAGAATCTGTAAAAAATGTTAATAACACCACATTTTAAAATATGAATAAAAATAAATGTTAACAAACAAATTCAACATTATCATTAATTAAGGTTATGTTTTTTTTATTTTTTCGTTTTAAATTAAAATTTGCACTCACGTATATTACCGTTGAACATATAGTCATCAACTTTTGTGCCACATTTAATAAGTTTAGAGGCAGGAACGAAATTTAGCCCTAAACATTTACAGCAGGGTGCAGCTTTATCGGTCCATAAAAATATTTGGAAGTTTCTGGAATTCCATGGCGCTGTACTGAAACGCAGCGTGACATAATTTTCTTAATTATGATAATTTTCACCGCGTCTTTTCTTTTAAAAGTATGTGGGGTTGTTTTTTTTTTTTCGGTATGTGAGGCCACGGCAATGCGTATAATGTTGCGCAATTCGCTGGGCAGTATTCGCTAAGTGCGATAGTTGTAATTACGCCTCGGCTAACTGCACATATAAACAGGCAGGAGAGCGCACCCGGGAAACTTATAATAAGCGAGGCGAGCGCGGCCGCACGGCAATTTGTCTCCATAATCGAAATACCTTGCGAATTAAACGATTTTTATAGAGCCGGTGAATGAATTTGCGCTATATACGACCGCGGGTTATTTAAAACGCGGAGTCATTCGAAATAAAAAATCATAAACGGAACGTCTTTCGTGGCGTTGCCAGCCCGATTTACGCGGAACGCATTTTCGTACTAAAACGACGAAATTCGCATTCGGCGACATTTCTCGTGAACTAGTTCTTTTTTTCGGTTTTAATTTAAATAATAATAGTGCAAGAAATATCACATTCTTTCGCGGCGGTGATGACGCGGTGTGCGTAATGCATTCCGAGAACAGCGCGTTACAACGCCCCGCGGTGGACTTGATTTACGGAAGCTCATGCCTATGCAAAAGGATGTGACGATCGCTACTTAGATTCTATTAACGGCCATAATAAGCAAACATGTACTGGACAAACTAGTACGTAGGCACGCGACGCGGCGGGGAGTGGATGTTGCTTGCTTTTTGTATTCGTTTGATAAATTGTAATGGACGCGAGTTATGTCATAGACACGCGCCCCGCGGGGCGGTGGGCGGCCGCTTCAGCTATTATGTTGTGTTCAAATTCAAATATCGTTTTATAACTCACAATTGACACAGATAAATAAAACTTTGGAAGCGTATTTTACCTTCCAAAAAAGTTTACGACTGCATAATTTATGGAAAATACATTCAATTTAAAAAAAATGTAGTATAAAAGTAAAAATAAAGATATTTCAGTGTTGTTCGTTTAAACAGCATATTTCAATTACATACCATCAACCGATAAATAGATTCTGATGATCTGCGGTATTAAGTCAGTGTACATTTTATAGAACAACTTACAAAGTTTTATTGTACCACAACCGTTCCTTTGTTGTTTCTTTTTTTTTCAAAGTGCATAAATTGGTTCAATTTGTTATGCAATGGCTTAGAAGAATCCGAAACTTGTTTAACAATCATTGACGCTATGCGTTGACGTTGGACGTTTTTCGAACAAGTTTTATTCGTAATGAAACCGAAGCAAATAAATTTATTAGCTAGTAAATTTACCTATATTTATAGTTACAATGGAAGGTCTTTATCGTTCGTCATATAGCTAGACTATCTTTATAACAAAGTATCGAGTGATTTATGGTAATATAGGATGGTAATTAGTTAAGAATGTACATTATAAAAGAACAAATTTACGACTCTCTGTCAAAACGAGTTAATCGGAGACGCATCGAAGATGGACACACGTATGGAAAGGTATAAAAGACGAAGGCAGATAATCTCTCCGTGATTATTAATTTAAACGTCCAAAATGTTGAGATCAAACACGATAGCTCGTTAGTACATACCTACATAATTATTATCTTGCTTTTCAATAGGGTTGGCGACCGAAAACCAAAGCCTCGAACATCCTTTCATCTTGCTCAAACAAAAGCGCATAAAAACTTCTTTTGCGCTTACTCACGCCCATGACAAACAAAAGAGGTTTACCGCGCTTACAACGGCGACCGAGTGATTAATACTAAAACCATTAACCAATCGTTATCCGCCATGTCTAGACTGTGACTTGCCATATTTTTGCCGTGACAGCGATTTTGGCGGTAAAATTGCTGCCATTTCAATACACGTTTAGTCTGTACCGATCGGTTGAATGTAACAAAAAGCGGCAGTGATTGATATAGTTTGAGTAGCAATTTGGAATTGCAACGAGAACAACGAACGCATTATACAAGTTAACAGATGTAGAACTGTAACATAATAATTTTTTTTACAAGTATGATAAAAGATAATTTATAAGTATATAATGCAAACATCTTCTTAAAATTCAATTAATTTAAATCATATTCATTAGATAGTAGTCCAGGGTCTTTTGTTTGCCAGCTGTGGACATTCGTCCATCGACGTCGACCTGAGTCCATTCTAAGAGTTGTAGCAATCTCTATATCAACGAATAATGTTTTCTTTGTATTTTCGAGATTAAAGCTTGAATGTCCGCGGAAATGCTGACCTCTGTCGACTGTATTATAAAATTTAAGACGGACTGATTGCCCGTTTAAGATGGTACGGTAGTGAGGTACTTACACCGCTCGTGGTATCATAAATGCACATTTTTATCTTTTAACGTGCAAACTCTTTTTATTCAAAGCTTCGAGACAATTTATCACTGCACACCGAAAAGTTTATGATATTGTATATCTAACTTATTGTAATAATTAAAAAAATAAGCGAGATCTGTGTTAGAAACTGAATCATGACAAATTAAAACCTTCCCACATAATGATTTCTTGTTTTTACGCGAATATTATACATTGTTAAATAAAAATATTTTACGGATTTTAGTTGCGTTTAATTCAATATTAAATTCCCGGCGTTTCGAACCACTCTTTCCAGCGTTCATGGTCACGGGACTTAAGTCTGAAAATCGACGTCTGTTGTATATAATATAAGTCCGAACGACGTGATATCAATTAAGTCATATTTCAAGCTTATAAAAGTAACAGTATTTTTGTTAAGACATTCTTTGAACGAGAAACCGCTGCGTTGAAAATGCTTATAAAGGTACCCACACATCCTGTGTTGAATTCTGCCTGTATTAATAATAATTAATTAATATTAACCGGTGTTTCGTTGTCTCCAGTGTCGCGCGTGATGATAGTGGGCAGCGAGGAACGGGAGGATTTGGATAGCACACAGCTGACGCTGCGCTTGACGAAGGTGCTCCGCGCGACAGGCGGCGAGCTTAACGCCGACGAGCTCGAACACGACGGCAACTATTATGCGTAAGTAGCATCAGAGTCAGTAGCTTAATGTGGTAGGAGCACCCAACAATTTGTGCTATTATAGCACGATTGGGTAGGCTCGTTGTCACAGAAGACCAGTAAATTGTAATCACTTTCGCCTTTCGTTCCGTGGATGAGGTAACGGGCATTGTCTTTAAAGGTTGTCGAAGCATCTGCAAACCCACGGATGTGGTATACGTACATGGGCGGCGGTATTCGCTTAACAACGGATGAACCGCATGCTTTTTAAACTTTAACATAAAAAATTGCACTTATCCGTGAAAAAGAATGGTCATACCTAAAAATGATGTGCGAAACTCGCAAACAAGGACGACTACAAAATGTTAATGTTTCCACTTTATTTTCTTGTTTTCTATACGACATTGGTTTTGATATGCCATTTTATTATAAGTCGGTAATTGGGAGTGGAAGAGACGATTGCTATTAGTTTAAATCATAATACAGAACCAAGAATGACCAAAAATAAATTCGCTCGAAAAATCTTTAAATAAGTCTTATGCGTCAAATATAAACATCTAAATTGAGAATTTATTGCAATACAACATCGTAACTGTATCTATTATATGTCATGTGGTGGTTGTAGTTGTACATGAGGCATTGAACTAAATGGGGAGTCGTGCAAAATTATTTAAGGCAGACTCGTTTGACTCTTGCAGTGCACTGTGGCTACTAGCTAGGTTATTTCTTTAACGGTGGTATGCATTAAAGTATCAGCTGTTCCGGGGAAGTGCCACTGCCACGGGCCTAGACGTCTTCCAGACGTCGAAAACGCACCCGTTTGGCTTACCGGGCGATCCGTATGGCGCGTTCACTTGCTTGTTTTATATAGACCAGAGACCAACCCAACCTACCCTCTTCGCAGGTACCAGGTCGACAACGACATAGCGTCGGAGGCGCGCGAGGAGTCGCGAACGTTGCACGCGCACGTGCACGTGTGGTCCGGCTGCGGGGCGGCGGCGGGCGCGGGCGAGTTCGTGGCGATGGCGCGCCGCCGCCTCGGCCGGCTGGCGCTGGTGTGCGCGCCCCGGACGCACCAGTGGCGCCGCCTCGCGGAGGCGCGCGCAAACGCACACGACGCGCACTGCACGCTGCGCCACTGACGCGCACGTGGCGCAGGCGCCGGCGGATGTGACGTCACGGGACAGCGGAAACGGCAACGTGCGACGCGCCGCGGTTGTGACGTCACGGAACTGCGGCAACGGCAACACGACGCTACGGATATGACGTTGCGTGACGCTTAACGCGCTGCAAAATGACCCGCGGCTCTGCGGCGCAAACGTTATTCGGAGCGACGTGACGTCAATCAACGCTCAACCGCACGAAGGACGCGATGCTCGCCGTAACCGTTGTATGTACAAGTGATGTACAACACATTGGAGTTGTGCTACGAAACTGGGAATGACGTCACGCGACGCGCGGAAATTGTGAACTACCCACTTTTTTGTCCCTTTAGTGTTGTGCGTCTAACTGCTGTAACTTTGTTATGCGTTAGGCTGCTACCGTGACGATGCTTTCACGAGGGATCTTTATGGATTGCTTTTGAGATTGAATAATATATTACTATCGATATACAACACCCACCACAAATTGTTGCTGCACTGTGCACTACTAGCGAAGTTTGTAACGGGTTGAAAACTAAATTGAGGTATGCAATACTACGAAATAATTTTTACACGGGTTTTTAAAACTGATACTTTACAAATCGGTGGCTCCTTTTAGTCCTTTATACATGAATATAAGAGTGAAACAAAAAGCAAACCTTCAACGCCAGTTGTCAACAACGTCTTATCTCTAAATATAAACAATACCTGTTCTAATATTTTACATCAGTAAAAAATTTTACTTTACAAAAAATACATAATGCATACAACAGACAAAAGATAATAATCTCAAGGGTCTAGTTTTGTAATTTAAATTCAATTTTCTGTATAATTGATTTAAAAGATGTAAATAAATATAATCCTACTAGGCTTTGCAATTTAGTAACTGTGATTAGAAAATATATCTTATTAAAATATATTATTGCTTTCAAATCAGAATTCTGATATTGAAATGGTATATGAACAAAATTTATTGTAAACTTGCCATAACATGCTACCTATTGTAAAAATATGATAAATAAATTTATATATTAAGACAATTGCTCATAAATCTATATGGGTAAGAATTTGTGGTCCAGAGTGCCAAAATCTGTAAGATCTTATATTAGACCTAAGGTTGATCTCAACGCTGTAAATATTATGTTAAGATCGAAATAGCTAGAGCCATATAAAATAACACCTTCTGATATAGCCATATTAGATAACATATAATTCCATGTTTCGCTTAATATTATTATAATCTTCGCCTATATACACCTTACAAGAAAGTATGGAATTAAAAATGGGCGACTTAAATAGAAAGGGCGAAGTATTATATAAGTTACAAACTAGAAGAAGTTTACATACGCCCACAAAATCTCTCCAATAAAGTATCATATTAGTGCTTCCAATGAAAATATTATAATGATGGAATATTTTATTAAAACATATAATTGTTAATAAATGATTTATATAATCCTTTAAAACGATATTACTATATTTTGTGTATATTTTATCAATATTATTAATATATATTTGTATAAATGTTTTCACTATAGATGTCGATATGTGATATAGAATACAACGAGTAGATATAAATTATAACAAAGTGCCTACTGTATGTAATTACGAACTTTGGGATTTATAAATAAATATCGTAAATATTTTATATTGTAACATGAGAAGAAAGTTTAATAAAACCGTTGCAAAACCTTGTTTTTGATTTTGAATTCAAATTAAATTAGTTTCTGTCTACATGACATGGGTATTAACCACCCATTTCTACCACGGGTTTACAAAACACTAGCTTTGTAAGTACTAATTTTGTACGTACCAGGGTATGACTCGCTGTTTTTGAAGGTTGGCAATGCATCTGAAAATCCTTCATGAGTTGTGTGGTCCATGGCGGTAATCATTTGAAATCAGTTTTAATACCTACCTCTGTATACTTTTTACATATATTATTTTGATATAAAAAAAATCGTTTTTTGTTTACTACACATGTAATAATAGGCAGGGACATTTTTCTTTTATCACTCGATTTCAAATTTAAATCTCATAATTGAATAAGACTCTCATAGCTAATGGGTATATAGCAGATAGAGGAAATTGCATGTAAGAATACTTAAAACGAAAACTTGTTTACACAACTTAGCAGTCAAAGTGACTTGTGCCAATGGGATTAGATTATAATTTAGAATCTGTAATATCGAATCGCGCCACGTCGTCTCACTCTATCATAACTATCGGTTGCTTTATTGACATACGAAACTTCGAACTGTAATATAACCAGAGGCGGATTAAACGTTGAGAGCGCTGTGAGCAAGCATCTCATCGGCGCCTCTACATTACGGCTGTAAGGTACGACTGGCATATAAAAAACCATGAAATTCTACCCAAACCATGAAATTCTCTATATAATAATTTCTGCTTTCACACGCCATTCGACTCTTTGGTGTAAATAACGAGTTTTAAATATTTTTTTCTTGAAAACTACAAACCACCAGAGAATTCTGCTTGTTGATTATTTCTTGTGATTTTTCTCTACCGAATAAAACTTTTGTTAGGTCTAAAAACATCCGGCGCTAATGGAAAAAAATATCATATCTTGATTAAACCATTCAGTGTAATAATAATATTCTTGTATTTCATTATTGATATCCCAATTGACTGGGTCACATATCTACGATAAACAGTTTATTTTACAACTGCTTCACAACATCTACTACTGCCTACTCCATGTAGACAGCGTAGGTTCGGACAAATTTTGTGGTTGTTTATAACTAGTAGGAATTTCGTATTGCATAGGATTGCTTTTGATGACTCCGTGGCACAGTTGCCAAGGTATTGGCTTCGGCGTCGGGGGTCGTGGGCTCGATTCCCACACGGGACAACTATTTGTGTGACCCACAGGTAGTTGTTTCGCATCTGGGTGTTTGTCCGCGTGAAATTTATGTTTGTAAAACGTCCATACATTAGCTATAAAACGTGCTAAAACCCTACTCTTTTAAAAAACAGGTTAAGGAGCATTATCTATCTGTCTAGCTCCTCTCTATCTTTCAACGTCTCTCTCTACCCCTTTTAATTTCACCCTTAAATCTTTGATCACTCACTTGAAGTATGTTTTTCTTAAAATATGTAGAAAAAGTGCGAAAAGATTGTCGCCGCTGTGGGAATCGAACCCACGTCTTTGGCATTCGCGGCCTGACGCTCTAGCCACTGAGCTAAACGGCTGATTACCACACCGACGAAAATCTTAACGCATTCTTCCACATTGTTTTCTTAGCATTTGAAGCAATGCTTGGCGCCATCTATTGTTATATCCTTTCCAGCATACAAACAATTTCGAATATCGTTTTACAACGATAATTCGAACGAGAGATGTCGCCATTGCTTTTTTAGAAATTGAAATTGTTTATAGTGCTAATCTTTGCACTTAAGATTGAACATTAAAATATGTAGAAAAAGTGCGAAAAGATCAAAGCGGCGACAATCTTAATAAAACAATTTCAATTTTTATGTTTTTCTTATTATTTTAATTGCTACTTTCTTTTTACTATTATTATTATTTTTTTTCCTTCATGTACATCCTACCCATCAACAATTCCTTTTGGTAAATTTTTGAGGTTGCCTGGAAGAAATTGCTGTGTAGCAATAAGGCCGCCTTTTGATGACCAATATTTTGTTAAATATTTTGTTTTTTGTACTTTTTCATTTTGATTTTTTGGTGTACAATAAAGTATATTATTATTATTATTATTCGAAAGCCAGCTACCGACCTAGCAGCTTCCTCAATTGCTTGGTAATAAAGGTAAAAAAAATAAAAGCCGAAGAAACCCGCTAATAAGCCCTCTAGTCGACCTATCAGCCTCCCCAATGTTTTTCAAGGTACCTACCTTTCTCCCTTGCTTTTTACGCTCTACAGGAGCGACATAAAAGACCCACACGTCAATTTCGCGCTTTTCGCGGATGACACGGCGCTCTTTTACGCAGATAAAAATCTTAATCAGCTCACTACTCGTCTCGAAAGCGCCGCCGACCGCCTCGTGATTGGTTGCACAAATGGAGAATAGTAATAAATCCCGACATGACTGTGGCGATTCACTTCAAACGAAGTACTTACCCGTACACCTATATAAAGACCCTCGCCAATGAAGAAAACTATGGCAAATATCTCTTTACGGTGGTACTCTCCTGGGAGAAAAAGGCCAAATATCTAGGAGTCACTTTCGACTCACGCATGACGTTCACATAGCATATTAAGGATATTAGAAATAGGCACATGCCTAGTTTGCCTTAAGGATAGTTCGCCTCTAAATATATTATTGTAAAATAATATTATATTACAGCTTCTGAGGAAACCTGTGACATATAGGTTTTACAAATTTGAGATCAAAATCAAAATCAAATGTCTTTATTCAACATACGAGCATTACACTCGCTTATTGATAGTCAATACACTAACCACCGCCACCGGTTCGGAAAAGAGCCACTGTACTGAGAAGAACCAGCGAAAGAAACTCAGCGGGCTTTTTTTTTACAAATAGAATTCTCTAAAGTATAGTATTATTGATCAAGCTTTACTACCTCGTTTTATTAAATAAAACACGGGTGTGATATAGCAATCCATTTATTGAAAAAAATCACAACTGATACCACATAGAAAATCTACTCGGCACGGTTTAACTCTTAACTATATAATAATATCACATAAACACTTATAATTTGATAGACTATATACATTAGATAGACAATTTATATTTTCGTTTTTGGTACCACCTGATATTATTGATTGGTTACGTTCACAGTTGCAAATAAATAAATTGAAACTAAACATTTCCCTTCAATCAAAAAACAAAATAATAATATAATGCAATGCAGTTGCAGCAACTAAAACACACAAAATATTTACAAGTTTTATTGAGAAATGAATATTATTAAAACAATGCACTTGATGTGTAATATATTAAAATAATTATATATTGTATCGGGTATTCATAGAGGGTGATTTATAAATTTATGTTGTATAAATTCACCCGTAATACATTTTGCATATTTAGACTTCAGAGATTTAAGGGCCAACTTCACGTTATGTATTTACCGACGTAAGAAAATTACCTTTTCGGCACGAAAAACTTTTAATATTATTTTCATTTAGTTATAATTTTAAAAGGACCTCGTAGTGGTTATTTACGTCGGGTGTAATACACGGAAAAAATTTATACCAAAATAGTAATTTTCAAAACAGGTACATAAAACGATCTGATATGTAATTATTATCTTGAAGTGAAAACATACTATACATATAATTGAAATGCATAAATCCGGAATACAATTTATAGAAATAAATAGTTTCTTAACTAATAATAATCTTACATAGAACTTCCTTAGTTTTGTGATAGTACGTAATAATTTTATAATCATAATTCAGTACGATTTTACTGTTTAAACTAAGGGCCCATTAATTTGCTTTAAATTATGTCAAGACATTCAAAAAACTTCGTTACCAAAATATACAATCGGAACAATCGAAGAAGTACATATAAATAATTTAAAACGGAAAGGTGGTCTCTTAAAAATATTTATTCTTAACAAGTAAATCATCAATATATGAAATAAATCCTTTAGAATTCTGGCGTTAATGGCGCAATAGAAAAATAGTTTTTTTTAATTTAGATATAAGCTACACAATGTTAAGAGTATTTGACAATTTAGGCTAGATTGTAGATTAACTACCGACTCTCACAAGACTTCGATCTAATGTTTGCTGTAAAGTTTTACGTGCACTGACACTGTACACAGTTCTTTTACACTTTACACTGTTGTTTTGTTATTTCTTCACATGTCGGTTAAGGCGAGAATATTGAAGAAAAGGAAATCAGTGTATCATCATGAGACAGGTTCACAAACATCAAACATTCACAAAAAAAAACATTTCAAGATAATTTATTATTCCCAGGCATAAATATTTTCTTTTTATTTAAAATACATTTTATATAGTTTCTCAGAAAAAAGGATGAGCAATTTACGATCAGCCTTATTTACCATCAAATAACGTTTTCTTTATAACTCAAAAAAAATATTTTTACGAAACATTGTATTAAGGAAATAATATTAACCTGTATACTTCCACGAAGCACAAAGTTTGGATGCCATGTGAGACAAATTTGGATACAGTGCGTATTTCAAATAAAACTATAAAATACATATCTTTTAGGCAATCTTGATTTTTTTTTTAATTTCTAATGACAGTCATAATATTTTTACATAAATCTTTTTTATAATATCTAACAATGAAATCCTAATTTCTACGCGCAGAAATTATTATTAATGAGAAGTTGTTATATTTTTAACTCTGAAAATTTTTAATAAGTTTATAAAGTTGATTGCGTTGAATTTTAATTGTATTAAAACATCTAACGAACATGTAAAATGTGTACTTTTTATTTTTCAAAATCCTGTTTTAGGTAAATATTTATATTTAACAGCTCTACAATGGATTTATTGTCGAAATATTTATAGTAATCTACTAATGAGGGAAAGCTCGGACTTGCTAAAACATTCACATGTAAAACTTTTTTTTTAATTTATGAGTAAAAATTTTTTTATTTATTTTATGAGAGATTTAATGTTCCCATTGTCTTTACATAAACGAAATTAAACATAGAGCTTAACTTATAAAAAAAAAAAACAATTTCTGTGAAATATAAAAATTCAGCATAAAATTATCATTTTTTCCTTTAACACTTTGTATTGTATGAAGTAAGTAATAAGATTGGATGAAGTTTTATTTATAAGAAGTAAGAATTTTTAAATTGGTAAATGTGTGATAAAAAAAACATGGATAAAACAAAATTGAACAGTACAATCATAATAAAGTTTAAGTAACTTCAAACAAAAAATGGCAGTGAAACGAATGAATTTAAAAATTGTGCGAATAAATAAATATTATTTAGCAGTTTTCGTCAAATGCGTTAAAGGTTTTAATTTTATTCAAAATAACACTAAGACTGTAAATAAATTATATGTTAATTATATAACACATGTAATACTAATACCTTAAAGCAAATCAACATTTAAAATAATGTAACTTAATATAAATTTTAAAATTAACAAAAATACCATTACGTTTTCAATATGCCTTTTTAATTAAAACCTATCATAGGCAATTACATATTTTTCATTAACTACACGATTAGTAACAAAATTTTGAGGTACTGAACTGTATTCATAAAACATTTTAAATAAATACTGTATTTAGATATATTGGATAGTTATTCAAAATTTTGGATTTAAAATATATGTGGACTTTCTTTGACGTAGTCTTTCATTAAGTAACAGTTTAAATTACTTTAAGATGTCTCGAGTAATATATGTAGAAGTATGATATTAACAACTTGCAAGTTTTTTTTAAACCTGACACAAATCCAATATGTGGTCCACTAAAAACATTCTATATTAAAAGGTCGGCCCCATACATTGTTTTATTATTATTAATTCACGGTCAATAGCAGCATTTGTACCTGATAATATTAAATGCAACGTAAGTTTTCGCCACAGTTACGGAGCCGGCTCTGATATGCGACTGACTAAATAAAGAGGAACCTGAGTTTTTATTTATACCCTCAAAACAACGATAGTTATTGTTACTACATATTTCATGATAATGAGATGTGTCGAAAAGTCAAAATCGAACAAAATTTTGACTTAAGCGTAAATAAAATCGAACATCGGAATTAATGTGCGTCTTTTAAAATCGTAAATTGAATGTAACTCAACAGGGCTTTTTTATTTCAGAGATTTTAAACCGTACGCAACCGACAGATCCTATTGGGCCCAAGCCCAATGTATCTAACGTATGCGTGCGTAAATTCCCCTCTATCGGCCCGTTTCAATATTCAATCTACCGATAAACTTTGTTCCTAGAGACAGAATTTTGAAGTATTACGAAGGTAATGTCAAATACTTATCGCCAGTAACCATATCTATCTGTAAATAGAATATTGAAACCAATGGTGGACAACCATACATACAAACATAGCGCTGTATTTTATTAGCAACACTGGTCGCATTGGTTGTAGTATTTTTTTGTATTCGCTCACTCGCGTAGGGTTAAGAAATACAGCGATATATCGATATTTATAAAAATATCAATATCAGCCTCGATATATCGAAAAGAAAATATTGATATATCGATATGTCGTATATGGGTCCTAGAAACCCCTTTGTCCAAAAAAGATGAAGGTATGGCAAGTCTTTAATATTTGACACCTCCGGACCCTGCCAGATTCGAATTTGAAAAGATATCGTTTTTGATACGACTTTCGATATTGAATACTTTGTATCGATATATCGAATCCACATATATCGACGGCTGGAAATATCGAGGTATCGACATTTCTTCGATACCCGTACTCACTCGTAGCGCACGGGCGTCGGCGTCATCAGGTCCACGAGGATGTCCTCCATGTTGGGCAGCACCAGCACCTTCTCGAACTCCCTGGTGAGCTTCTGCTCTATCCAGTTGGAGATGTGCGCGAAGCGGAGCGCCCGGGCCCCGACGGCCGGCCTAGCGCGGAGCACCAGCTGCGGGTTGGTGCGGAATCTACGACCACACCCAGACCACAATTATACAAACAGCTCCCGCGGCGGAAACGCACTTCTGCCCGTATGTGAACAAACGTCACGCACACACACGCAACGCGCTTACATCGTTGGCAGAACCATTTACCTCCGAACCATTTATCACCTAACGAGGGAAGAAAACGGGCGTGAGATTAAACTGTTGTACTTTTGCCTCCTCCCCTGGGGATATGTCTTCTTCATATACCTCTGAACCGGTACCTAACGAGTGAGATAGTGTAAAATGGCGTGGGATTGATCAATTGTATTTTGCCTAATAGGGGTACGTCTTCTTCATATAAGTCTAAACCGGTACTTAACGAGTGAGATAGTGTAATATGGCAGAGTGAAAGACATGTACGGCACAGTTTCACGCGCTAGAGGGCGTGAGATTGATCAATTGTATTCTTGCCTAATAGGGGTACGTCATCTTCATATAAGTCTAAACCGGTACTTAACGAGTGAGATAGTGTAATATGGCAGAGTGAAAGACATGTACGGCACAGTTTCACCCGCTAGAGGGCGTGAGATTGATCAATTGTATTCTTACCTAATAGGGGTACGTCATCTTCATATAAGTCTAAACCGGTACTTAACGAGTGAGATAGTGTAATATGGCAGAGTGAAAGACATGTAACGGCACAGTTTCACGCGCTAGAGGGCGTGAGATTGATCAATTGTATTCTTACCTAATAGGGGTACGTCATCTTCATATAAGTCTAAACCGGTACTTAACGAGTGAGATAGTGTAATATGGCAGAGTGAAAGACATGTACGGCACAGTTTCACGCGCTAGAGGGCGTGAGATTGATCAATTGTATTCTTACCTAATAGGGGTACGTCATCTTCATATAAGTCTAAACCGGTACTTAACGAGTGAGATAGTGTAATATGGCAGAGTGAAAGACATGTACGGCACAGTTTCACGCGCTAGAGGGCGTGAGATTGATCAATTGTATTCTTACCTAATAGGGGTACGTCATCTTCATATAAGTCTAAACCGGTACTTAACGAGTGAGATAGTGTAATATGGCAGAGTGAAAGACATGTACGGCACAGTTTCACGCGCTAGAGGGCGTGAGATTGATCAATTGTATTCTTGCCTAATAGGGGTACGTCATCTTCATATAAGTCTAAACCGGTACTTAACGAGTGAGATAGTGTAATATGGCAGAGTGAAAGACATGTACGGCACAGTTTCACGCGCTAGAGGGCGTGAGATTGATCAATTGTATTCTTACCTAATAGGGGTACGTCATCTTCATATAAGTCTAAACCGGTACTTAACGAGTGAGATAGTGTAATATGGCAGAGTGAAAGACATGTACGGCACAGTTTCACGCGCTAGAGGGCGTGAGATTGATCAATTGTATTCTTGCCTAATAGGGGTACGTCATCTTCATATAAGTCTAAACCGGTACTTAACGAGTGAGATAGTGTAATATGGCAGAGTGAAAGACATGTACGGCACAGTTTCACGCGCTAGAGGGCGTGAGATTGATCAATTGTATTCTTACCTAATAGGGGTACGTCATATTCATATAAGTCTAAACCGGTACTTAACGAGTGAGATAGTGTAATATGGCAGAGTGAAAGACATGTACGGCACAGTTTCACCCGCTAGAGGGCGTGAGATTGATCAATTGTATTCTTACCTAATAGGGGTACGTCATATTCATATAAGTCACAGTTTAAACCGGTACTTAACGAGTGAGATAGTGTAATATGGCAGAGTGAAAGACATGTACGGCACAGTTTCATGCGCTAGAGGGCGTGAGATTGATCAATTGTATTCTTGCCTAATAGGGGTACGTCATCTTCATATAAGTCTAAACCGGTACTTAACGAGTGAGATAGTGTAATATGGCAGAGTGAAAGACATGTACGGCACAGTTTCACGCGCTAGAGGGCGTGAGATTGATCAATTGTATTCTTGCCTAATAGGGGTACGTCATCTTCATATAAGTCTAAACCGGTACTTAACGAGTGAGATAGTGTAATATGGCAGAGTGAAAGACATGTACGGCACAGTTTCACGCGCTAGAGGGCGTGAGATAGTGTAATATGGCAGAGTGAAAGACATGTACGGCACAGTTTCACGCGCTAGAGGGCGTGAGATTGATCAATTGTATTCTTACCTAATAGGGGTACGTCATATTCATATAAGTCTAAACCGGTACTTAACGAGTGAGATAGTGTAATATGGCAGAGTGAAAGACATGTACGGCACAGTTTCATGCGCTAGAGGGCGTGAGATTGATCAATTGTATTCTTGCCTAATAGGGGTACGTCATCTTCATATAAGTCTAAACCGGTACTTAACGAGTGAGATAGTGTAATATGGCAGAGTGAAAGACATGTACGGCACAGTTTCACGCGCTAGAGGGCGTGAGATTGATCAATTGTATTCTTACCTAATAGGGGTACGTCATCTTCATATAAGTCTAAACCGGTACTTAACGAGAGAGATAGTGGAAAATGGCAGAGTGAAAGAGATGTACGGCGCAGTTTCGCGTGCTAGAGGGCGCAAGGGGACTCACCCGATCCATACGCGGTCGTGGGGCGGCGGGGGCAGGTTCACCGCGAGGCGCCCCTCCAGCCCGTGCACTTCTAGCTGCAGCTTGATGTCCGTGTTCGAGAGGCCCTCCATGGCCCGCTTCACGTACTTGTAGTCCGTCACCTGAGGAAATGGTACGACAGTCGTCCGTGAGGCGGGATGTTTATATGTTTTTTATATGTTTTTGAATGTTACAATTTTACATTGCCCTTACTTTAGGTTAGCATAATCTTGTGTTGTAAGGACTTTTTACAAATATAAATTTCACGTGGACAAATACCCGAAACAACTATCTGTGGGTCGCACAAATAGTTGTTCCGCGTGAGAACCGAACCCACGACCCCAGACGCCGAAGCCAATACCTTGGTAACTGCGCCGCAGTCATCAAAAAGATGTAGTAATAACAGTGGTAGGGCCACACAAGTATCTGCTGTAAGGCAGGTTAAATCTCACAGAAGACTGGCGTGAAATGGAAACGTGGGCAGGTCCATCGGGGAAGTGCCAGGACCTTACAGAACACCGGCGTGAAGTGGAAACGTTATACTGCTGAGTTTGGTCTGGCGAGTGAGTTACCGGGGCCCACTTTATTGTAAGGTGGCAACGCATTTGTAAACATTGGGTATTGCAAATGACGATGGGCGGCGGTTATCGCTAAACCTTCAGGAGATACAATTGGTCTTATAAAGAGCTATAATAGTTAATAATTGACATGAACGAATAGTATTGCAAGGTAATGATTGTGTAAGCAGTAAAAGCTAACCTGTTGGAAGTATTTATTTGTGGCAATCTTGTCGACCATCCGTAGGAATTTCTTCTTTGACGACCCGCCCTCCGCTATAGCTGACCTACAGTAAGTTATGAGTATTACATGAAATTTTAAAAATTCATTACTAGATAGATTACTTTTAAATGTCCAACATTAGAAGTTTTCTTAGATCAGTAGACATGTGTTATGGTTTCTGTGATTTTTTATTTTCGGATTACAATTTAATCCAAAAGTTTATTATATTTAAATGTCTACATTTACGTTTTATCGACTCACAATTTTCCTATTTTTGCTCATACAAGGATGGGGTATCATAATCATTATCGTTTTTATCAAACGGTAAGAACTAGTTACTATCTTTGATTTTAAAATTAATACCTACCGTAAAACCTCATGAATCTTTAATTAACTTTGACATTAGCGAAAAGATTATTTATTATAAAATATTTTTCTTTCGACGATTATATAAAACATTACCTGTGGATCACGCAAATAGTTGTCCCGTGTGGGAATCGAACCCACGACCCCCGATGCCAGAGCCAATTGCCTTGGCCACTGCGCGACGGAGTCATCAAAGAAGAGACAAGAAATTCTCAAGGCTTAAAACTATGATATTATTTACTTGTATTTCGCCCGCGGCTTCGCTCGCGTTGAAGCCCTTAAATAAATATCTTTCTTTAAAAAAAATCCATGTGACGCCCACCCCCGTATTGTTGGGAGGCTGGCCACTCGAAGTTGTTGATAGCTATGTCTATCTGGGACAAATGGTCCAACAAGGCAAATCCAACTTCGAGAAGGAGGTCAATCGACGAATCCAGCTCGGCTGGGCTGCGTTCGGGAAATTGCGCAGCGTCTTTACGTCCAAAATACCAGTCCTTTAAGACGAAAGTCTTTAACCAGTGCGTGCTACCAGCGATGACCTACGGTGCCGAGACGTGGTCTCTCACTATGGGCCTCATAAGGAAGCTCGCGGTCGCACAGCGCGCTATGGAAAGGGTAATGCTTGGGGTTTCTCTACGAGATCGAATCAGAAATGAGGAGATCCGTAGAAGAACTAGAGTTACCGACATAGCAGAGCGAGTCAGCAGGCTGAAGTGGCAGTGGGCAGGGCACATAGCTCGAAGAACCGATGGCCGTTGGGGCAAAAAGGTTCTCGAGTGGAGACCACGTGACGGCAAACGCAGCGTAGGAAGGCCTCCCACAATGTGGACGGACGACCTAGCCAAGATCGCAGGGACGCGTTGGATGCAGGCCGCTAACGACCGGTCGAAGTGGAAGTCAATGGGGGAGGCCTATGTTCAGCAGTGGACGTCCTACGGCTGATATGATGATGATGATGATGATGAAAAAAAATCTAATTAAAAAATAGCCTATGTCCTTTCTCAGGCTCTAGACTATCTGTGTTCCAAATTTCATTTAAATCGGTTCAGTAGTTTTGGCGTGACAGCGAGACAGACAGACAGAGTTACTTTCGCATTTTTAATATTAGTATGGATGTATGGATTACTCACGGCGACTCAGCTGGTGCGATGTACAGCTTGCTGTCGACGGGCTGCATTGGCGGGCTCTCGTCGTCGCTGCTAGATTCCGCCGAATCCTCGATTTCGGAGTCGTAAATGGCGGGTTTGTTTCTCTAACGGGCGAAACAAATGTGACAAATGAAACAAAACGGGATTAAAGTAACAAATATTGTTTTACGGGAGAAGGCCAAGCAATGCAATTTCTTTACTTTATGAATTCGAAACGTTATTTTATTTTCTCATATTAACAAGATTAAATATATATAAAATTAAATAACATCTATTAATCCTAATCCATGCCGTACACTTGATATTAAGTGATAAACACCGCCTATTGATACAGTGTATTGGAGGAGCAGCGTTCAATTTCAGTGGCGTACATTGGAATTCTGCTTATCCAATGTTTTAGCGCAAACATCACTTGAAATGAAATGAAATGCATGAAATTTAAATCGGCTTCTCGCATTTTGTTATTTTATAAACTTGGAAGAAACAACCAAACATTAGCTATCCAAAACTCCATTAAACTAGATATTTCAAAAGGGCGCTCACTCTTAGAAGGTTCTCGGGGCCAACCGACGACGAGGAAGCTTTCACCTCGGTCTCTTCGACATTCTCACTGGTCGTCAACATTTGGTCTTCCAAAGTCATGTCTGTAAGAATTACACGACTTTAACGAACTGAAACTATTTCATTAACTTCTTGACCGGAAATCAAAGTTGAATAATAAAATAATTACTTTTGAATGAAATGAATATAAAATACTGCACATATAACAATGGAACAAAATAAGAAAATTACATAGTACATTTGTGATATCTAATCCGAACGAGGTTAGAATTTAAGAGAACCGCTCTGCAACAATAAATGCAAGTATTTAAACGACAGTACATAACACAGACAGATAGTATATATACTTATGACGAAATACGTATATAACCTGCCGTGATATTAGATCGATGAATAAAAAATATTTAAGTGAGTCAGTGGCCGGGCGCTCGCGTTTAATATACTCGAGCAACCTGAGTTCGATCTCCGGTGCCGGTACCAATGAAACTGCTGAATTATCACGTGCTCAGCGGTGAAGGAAAACATCGTGAGGATACCTGCATATTTTCTAAATAATAAAAAAAATGTTTCGATTAGTGAGATCGAACCCCAGAGACAGCATCACTTCTTAAAGCTTATCCACGCATCGGCAAGTCCTCATGCGATGGAATGAAAGTGATGAGTCCTCATGTGTGGAGTTAAAGACGGCGGTCACATAACATCAGGTGGACCGGCCGCACGCTATAAGACAACTTTGCTTAGTATCTATAAAAAAAAAAACACTAGCTAGTTAGCAGCGCTCACTCTTCTCCTTGAGCTTCATTAGGTTGATCTGGGTGAGTATCGCGATGTGCGCGCCGCCGTCGTACCGCAGGTCGGCGTCGAGCCACACGCCCCGCTCGTCCCACGAGGGCTGAGAGACGCCGCGCACTAGCGGACAGGCGCCCGTCAGCGACAGCTCCGTCACCAGCAGCGGGCTCATGAACGACGGCAGCTGGTGGCACAAGTTGCCGGTCATTTAGGGGACCGTTCTCAAATTATACAGTACAATGCATCGAAGTGTTTAAGTGAGATATCACGAATGACGGCAGCAGGCGACACAAGTTGTCGATTATTTACATGACAGTTCTCACATTAGATGGAACAATACACTAATTTTATGTAAATGTTTAAGTGGTAGATTGCAAGTTTTTATTTATTTAATTGTTCCTAAATTACATAATACGATACACCACTGTTATATGTTTAAATTAGATATGAGAACCGACTATAGAAGTACACAACAATGACCGAGCTCGATGACTCGGCTACGCAGATGTTTGTAGTGGAAGTCAAGGGTCAAGGTCACCTTGAGCGTGTTGAGCTTCCTCTGTATCCTGTTCTGCAGGCGAGCGATGGTGGCCGGGTCACGCATCACGTCGAACATCAGCCTCGCGAGCACCGTGTTCACCCAGGTCACCTCGGCTGGCAAGGTGCGGCACGCGCACTCGACGCCCACCGTCTGCGGCTGCGTTGGACCGATGTACAGGGGTCAGAAATTGATACAATCTCTCGGGGAATTAGTAGGATGCCCCTCGAAAGAGTTGGTCGTGGTTGTGAAATTAATAGAGTGCCTACAAACAAGATGGTCGTGGTTGTAAAATTAATAGATTGCCTACAAAAGTGATGGCCGTGGTTGTGAAATTAATAGATTGCCTACAAAAGAGATGGTCGTGGTTGTGAAATTAATAGGTTGCCTACAAAATAAATGGTTGGGGTTGATAAATGAACAGGATTCAGATTCCTAATTTAAGACCATCTCTTTAAAAGTGCTTTTAAAGAGATGGTCATAAATGAGGAATTATCGGGATGTACATTGAAAGAGATGGTTGTGGTGGTGAAATTAATAGGATGTCTAGAAAATAGATGGTCGTGGTTGATAAATAAATAGGATGCCCCACAAAATAGATGATCGAGTTGTGAAAATAATAGGACGCTTACAAAGCAGATGACATAAGATGTCTATTAATCGTGGTTGAGAAATTAATAGGATGTTCCTCAAAGAGATAATAATAGCATGTTTCATAAGAGGAGGAATTAATAGGTTGCTTACAAATGGATGGTCGTGGTTGACAAAATAATAGTATGTCTCATAAGGTCATGATTGACCAAATGAATAAGATGCCTGCCTAGAGAGACAGACGGTCGATGATAGGACGGTGGAGAAATGTTTGGGGTTGTAAAGAGACAGAAGATGTTGCCAAGAGCTAAAATATTATGACACTGTTTTGACATATTATACAATATACGTGACAGTTGAAGTTTTATGCAATTTCGAGAGGACATTTTGCGGTTGTACAGTTGGGCGCGATACGAGAAGCGTATTGATATTGAAAGTGACGATTAATGAGACGTCTTTCAAGACATTGGCAGAAGAACATGGCGCTGAGTTGTAGAATAGAAAAGCAGTCATCCTTTGGCTTATAGAACAAATTATTTGAGAGAATTATACAGTAAAAGTGGTACGCTCATTTCATGACCATTCTACAGCTGTACAGACTGATGAAAAATAACAGGATGTATCTTAAAAGATCGTGATTTGATGTGAAAAGTTAGGAGTGAAATGTAAAACATGATCTCTTAATATAACAGCACAGAATGAGTGAAATGTGTGTTGTGGTGAAATAAATAGTATAATCCTATTCCCAAATTACATAACCAAAAATTATAATATAACTAGTTAAACTTTAAACGTTATTTAGCTACTGAACAATTTTAAAGTATAACAACAATCCTACGTAATTACGCCTACCAGTCAACAGAATATTATAATAATAAATAAATATTTTAGGACTCATTTTCAAACAACGTTCTCTAGTCCCAAACTAAGCAACGCTTGTACTATGCGTACTAGATTATTGATAAAAATACACATACTATTTTGTTAATAAATACACGTTATATTAACACCCAGACAACTATTTAAACTAGAAGAGGACATTAAAATACATAACAGCGCAAGGACTAACATCTCCTCTCTTCTTCTTTTTGGACTTGTTGCGGTCGTGGGGAGACGATTCCAGGTGGCACATCACACCCACCTCCGCTGTGTGCCTCGGTTTGCTTTCGTGCGTCTGTTGTGACGTCATCGACCAACGCATAACAATAGAACATTCCAGTGCAGTACACTCCAGAAGCACAGAAAAATACGCAGCTGCCTTAAAGTAATAGCTTATACGTATCCCACTGCTTGGCAAAGGGCATAGTCCTCCACGCGACTGCGGATTGGTAGACATCATAATATATATCTTCGGAATATTGTTTTTATTATTTCGATAATATGCAGGTTTCCTCGCGATATTTTCCTTAGCTGGTGAGCATGATATAAGACAGCACTTAAAATTAACAATTTCATTGGTACAGGCACCGTTTGAAATCAGCTTGCTCGAATATATTACATTAAAAGCGAGGTCCTGTGGCAAAGGATGGCTTTTCTTCAACACTTTAATAAAAGTGTGTTTAACTATATAAAAAGAGCTGGTAATGAGAGTTGACTTAGTAATTAGAATAAGCAAGTAAAGCAAACATTAGACTTTTGTCAATTAGAGATTTCGAGTCTCTTTTTAGGGAGTAGTATTTGGCAGCGAGTGTCATAGAAATAGAGAAGGGAGAAAGAAAAATAGAAAAAAGGCTAAGAAATATCTTTATATTACCTACACGGCAGCATTATAGAATATAATCCTTTTATATTTGTTACATTACTTAACTTATTAAAAAAATCCTGAACCAGATTATTTCAGTATGTACTCATTAAATAGTATGAAATTATTTATTACCTGTATGATTTTGAATAGGTATGGCCAGAAGGTCTTCTCGAAAGTTTCAACTTGAGGCGATAGAGGGCGCGACGTGGTAATGGTCACGCCCTCGGAAACCGGGTCACCCGTTTTGCTCTGGGAAAATATTAAAAATGTAAATTACAACAGCAATTATGGAGATCTTTACCACAGATAGTACAGAGAAGTCTGTTAACACATAACCATAGATACATAAGTGCTCTAAAAAATTAAGTCAACGAGAAAAATATTTTTCAACCGTTCGATTTTTTTGAAGATTTTCTACAAATTAGTAAATCAATCCGTGGTGAACGGTGTAAACTTTCGAAGTCCAAGCCGTTATCCCTCTAGTTTCTACAAAGGTATAGTTGCGTACATCGTTGTTGTAACAACTTGTGTTGTAACACTTCGAAACTAGTGGTTCGTCACTATGCGTCTCTGATCTGTCGGTGCGACAAGGCTACCTGTGTCCACGTCTATTGCTACGGGGGCAGCGAGCGCATGACATTAGTATAATCGGTTTTGACGGCATAATTTAATCAGTTTCGTCTATACGAATTTTTGACTCGACGGTACATAAGTGCGCACCACCAAGGGTCTTCTTACATTGCCTTTTTAAGAGACATGCAGGTGCGGGTGTCGAAGGAGTATGCTCATGACCCGGGCTTCTTCTTGTGAGCCTCTCTGGACTCACGGTGTTTGCGCCTTATTTTAGGCGCTATCATGTTGTTGTTGACGCCGTGAAAGCGGCGTAACACTGCATTAGTTTAAAACGCCTACACGCTGCGGTGTGAATTAGGCAATATATTGCGCGGCGAGTTTCATGGAGATAACTAGCATAATTGAATTCCATGGCTCCTGTCCGATTGCCATTGCGGCAAGAATGGTTGTCGCAGTGTCGGCTATGGTACGGTACAGTGGTATGGTATCATTGATTGCAATCATGTTGCAATCAATGATAGAAAATAATGGCGGCGTCAGGGCGCCTGCTCCGTCCTCGCTCCATACGTGCGCAGAACTCGCGAATTGCAAGCGTGCGCGAGCGTACCTTAGCAAAGGCCACCGTCTCCTTCTCCGAGAGCTTGAAGACGGCCAGCTCGACGCCGTCTTTAGTCTCCTGCGTAGTCTCGGCCGGGCGGGCATCGGCAGCGGACGTCTCGCCGGATTGCGCCTCCGATATCGCCGTGTTGAGGCGACGGTACCTGACGGGGGTCCACATTCTGATGTGCTAGTTTATTCTTACAGCTTTTTTAAGGGAATAGAAAATGACCAGGTGGTTGTGATGCTAAGTGGTTACCGTTGTCCATGGATGTCTACAACATACGGTGTTGGTTCGACTGCTCGCTGCTACCATATTTATGCTACTTCGGGCAACTTCAAGGCTCGTCTGGGGAAGCTCAGGATGAAGCTCCCTCACAGAAGATCAGGATTGAAGTGGTAGAGATATACTTTCGCGTTTCGTCAAGTGACTGAGGTATCCAGGGCCCACTTCTTAGCAGTTGGCAACTCATCCGCGATCCTTTATATGTTGTTGATGACTAACATCAGGTGGTTTAACCGTTTGCCAACTTTTAACATAAAAAATACCACTATTTGTTCGATGGCTCTACCACAGTGAGATAATTTAATCACGTTAGTTACGTTAAAACTTGTAGAAATAGTACGAAAAGATTGTCGCCGCTGTGGGAATCGAACCCACGTCTTCGGCACTTATGGCGTTAGTTACGTGTTAATAGAAGTCTCTGCGCGTGACGATTTGCGAGAAATAAAACTGGCCATTAGCAATTTGCGAGTAATAAAGCCGGCTGTAGGCGATTAGCGAGTAAAGCCGTACCACTCATGCTTGTCCCGACCGGTGCGCGCGAACAGGAACAAGCGCGAATGGTTGTCTTTGGACTGTTTCACATGGAGACTCCACTCGCCCTCGGCCGCTCCGTCCGCGCTGCCGTCCAGTTCCTAAGAGAAAAGAGTTTAGCGAAGAGTTATTATTAGTATGGGAATATATTGACATCGCTTTTGTAACGTAGATAATACGAGTGAGAGAAATGTTTTTTGTGGATTCTGGCAAATAAAGCCGCTTTTGCCTACCATCGAGTGGGATACTCAAGCAAGATCAAGGTTAGTTTGTAAAAAAAAGTGAACAGTAATGTTCGAATGATTGTCTGTTTTACGAATAAAAAGAATTAAGTGAATAAATGAATGAATTGACAATTAATTGTTAAAATTATACAGGAATTCGAAATGTGAGGTCCAGATATTGGCAACATTTCTCGTTAATGTTGGATGCCGGTACTAATATACCAAAGAGTTCGTGGACAAATAAAATAGAAACTCTTTGCAACGGGCGAAAATGGTAGCGGATGATCATGAGACAGGTATACGCACGGCTTCGTCCAGCAACTCCTTGATGCGCGACAGTTCGCTGTCATCGATGTCGTCATCGTTGACCTCTTCCCTGGCGCTGGTGACGGACCTCGAGGTCAGGTCGGCGTCAGGCTCGGGAGTGGGGCACTCCTCGGGCTGAGCCCTCTCGTGACCGGCCTCCGCCTCCGAAGAAGAGGGCACGCTGTCCGAACGCTTGTCTGGGGGAGGGATGGTGGTTCACAGGGCTTTATACTCTCACCGTTGTTATTGTTACCTATGCCCGTTCCTAAGAGTGTTATTACTGTCGTTATATGAGTACACAAAGAAATAATAACTCGTTAATAATACGAAAAGATAATAGTGTTAAATGACTACGTAATTCCTTGGCAAAATAGGCGATAACATTACTATTTTATTCCGTATACAATATATTTATTTATATGTTTGACAATTATGAAAACTGACTTACGACGTTAGTATTTTTGTCATTCTTCAGTGAAATAGGAAAGTTTTTGTACTATATCTATCATACATTGTAGTCGACTGTCGTTGTGCATATTGATAACATCAAATCAAGTGTGGATAGGGAAATAATTTTATTGTTATTAAATAATTTTCGTGTGATATAGTTAAGGAAAGCTCTAAACACAAAGTTGTCAATGTTATTGACTCAACAGAGTCGTTAACTTAAGTTTATTATTTTGTAAATATTCTTTTGTGTCTGAATAAAGGCTATTATTATTATATTTCGAGTGATATATACACAGTAGTAGTATATTAAACGTGTTATAAGTGGAATTATTCATAAGTAAAAACGTATTCAGGATGATGCTGAGCCAGTGACCAGGGCAGTGGACAAAACAGGCTGAATGAAGACGACGATGATCGTATTCAGTTCATCACAGAGGGAAACATGTTGTTTTATAGTGTGGCCTTAAAGATTAGATGATATTCCGGTGGAAGGTTAGTTCAAGGGAATTTCCCTAGCAGTTAAACAAGATCTATCACGTGGGATGAACCTAATAGTAACAGGTCCATTCAAGGCTAATCTCCATAGATCGGCCATAGATTTGCCTCTGTCTGGTCGAGATTCGGCCAAATAATGGTCCAATGTTTTTTAAGGTTATCAACTGATGGGCAGTAGAAATCACTTCACATCAGGCGAATCCTCTGTTAGCTTGATAACTTTTCGCATAAAAAAATGGTGACCAAGAACCCCCGATAGAACAGTCATGCCGGCAGCTTTGCCCTCCCAATAAAACTAACCTCGATGAATTTTCCGCACCAGCCTATGGCGCAGTCCCTCCCTCCCTGGTTCGCCTTCACTTTGCGAATTGCTGCACACAAAAAAAAAACAATAAAAATACATCAACGAATACACCTTTCACGGCTTTTACGATTAGTGTAAATTATATACTATCCTAATAAACAAACGCAAAAAAAATCATAATAACATGCACGGCAGTCGAAAACATACAACCTCTTCTGTATTTACGATGAAACGTTATTTAAATTTGTAATCATAACGTTATTTAAACCATTGTCATCCATAACTATTTTTTAACTATTAATACAATGAAATTTAAAAATTTGTAGAAATTTTTTCGCCGTTGCGAGCATTTCAAACATTTGAATTGAAAGTGAGATAAACGGCTTATGTTCACAGCGATACTTTGCTTTTTAAATTTCGTCTAAGTGTGTCGAATAACACTATAAAATTAATATCCTTTAAAACGAATATTATCATAGCTTAGAAAACGCATAACGATATGTTTTAGATCAAATACAGACAAATTAGTGCCCTGGACTCACAGTATATATCAACGTAGGTCCATATTGATTGATTATATGGTGAATAGAAGTTTGTATCTGCTAGTCTTCATCTTAAAGTTGAATTGGCCAAAAGACACATATATTTAAACTGATAAAATGAGACCAGTTTCTTGGTGTTGCCGCGTTAATAGAAAAGGAAAAAAAAAACTTGCGAAGGTCATTTTGAACATAACTAAATGTTTTCATTTCTAGAAAAAGTCGTCCGCCTGTATGATTTTTAGTAAAACTAGTCCCAATGTGGTGATTTATGGTATAATGTTAGGTGGGGCATACTAGTTCTATCCCAGAATTTACATTTAAAATTGAGAGTTATTACGCCAATTTTAATTCATGAAAAATGTACTTTTGTTACCAAGTCATTAATTTAATATTGTTCTGAATTCGTTGTAGTCATTTATATTAATTGGCAAAAATAGCACTATCCAATATAACAAGCCAGTCTGTTGGGCGTTAAATAAATGATAAGAATTTATTGGCAAATTTTCCTTAAAATTTGGAAAACATTAGAAGATATGTGTATATACCGTCCAACACATTTTTGTGCAACTGTCTGAGACTTTAGATGGTGTGTAATCAGTGTAATATTCTATTGGTATTATTATTACATATGCCCAGCAGTGGACTAAAACAGGTTGAAATGATGATGATGACTATTGAAGTATAGTTTAGATGACTCCGTGGCGTAGTTGCCAAAGTATTGGCTTCGGCGTCGGGGGTCGTGGGTTCGATTCCCACACGGGACAACTGATTGTGTGACTCACAGATAGTTGTTTCGCATCTGGGTGTTTGTCCGCGTGAAATTTATGTTTGTAAAAAGTCCTTGCAACACAGGATAATGTTATCCTAACTAAAGTAAGGGCAATGTTTTAAAAAAAAAAATATTGCGATTAATGTCACACGAACCTCTTTTCCCTTCGTCTCCAAACGAATTTCTTCTTTTTCTCAGGGCTCGTGTTTGCCTCTGCGCTCTCCGTATCGTTGGCGGGCTGCGTCTCTTTGCCTCTCTTGTCAGTCGACTCCGAAATCTTCTTCTCCACGGCGGCGCTTTCCTTCTCCAAAACTTGAATCTTCTCCTTTTCGTTCAGTATGACGCAAATCGGGTATTTTTTGCTCCACTGTCTGCACAGGAAAACAGGCGAGATATATGAGTTAGAGACTTTAAAAAGGAACAAGGAAATAATTTAGTATTATTTAATATAAAGCTGAGTCCGGCCACGCCTGCTGTGGCTTTCTCTTTTCGTTTCCGTTGGAACTTCGGAATAAAAAGTATATAAAACAAATGCACTCCCTTGTTCAATACCTATGGTGTGAACGAATTCCAAATTAATCCCTTGTTTTTGAGTTTTGTGGATACAAACATACGGAAGCTAATTTAAAAATAAATAATAAGATAGACTAAAAATTTATATTTGAATTACTAAAACTTTTAATAATATCCTATTTGTCATATACTTTATTCATCACGGTCATTTTGTCCGATTATTTTTCCTGGTCGAATGAGTTAGGTACTAAAAACAGGCCAAGAGTGAGTCGGCCTCACGGGCGCATGAGGGTTTTCGTACCATTATTTTTTTTAAACATTGCCCTTCCTTTAGGATAACATCATCTTGTGTTGTAAGGACGTTTTACAAACATAAATTTCGCACGGATAATCACCCCGATGCGAAACAACTATCTGTGGGTCACACAAAATAGTTGTCCCGTGTGGGAATCGAACCCACGGCTCCCGACGCCGAAGCCAATACCTTGGCAACTGCGCCACGGAGTAATCTATTCAAGTTCATATTTTTATTCAGGAAAAATAAAATCGACTTCAAATATCTCGCTCTGTACAAATACATCATCTGTGAAAATTTCAACTGATTCAAGTAATAGGGTCCGGTTTTACCCTTTGGGTATGGAACCCTAATAAAAATTTACTTCGGATAGCGAGTAGATCAAATACTATGACAATAACATATATTTCCATACCGTGTAATCTATTGTAAATAGAATCTAATCAAATCTAATAATTCTTTTAAATGACTTCGGCCGTAATAGTATCTCCACGGAAACGGCAGTCGAAACCACCGGCACCAGGTCAAAAAACTACACCGAGGTATTTAATGCCGGTTAAGCTCTAATTAAAATCTGTGAGTGCGGCTGTAAAAATATTAAAAGAACAACAAAGACAAAGACGTAAATAATAATGCGCCATAAACGACATTCCATTGTGCTATTTTTAGGAATCTTAAAGAAGTTGTTTACACTGCTTAGACTTAAAGTAGATTCGTGTAAAGTTTAAAGTCAAACTTATTGTTCGGTTGTGATAAAAAGTAATTTATAAATTTATTTTATGTTTTAATACTCTGTATCGCCTATATTTTATGTGTATCGTCAGTGTATTCGGTTACGATTCTATTTTAAAAAGGCAAAAGTCTTGCTCATATTATTCCACCAAAGCCGGTACATTAGTTGATACTAGGAACGAGTCCAAATAAACGAATAAAAAAAAACTAAAAAACAATTAAATTATTCGACTTAGACTCTCTTATCGCTCAAAATTCTCAACAACAACTTACGTCCCTTGATCTAATTACGAAGATGATGAATTGAGACGCTACGTACAATTCATACGAAAATAGACTGTCGTGCCTGCGTCCGAACGTCAAGCGAGACCTGTTATTATCGCGAGTGCTTAATTACTCATGCGCCGCGTATTCATTCGTTTCGTCGTATCAACAGACATGTTTTACAATGCGGGCTACCTCAGCTACCTGACGCCCCTTCGTGTCGATATTGAATGACCGCTTTTTTTTTTTTTTTTTTTTTTTTTAAAACTACTGATTCAGCCAGTTATCTCTCTCTACAGTAATTGAAAGCATTTTTATGTGAAATGATGCCAAACGAGCAGACGGTTCACCTGATGTTAAGTGAATACCGCGGCCCATAAACATCTGCTACACCCGAGGGTTACAGATGCTTTGACAACCTTTTGAAAATTGGGCTCCGGTTACCTCACTCACCAGACGAAACGCGAAAGTATTTGTCATACTTCCACTTTCCGCCGGTCTTCTGTGAGGTCGTGGTACTTACCCGGACGAGCCTGCCCATTCGTGCAAGAGCCGAGGCTGCTGCGTGGCAAAATACCGTATATATATATTATACGTCCGTCTTCTGTAAGATGTAGGCCTTGGTGCAGCAGAAGCTGTTATATGCGTCGCTCATAGCATTGGTATTAATGATAGAATCTAAGATAATTGCAGTCTATCTGAGGGTTCTGTATTCAATGAGCATGTTTTCTTTAGGATTGGTGGTCAGTGAAAAAATAAAATCATAATAATACATGAAAATGTACACACAATACAAGGTGATTTTATAGACGACGGACATATTAATAGAGCATATGCAGAATTTACTTGCGACCTCTTTTTTTAAAAGATTAGTTTTAATTTTATCAAACATTATGGACACCCTATTAGAAATTCGTGCCTTACCGTCTCAATACATTAACCTATTCACAAGCACTAAAATTGTTCCTGAACGCATAATTACTAAATCGCTTATCAATTGGGTGACCACTATTAACGAGATAAACAAACAATGTTTCAATTGATATTTTTCTGGTTACTATCTGGTTATATTTTTTCTGACTATAATTGTCAAAATAAAATACTAATATGTTTTTTGAATTAAAGAATGCTCAATTAACATTATAAAAAATCTTCCTGCATATTTCGAAACTAAAAATATGTTCAAAAACGGTGGATGTTCTATTTTACTGCTTATGTAAAACAACAAACAAATATATTAAATAAGTACAAATAATATTGTACTAAATACAAATAACAGGAAAAACGCACAGCTTTTTGTAACACAAATTATGTAAAGGGAACATTCCAATTTAGACGGTTTAGAGTTTGGACAGTGTCGTATTATGAAAGACAAACGGGATTTAAGAAGTCAAATTTAGAACGTTGCAATCGTGTAATAAGAATGAAAATGTTAATACTCTTGAATGCTGTATAAAGATGCTGTATATATCGACGATTTTGTAATATACATCACTTAAGTTTCTTTGAAGGCAGTGCGGCGCAGTTGGCTGGAAAGGGCGAGTGAAATAAAGTTAAGTGGAGCATAAACCAAGGTCGACTCGTGTCATTGAAATGCGTAATATAATATTTCCAACGAGACGGTGCACGGTGCTTGAACATGAAGAACGATGTCGTACCTATATGATTTAGTTCGTCTAAACGCGACGGGATTAATTCAGGTCGTAATATGACGGGATGTTTTTGAATAAATTTTACCGCGAATTACTTAATAGATGAAACAGGTGACAATACAAACCCCAAATATTTACAAATATACCAATAATTTTAATGCTAAATAATAATGACAAAAAGTCGGACAGTTTACTAATAGGCAAAGTAAACTTAGTTTAGACAAATAGTAAAAATGCATTCACATTGAGATCCCCGTCCTGACAGATAGGGTATAAAATCTTAGTCTGTATTTTATTATAACTATTTTGTATTATTTTGGAGTCTGAAATATCAAATATGACCAAGACTTAATACTAAACCGTAACAAGAAAAGCCGTCTGAAATATATGAAAGACATGAAAGTTACACATACAAGAGGTATTGGACATTTATAATTATGTCATCGAACAAGTTTGAATTTATTTTGTATTTTATGGATCAAAAGAGAATATGTTCCCATAAAAGTTTTAAAAAGTAAAAAAATTATAAAAAAATATTATCAATTAATTTCTTAAAATTATTACGGATTAATGATACATATGTAGTAATTGATTGAACTAGAAAATTGAACAAGGAATGATTGATGAACAGCCTGCATTTGGTAAAGAATCTGTACATAATATAGTTATTGCATTTAGAGACAAAGAAATATTTGAACGTCACGTTTGATACTGTATTTGCGCAACGATTAAAAATAAATAATATAGTTCTAAATTCAAACAAAAGAATTGGGCGCGCGAGTGAGGTCGTTGACCCAATTGGTTAGGCTGTCAAGTTTAGAACGTTGTTAAAAGATAACACAATGCTGAGTAGTGCTTTGTTAAAAACACTTAATTTTCATATCTACTTGAAGATACTACGGGTATTTGATTGTTAATGGGAAGATAAAGTTGGAAACGCGTAAATAAATATTGATTTTAAAGATGTTTATACATATAAGTATTGTTTCGTAAGTTAAAATATGTTGCATATTTGACATAAAGACGAATGTAGAAATGAAGTTCATAGTCTTTCAGATATCTGACGTGCAAAAATCATTCCCCAATAATTGTGTCTCATACTCGATGACAAGCTTACCACCCGTCACGATAGTGTCAAAATCTTGGTGAAAAATAGATAATTACATGGTTTAAAAGAAGTGGGCTTGTAATATACAATTACATGGATACTTTTTATATAGAAACAATGTTAATTTGGAGTAATGATTGGTTGTTTGACTGATTACGGCAAACATTTCAAACATTAAACTTATAGAAAAAGTATCAGCCTATACATGTCCCATAGCTGGGCAAAGGCCTCCTTTATACAGAGGGTATCAGGGCATAGTCCACCACGCGGCCCCACTGCGGATTGGCGGACTTCACATATCTTCGAAATATTTTTTTTATTATTATTTCGAAAATATGCAAGTTTCCTCAATATGTTTCTCTTCACCGCCGAGCACATGATAATTCAGCGCTTGAAATTAACAATTTCATTGGTGCCTGCACCGGGGATCAGGTTGCTCGAGTTTATTGAGTTAAATATGAGCGTCCAGACACTGAGCTATCATGGCTCTGGAATATACGTGGAATGCAAGTGTATTATACATTAAAAGTTTCCATAAAATATATTTCTTTATAGTAGAATTACACTTTAAGTGTGGTAGGGCACGCAAGTTTTCGCTGTTGCACAAATGGAAGATATCTGCATATAATACTAAACTACTATATACATAAAATAAAAAAGTTTTAATTGTTTAAACAATAAATTTTTGCAATCTCACCTCCTCTTTACGAGACCCTTGGGCAGCAAAATAATTCGGGCCCCGGTCAAGTTGTACAGTCTGTGCTGGTAAAATGTCACATTGTCTATCTTCTCGTCCCATAGTGCCCGTTTGGCTATTTTGGTTTTTGTGTAAGATATCCGTAAATTACAACCTAGAGAAAAATAAGCAGTGAATTAGCCACTCAATATGCAAACAAAGCAATATTATAATATTCATTGAGACTGGAATGGCCAAATTTATTAATATTTTTAATAATAGTTAATTAACTAAATATCTAATTAAATTAACATGTAATGTAAGTTTTCCTAGGTTAAGGCGTGACTTAATTATTATATCTTCATGAGATTAATATCTATAAGTTATATAATTATTAATATTTTATAAAAATAATTCAAGCCTCAGAAATCTAAATTAAGGCTTAAATAACATTTAAATATTTCATTTGTCAAGTGGAGTATTTTTGATAAGTATTTAAGATTGTACTAGAATAATTGAACAGTTACTAGTAAAAGTTAAATCGCAGTTATTACCTCTTAGTTCGAGAGGTTCTTAGATACAAGTAAATATTAAACAGAATTTACCTTCTAACTTCATGAAGGCTGTAGTAGTTTTGTTTATGTGGTAAGTAAAGGGATCATAGTCGGGACACCTATAATGATTTATCCAACCCTGGAACAAAATTGTAGTAGTAGTTAAGACCATATTTGATTTTGATCCAAAAATGGGTGTAAAACTTATATAACTAGTAAAAAACTCTACATTACAAAATAGCGATTTACATACCTCATATTTCTTCATAGGTCTATGTTCCTTTACCGATGGTATGGTATAGGTGATAGGAATGTTATTCACATTTTTAAATTGAAAAGAGCTCTTATTTGGTTCCCATTCACTGAAATAATTTTCTAATAACCAGTGCTTGAAATTACTAAAAAAGCTGAAGAACCACAAGCCCAGGAGGAATCCCGTCCAAACATTTAAATTCGGAAACAGCATATAATTCAACAGTAGGAAAAATGTCAAGAAGTACATAGTGTAGGTGAACAGTACAGCCTTTGGTTTATTTGGCAGTTCTGAGCTGTGCAAATCATTTCTGCTGGGTGGAAAGTTGAAGTCAGTTGGTGCTATAGGGGATTGAGTGATTGTGAATTCACTGGGTTTCTTTTCCGGAGTGTCCGAATTCTGCTGTGAAATGTCACCAAAGACTTCTATTGTATCTTCTAAAGCTTCTACACCAGATTCAATTTCTATACTATCATCTCTAGGAACATCTGCTGGTTCATTATTTACTGCAAAAAAATCAATAACTTTTTCTTAAATTATATATATTGTATAGGATTATTTGGTAAGGGTATATTATTATATCTTCGGATGCTACAAAGGATGTGAAACAAGTGTAATGAAATATGACAGTAATAGCACCTATTTAAGTCAGGAAAATTTAATATCCCTATTTAAATGTCATTTTTAGTCTTTAAAATAAAATGAATAATTTCATTAAGACATATAACTTTAATATACACCATTTATGTAATGAATAGAAAACAGTAATCAATAGTATTTTGTGAACTTTGAATTAGTTTTAATTCTTTACCTATATTTTTATGTGTATCTTCATTAGAATCCAATTGGTTTTTATTTGCAGAAAGGCTTAGCTCCTGCTCAGAAGCCTTTGCAGTTATTGGTTGAGTCATTTCAGAGAGATTTTGCAAGCTACTGTCAAGTGATGAAACCTGTACAGATAAATAATTTCCTAGTAAACAATTAACTTGCATGCAATTTACTATACACATAGATAACAATGATAATGAATGTAACAATTTTTGAAGTAAACAATAGAATATATAGATTAGAAAATTAGGGAAGTATTCAATAACTTCACCTTTTAATAACCTGTTTTTACTATTTCACAACTATCATCCATCAACTTACTTAAATGTTCATAGGAAGTTTCTCATTACTTTACATCATATGAGAAATTAATAAGACTTAAAGGAGCATATTTACCTGATTATCAGTGTCTCCAACACTTTGTTGGTCTGTATCTTTGATTGCAGAATTCTCTTCAGAATCTGATGTTGAACTCTCTCTTGGTATACTTCTGTCTTTAGTTTCTATTTAAAAATGTAAGCATAATATAAAATTTCTACTTATGATATTAAAATAAGGATGTTTTACTTTGACAATGCAATAATATATACTATGGCATTTAATTGTTACTATGAGCTATGGTAGCTGAGCATCTGGATTCTTGCATATAATTCAGAATACTTCAGAATTCCTCACTGGGACTCTATTTTAAATTGCACTCAATTTTAAGTGCTGATTTAGGTTAGGTAATACTTATCACATAGAAATAACTAAAAAAATACTTTGATGTACACCAATGCTAACTGGAGCTCTGTAGCAAACATTTTTGAACCTTTAGGGCCTTCGCTCTGCAGTGAAGAATATATATGTAGACTATTGCAGATTAATTTTACATGTTATACCCTATAAGAAATGTAAAGAATTATTTATTTACCATCTACTGAACGAGTCTTCATATCTTCAACAGCTTGAGCTATTTTAAATTTGAAATCATGAAATATCTTCCAAGTTTCATTACCACTATCTTTTGCTTCTGGTATAACATCTGATGTGCTCCTTTTTCCTAAGCGATTTAGGTAATCTTTCATAGGAGATGAGGTCACTTCTTTTGGAGGCATTGAACTACGGCTCTCTTCTGGAAATTTATTCTCAACCACCTTGGCATCCTCTGTTTTTTCATTGGGTTTTTCATTACGAATAGACTTAAAATATTTATCTATAATGGAGGTTTTGTCTCCACGTTTTGGACTTGCACTTACTGGCTCTTTAACAGGTGGTTCACATTGTGGTGTTGGAGGATCGTCTTCACACGGCTGAAATAGTTCTTCTAGCTCCTCATTGTTAGCATTATACTTAAATGACAAAGTTGCATTTGGGGATTTCCCTAAAAATGACATTAAATTGTAATACATTGCAAAACGCATGACAACTTTTATCGCTTTAAGTAATCTTCTATTTACGCAAAATTGCTTAAAACGCACCTCGGAAAGGATTGTTTAGTTCTTTTGTTGCCAAAGAAACAAAGCTGAATAAATTATTGCGTTTCAACCTATCAGTACTATATCAAAAATTTGTAATTAAGTAATCAGGCATTTATTGAGGATAATTTTTAATTGTATTGTGCAAACGAAATAAATTTTATAACATTCGTTTCCATAAAAATATACATACCCGCGCCCGTCACCTCCATATTTCAGAATCTTTACAGTTCTACATTCCGATATTCAGAATATAATCAGACCACATACTTCGTGGGATCGAACTTAATAATTAGTATTTTAATATATATTTTTCAGACAAAAATTAGCATGACCATAACAAATACTTCTCGATTGGGATTTGATAGATGTTTGACATTTTATTGTTTGTCACTTTGTCAGTCATCTAGAATGACCATTGACCAATGAGTAAAGTTTGCAGTCAATGTCATACTCCTTGTTCATTTTTAATCTTTTTTTTAAATCTTTTTATAAATCTTTTTTTTGTGCATTGTAGTGTGCTGTTAGTCCTGGACGTTCTGACAGTTTCTTCGGAAAAGGTTTGCGTGTAAATGTCCATGTCGCAACTCCGTGACTCCTGTAAACGAAAAATGGATAATTGATTGACAGAGAGGGGACGACGCGATCCAAGAGGAAATCAGATGGAGGTTCGAACCTCGCCTTACATGAAAATCAGCCGTGGAACTATAATCTAATCGCGAGACATAAAGTGTTTGGTGAGATTATGCGTGAAACGGAAACCTGCGTATGTACATTGCGACGTATATTAAACATGATCGTTTTAATCTTCTGCGGGTCGACCCGGATCCACCAGTATATAAATCACTCAATTCAAGGGCGCGTAAAGCAGTTTGTAGGCAGATAATACAATCGGTAAATATCATCAAGGGGCCTTTGGAATTTTGCAGGTGTATACCTGCCCGGCCCCTTATTTTAGCCCTGGATTGCCTATAGGCGAAGAAAATACCAACCCTTCGGGAACGCTCACTCTCATGCTCAAGTGTGGGGATAAAATAGGGCACCATCGACTGGAAAAAATAATTAAAACAGATGGTTTATATATTATTTCGCGACAAGTAAATTGAAGCTACTCCGATGGGCTGATGGCTTGTTAGAGTGATTCTACATGAAGACACTTCCTTTTTACCTCTTTATTTTTTTACATTAATGTATATTATGATATATATATCTATATATATTAGTCCTTAATTTCAGTCCGCATATTAAAGCTTCATAGAATGTAGAACTACGGGCTATCCCAGAACTTCCGAGCTTTATATAGTACTCCGCGTTGGGTAGATCCAGATAATAATGTAATGAAAAGACAAGGATTGAGAGGCCTTTTCCTGCTATGTCCTAAGTAACGGAATCCATATCAAGCTACTTCGGGATGTGCTTAATACGCAGTTTTACGCAAATTTATTTCTTAATGTCCCTTTAGTTTAAGAATGTCAATGTCCCGCGTATCATCGTATATTTAACAATGTGTAAATAGCACAGAACGACGAGCGAGACGAGTTCCGAGAAAAATATATTAGATTTGTTCGACGTACGAGTTCGACGTAGTACGATAGTAGTACTTACCAACGTATAAATCTAGTGATTACATTCTCTTTGGTACTTACTTTGAAGGGACATTATACTTTAATGGCAAAATACTTTTAAGTCATGCAAGTATATCGGGTCGGTACCTGATTGGTATACTTGCAAGGAAATACCTGGTATCAAAACCTGGTAACGCAAATACGCACATCTCTAGTCTGCGAGTCGTTTGCCTGCTGACTTCTTCTGACGAAGCTCTCAAAGACGGCGGACGCCGATATAAAAGCAAACTACATTTTTTATGTATCACGGATTATTTATCTGTACATTTTCTTACATCTGTATTGTTTTTTATTTTATTTTAGAGGTTGACAATTTGACATCAGACATTTACACAGATTTACATTTACACAGAACTACGCTACGCGATTTGTATTATTTAGTGAGAATTCTATGTATTTCACATGTTTTTTGTTTAATGCGCCAGTAATTTTTGGATACAAAATAATGAAATATGTAATCGATGACAAATAATACTCTTATAATGAAGTTTCTACCGATAATACTTATTATATCCTTTACGCTCGTAGCTGCCGATAAAGAAAGAAAGGTGAAGTGCATTGTATTGATCTCATAAAATATTAAAGTACAAGGTGGAATGTCGATAAACGAACAATATGGTGATTACAGGAGAGTACAGAATTATCACGAGCTTTAGATGACCGGCCGCTATTATTTGCAACTTTAGGAGGTGGTATGGTGGCCGTGGAACCCGTTTCAGGAAATATAATTTGGAAACTGAAAGATGGTAATTATATTTAATTTTACAGATTAGTTAACGTTTTGTTAGAAAATAATTAAAAGGTAATAATTTAGAGTATCACATTCATTTTTTTCAATTATAATCTTTTTTTGATACTAAAACATAATCATTTAAATATAGTATTAAACTGGTAGGGCCACGAAACAGTCTTCACTATTGCACAAATGGATAGGTCCGTCTGGGTAAGTACCATGACCTCATAGACCACCGGCTTGAAGTGGAAGTGTTATATTTCTGCATTTCGGCTGGTAAGTGAGCAAGCTGGGGCCTGTTTGATTAAAAGGTGGCAATACATCTCCAACCCTACGGGTGACAATTTCACCTAACATTAGGTGAATCGCTAGCTTGTTTGCCACTTTATCACATTAAATAAAAAAGTAGCATTAGAATTGTTTTTGTTTATGGTTGGTATTGTAATGCCATGCTGTATGTTATATTATTATCACAAATACATTTTATATCCAAATATTTGTTTATCAACATACACTAACATTTTTCACAAATTAAAAAACATTAGTGTAAATGCAAAAACAATTCATCAAGAAATAGTTCTTAAATTTAATTACAATGTTTTTTTTTGGATTATAATATTGATTATCAACCCAATACAAAGTTTTTCACAGCTTCCTAAATTTGAAAAAATGATAATTGGTGCAATCAAGGATAAAATTTAAATCTTAAAATACAATGAATTAGCTTCAATTCATAAACTTAAAAAAGCTTATCTTAAACTGATTTGTAAGCTAGCAAAGGTAGGTTGGTTAGGTTAGCCACCATCAAGCCCTGATTGTTCTAAATGTGGTGTTGCCCCACTATTATTTTGATATATAAAAAAGTGCACATACTGAATCAGATTTAATTAAATAAATGCCTTGTAGATAATACTATATATCGGTATTCTAAAATTGATATGAAGCTGTATTTATATTTAGTATATATTATATTATGTAATGAAGTCAATAAAATGACAGAATTCCTTAGTGAAAATAAAATATTATCTCAAAATGCTCCATTTCTTTTTTCTCTTTTTTGCTTGTTATTTCCATGGTTGTGTTTCTTTATTGACTAAAAATATTTTGTAAATGAATAACATATCATTTAATAATGTAAAATATAACTGTAATATAAATGTTCAAAATTGTTCTATTGTCCATTGGATACAATAAATAATATTGCTTATCCTTGGTATATTTTATGATTCTTGTTCAAGTTTTTTTGAATATTCTCAAAGTACTCGTAAACCATTGTAGAATCAATAATCATTTCATTCCAGTGTTGTCAATATTTTTTTTTATGTGAAAAGTTGTCAAACTAGCAGACGGTTCACCTGATGTTAAGTGAATACCGCGTTGGGTAGATCCAGATAATAATGTAATGAAAAGACAAGGATTGAGAGGCCTTTTCCTGCTATGTCCTAAGTAACGGAATCCTTATCCTTGGTATATTTTATGATTCTTGTTCAAATTTTTTGAATATTCTCAAAGTACTCGTAAGCCATTGTAGAATCAATAATCATTTCATTCCAGTGTTGTCAATTTTTTTTTTATGTGAAAAGTTGTCAAACTAGCAGACGGTTCACCTGATGTTAAGTGAATACCGCGGCCCATAAACATCTGCTACACCCGAGGGTTACAGATGTTTTGACAACCTTTTGAAAATAGGCTCCGGCTACCTCACTCACCAGAAGATATGCGAAAGTATTTGTCATACTCCACTTTACGCCGGTCTTCTGTGAGGTTGTGGTACTTACCCGGACGAGCTTGCCCATTTGTGCAACAGCTGAGGCAGTTGCGTGGCCCTAACACCATAAAATATTCCATACTTTTTCCTAAAATATGGCCTTTTTATGTTTTAGTGATTGTACCATTGATTTTACTATAAAACATAATTTTATCTTAGATATTTTAATAATTCAGCAATTTATTTATTACTTTAGTGTTTAGTGTCACAATTCCTCAAGATTTGTCTGGACATGTCCAGATTATGATCTGTGTAATCATCTGGTATCCAGAGTTATTGCACACTGATGGATATTACATTTTTATGTAATATATATAAAAATAAATCAGATTAATACATAATATTACATAAAATAAGTTGCATTGAAGTGATTATTATTTGGGAGTTTTTTGACTAACGGAGAATTTTTTTGGTTTTATTGATCTAAATTAATTTCTGGTTTTAAAAACTAAAGCCCCTGGAAAATATTAGGATTTGCTAACATAAAAAAAGTGATTCTAATTGATAAACAAATATTTATTTTGAATCTGTGGAAAAATATAACTTATCACTTGGATTTGTGTAATCTGTTTTACTCTAGATTAAAATTGTAATTATTTTTAATGATATACAGATAGCATTATCATGTGTCCATGGAAAATCAGCAATGCGGCCTACCTGGTGAAGCATAACTCGGTTATCGTTAAAATATAACTTTTTATCGGCGCTCGGAAATACCAGATGCGTGGAATTATCTAGAGAATAAACATATGCTCATATTGAATTACTAGATGTTATCGAATAGTAATGCTTTCTGTTATCTGGGACATAATGAAATATATATAACGCCATTTCGAGGATTATGTTTACAATTTATATTGTGAATTGTGGAGATATTCGTCTTTAAAATATTAAAAGGTCACGTTAATTGTTGCGCGTCGCCTACATTTTTTTGTCTATATGTAGGTAATTACAAAAAGCGAATATCCAATGTAATCAAGTTGTAGGAAAAAGATTAAAAGCCCAGATAAGAATATTCGGAAGTCTTTCTCGATTATTTCGATTCAGATACGTCACTATGAAACCACTGCTCATTGCTGCGCTAGTATACAAAAATGAGATCTATTTTGTTGAGAAGATCGTTGTGACAAATCCTTAGCCCTTCCTGTACAGGCCATTCAGATCATCATCAAGTAAATTTGCATTGAAGGCTTCGTCGAGCTCTTTTATTCTTTCAAAGATTTAAGCAGGTCTCTTGCTAAAAGCATTGTAAAACAACACCTACTTTATTAAAGGCACAGATAATTTCCTGTCGCACTTTACACGGGGAGAAATAACTGGCGTTAATAATTTGATTTGGGCAGCGATCTTTTGCAAAATACTCTTTGAACAGTGAAGAACAGTTTTCTCTTACCGGTTAAGAATAGTTTATATTAAATTATATTGCCGAGAAGAACAATTTAAAAATGCTCTCTGACAAGTGATTCACACTTTTTCTTACATGCAAAGTTAACGTGGCAGCTGTTTCAACATGTAGTACGTATTTAGGTTGGCGCCCGCCTGGCTCTCCGTTACAGCGATAACTCGCCAAGAATGTAATGCGATTGCCGCTAATCAGAATTGCTGAGTAATGCAGTGTAAAATTTGTCTTAATAATACGACTCTCGGAAAACAAAGACGGCCAGAGACAGTTGTTGACTCCGAGGTTCGCCCCGAGCGCCGGGCCACCTTTAGTGCGTCGGAACTGTAAAGGGCCCTAAGGCCAACAATGGCTCATCAAGCCAAAAAAAAAATAGTTGAGCTGGTACGAAAGAGGACATAACGCGTAATTTTTGCGTTACCGCGTCATTGAACAAGGGTGACATTTCGTATGCTATTAATATAAGGTATAGGTACATTGTGTTGCATTTGGATTATTTGGCAAACTGTTTGCTTTATTTGCCTATATGTGACGAGTACTAAGAACTCGCTTTGCGCGCTGGTCGCTTTTGCATCGTCATAGGGGCCAAATCGACAAATACGCGGAATGAGTCGTAAAAATGAGCAAAGGCGTCACAATTTGACTCCTGCACGTCAAATACTTTGCCAAATGCAACAAACACCCAATACAATTAGCCATATGAGGTCCCAGCCTAACATTTAGCGGTTCGCGTTCGACAAATATCCTGTAGTGGGTGGGATTAGCTATTTCAAGTGACGCCATCAATTTAATGAGTGTTTTTCAAGATGGGAATGTTAAAATTTGTAGAAGTACTTTTTCTAAAAGATTGTCGCCGCTGTGGGAATCGACCGCACGTCTTCGACATTCGCGGCTTGACACTTTAGCCACTAAGCTAAACGGCTGATTGGCACGCCGACGAAAATCTTTACGTCTCTTATCTACATTGTTTTTTCCATATAAACAATTTCGAATATCGTATTGCAACGATAATTCGAACGAGAGATGTCGTTGATGCAATGCTTGGCGCATCCATTTTTACATCCTTTCCAGCATACAAACAATTTCGAATATCGTATTGCAACGATAATTCGAACGAGAGATGTCGTTGATGCAATGCTTGGCGCATCCATTTTTACATCCTTTCCAGCATACAAACAATTTTGAATATCGTTTTACATTTTCGATAATTCGAACGAGAGATGTCGCCATTGCTTTTTTTAGAAATTTAAATTTTTTACAGTGATGGGAATGTTATTCGTTTGCCCTCTAGAACCGGTGGTGAAAGTGCCCAATCAGCATGCCAACCTCATGCCCCAGTTCCTGCCGGACCCTCGGCACGGTACCCTGTACATGTACGGGCCGAGGGGGGACAAACAGATGCTCAAGAAGCTGCCCTTCACGATACCGGAGCTGGTCGCCAACGCGCCCTGCCGGTCCACTGACGGCATATTGTACACTGGAAAGAAGAGCGACACATGGTTCATGCTGGATCCACTGACAGGCTCCAGAGAGCACATATCTGGTGAGTGTGTTATTTTTTTTAACTACCTACCCTATACTTCGGATTTTAGAACGTATAGCAAAATTATGGAGGGGGAATTTAAAGTTCATGAAAAGTCAACATCGGAGGTCACCAGGTTATTCAAAATGGTTTTTAATGGTCTACAAATCGGATATCTTCTTTTTTTATTAATCCCGTTAGTGTAGGTAAATTCCAACAATTTTTCGGAAATTTTTGCAAGAATATAATTATGGTATAATAAGTCGCTATTTAGCCGCAAATGACAAACGCGTAAACCCGACAAGAGCAGTCTATTCATTTTATTTTTATCGTTGACATTGAATCATCGAGAAATTTCAATCCCTGACTGTGTCTTAAGCTCCGTGCCTCAACAAAAGCCTACTAAAGTATCGCCTTGAAGACGCCCACATTATACTGGAACGAGAATAGACGCCGGCAGATTTTCAATTTGTGTATGTACTCCTAATGTTTGAAGCAATCCTTGGTTCGAATGCTTTTATTGTCGTCAACGAGGGCAAGGTACCCCCGCCGAGCGCCTACTTTTCTAATGATAGTAAAAGGTTTGAAGGATGGCAAAAGGAGTATGAAATTTTTGTTCAATGTCTTGCGATTTAATTAAAAAAACAATTCAGACAGTTTTCTATACCGGAAGTAAGTTAGCGTAGAATATTTTTTTTAATTAAACGATATGCAATTGCAATTAATTGGCATATCGTTTAATTAAAAAAAATATTCTACGCTAACTTCATTCCGGTGTTTTCTAGTGAATTGTTATCAAAACACTTCAAAGGTAGACGATTAGAAGGTATCTATATACTTTTACTCGACAATTGCTCTCGCAACTTAATCAAACCTATTCTTTTAGGTAACATTAAAAATTTACAGTTATTTATTATAACAAACTAGCGACCCGGCCAGGCTTCACACGGGTGCAATGTAGATATTGAATTTCTCGGCTTTTCTCTTCTATAATATGCATGTATACTACATATAAACCATCCGCTTGAATTACTTACTTACTATAATATGCATGTATAATCTAAAAATCGCTTATCTATGCTGAAAACCATTTAAATCCGTTGTGAAGTTTAAAACATGTAAGCGCACAAACATCGGTAGCGACTTTGTTTTACACGATGTAAATATTAATATTGACTTAATTTATTTTTGGCAAAAGAAATACTAAAAAAATAGGAAAGGATTCTATCAAACTTAATGTCAAGTGCGTACGATAGAAATTATCAAAGGTCATTCTCGAAACATCCATTCCTTTCACTATATGTTTAGTAGGCGTATACGTTTTCATACACCCCTGAGTATCGCCGTATTGATTGATACCCTTGCGTAATATGTAGAAGTTTCGCGACTTTGGACATGCAATTACCGAATTCGGTAATTGCAATACCTGTATTGTAATCATCGGTAATTACAATACCTGTATTGTAATTACCGAATAGTCGAAAACGATAAGGGGCAACAAAGTTTCCAGCTCGATAAGGGGACGATCGATCTTTGCGAATGATTTACGTACGAAAGTATTTTTATGGTAGCTTATCTTTTATATAATTTGGGTTGCATCTTTTGTTTAGTCGCTATAAAATGTTGTTCTTCTCCCATACACTTTTACACAGTGTCGACAGCTTCGGGTACAGTTATTCTAGATAGTCAATGGTGTTATATACTCCTAAATTATTTTACTCGTCTATGTGTATTGAATAATTTCTGAAACTGCCAACTTTTTAACTAATGTAAGTCTACATTATTTTATATTACGATCCCACTACTTGACTACCAACCCTTTTAAATGGTAATTGCTGATGCAGTCATTGGTGGTAAACAATTTGAGCAGCGTGTTCACTTTTGAGTATCGCAGGCTATAATTTATTTAGATAAAAGTAACTTATTTCTTAGTAAGAAATCATACATAATACTTGTAGTTCAAGTCAAAGACAAAGACGAAAAGTGTCATTTCATCAATTCTAGATAGTCAATGGTGATATATAGTCCTAAATTATGTTACTCGTCTATGTGTATTGATTAGTTTCTGAAACTGCTGACTTTCTAACTAATGTAAGTCTACATTATTTTATATTACGATCCCTTGACTGCCAACCCTTTTAATGGTAATTGCTGATGCAGTCATTGGTGGTAAACAATTTGAGCAGCGTATTCACTTTTTAGTATCGCAGGCTATAATTTATTTAGATAAAAGTAACTTATTTCTCAGTAAGAAATCATACATAATACTTGTAGGTCAAGTCAAAGATAAAGACGAAAAGTGTCATGTTTGATGAAAACAGCATAAAAACAAATATAAATCTCATCTAAATTATCTTGTAACTGGCTACACTAAGGTAAACCCATCTAGAGCCGCCGATTTATTAACACAACTGTCCTTGCGATGTGTGCATATATTGTAAATAATGTCTATTATGGGACTATGACAAAGTGACAAAAGTGCTGGCAATTTTTCCCGCCACGGTTCCCTGAAAGACGGCATGCAATAACAAAGTAGATAAGATTAAAAGTTCTTTTAGTGGTTAAAGCATCTAAGTGCGAATCTGGGAGACGGGTTCGATTCCTACAGCGGCGACTATCTTTTCGTCCATGTTTTCCACAAATTTACAGAGACTAATACATTAAAATATGTCGAGATTTTTTCGCGGCTAGGATATCGAGGATATCGATATTTAAATGGGTTCGAATCCTTGAAGGGGATTTATCTGAACGGATCTAGTTACTATTCGCATATTTGTGACAAACGCAAATCAGACACCATCCAGTCGGATTTTTGTTTGTCAAATCATTTATTCATCGAAATAAGAAATATACATTTCATCTATCGATAGTCATTTTTTCAAATCTACCACCGTTTCGTAATGAGGTTCCTCTAACGGAGAAGAAACAGGCGAAAGAATCTCCGTAGGTATCCATCTTTTTTGTCATTTTTTTTTTCTTAAACGATTACGTTGCAGTACATTACGATTACGATACAGTACATTTTTTTTAGAAACAGCTTAGCAGCGATCACCTCATTACCAGGGGTTGTTATCATGAATGTATTCATTTATATTATAATACCCTTCTTAAAAAGTTTTTCTTTAATAAATTTCTTAAACCTGTTAATAGATAGGCTTTGCGCATTAACTGGGATTTTGTTGTAGAAGCGTATACACCGTCCCATGAACGAGTTACTGACTCTATGGAGTCTAGTAACTGGCGTTACAAGCTTGTGTTTGCTCCTAGTAAGTAGTAGTTTGTGCTCGTCTCAACAGCGCTTGTTCCGCAGGCTTCGATAGATCGAAAATCTTCGACGAGGGAACTTGCGAGCCGGACAAGAGGCGCGCAGTATACGTCGCACGCACGGAGTACAACATACTGATGCACGACTCGAAGAACGAGAACCAGAAGTGGAACGTCACGTTCTTCGACTACACGTCGCACGCGATGGGCAAGGAGATGCTGAACGATTACGGTCATTATTCACTCGTGTATAGACAGCAAAGTGCAACGCACGCGTAAAAATGTCAATTATTGCTATCGGAAATTGATTTAAAACCCATTACCATTCGAAAAAGGTTTTATGTGTTTTATGATTTAACTTTTTAAGTATCATAATGCTCATTATAACATTTTATATGTCAATGCAAATAGATTCACATTTATTTGTGTGCGTTTTTTAAATTCGGAAACGACGTCACATAATCACATAAGACTTATACATATATCATTATATTTCTTGATACGTTTTTAATATTTATTTCATGAAATAATGTTCAAATGACATAAAAAAATAAAATTGTAGGCATAATCCACTTCACGTCTACTTCGAACGGCCGTATTATGTCGTTCGATCGGAAGACCGGTGACTTGGTGTGGTCTCACAACTTGGAGACTCCGGTGGTGGCTGCCTACTTGCTAGACAGAGAGGGACTTATCTCTGTCCCTTTCAATTCCATCGGCGACGACACTCTCGACCACATAATGGAGGACGCCACTACATTGAGGAACGGCCAGGGAATCAAGAACTCCAATATTGAACTTTAGTAAGTATGTGTTAAGTTTGTAAGTAGCATGCATAAACTGCACATACCATCGGGAAAGTGCAACGGGTCCCAACGACCACTGCGACCTAGAAGATCTATTGCAGTCTTCCCTTCAAAAACATTACCCCCTTACTAACATTATTCCCTTACTGTATCCTCAGCTGTAAAGACGTTTAACATACATAAATTTCACGTGTAAAAACATCAAGATCCGAAAGAATTATCTTTGGCTCACACAAATAGTTGTCCCTTGTGGGAATCGAACTCACAAGCTCCGGCGCCGTGACCAATACCTTGGAAACCGCGCCGTGGAGTCATCACGCGTATGATTAGCCATTAGGTAACATTTCCAGCCCGACCCTGTACATAGGGGAGCACAACCACGGCCTCTACGCCCTATCCTCCCTCGTGGACAAGAACACCGTCACGATATCCACCAGCCATAACCGTCCCCTCCTCCTCGAGGGGCCGGTCGACGAGCGCGCGGACACCCAAGCGCCCAAGTACGAGCCGCTCGCCCACGTGCACTACGACCTGGGCGATCTGAACCTGCGCGCGCCGCCGTACCTCCTCCTCGGCCACCACAAGGTGCCGGAGCTCACGAGCTCGTGGATGCCGCAGCCGCCGCCCGGGGACCTGCTCAAGGTGGAGCTCCCCAACCCGATGAGGCTGATCAACGGCCAGGTGCAGACGGAGACCGGGCATGACGTGGAGAACGAGACCAACCTGAAGGCCTCGCGGTCGGTCTCGGTCCAGACCGACGAGCTGTCGCTCGGATTCAGGCCGGACCTGTGGTACAAGCGCGGCTACGTGTGGCTCCACCAGCAGGAGAACAAGGCGCTCAAGGTGGCCCTGATCGTCCTCACCGGTCTGGTGGTCGCCATGTTCTGGTACCTTCGATATCAGGTGAGCGGTTTGGCTTTCCCCTCTTTTCCTTTTGCAGCCTTCGAGATTGTTATCCGTATGTTTATTTCATTTGTTACGTTTGTTTGTTTGTTTGTGCGTGCGTACGGATGCGTGGATGTAATTGAATCGTTTAATCAGAACCTCACCGTCAGCCACACGAGCATCTTAGGATATGTCACACGATAGATTTCATAATAATTTCATATCCGTGTTAAATATAAGAAAACCAGTGAATACTGTTGTTTGCTGCATTATTATCTTTGCAGTGATTGCACGGTAACACAGGTCAGGTCATACTTTTTATATCTTTTGGACAATGCTTTTCCACTGACGTTTTATATCAAATCATAAAAATCAATATTTATTTATAAATAGCTGATTCGGCAAACGTTGTTTTGCCATATAAATTATTTCTAAAGGAATCGGACGGAACGCCCGTACGGACGGCTATCCCATTTGCTTAAAAATTTAAATGATGCCGAAATAAAATTATATGGAAACGGATCTTCTTCTACGTTTTAGTTCCAGCATTGTTTAAATTTAACGGATGATTGAGGAAATTGAATTTGCGAATTGTTGCCGCTCACGGTTCTTAACAACTCAACAAAATATATTTAACACAACATTTAATAAAGTCATCTGTGGTTGAGCAGCTTTTCTTGTTGAACGAAAGGGTGGCCTAGGGCAGGGGCAAGCAAGGCTTCACAGAAGACTGGTGCGAAACGGAAATTAACTATATACAGGTTGATTTTATACACGACGGACATATTAACAGAGCATATTATGCAGAATTTGATCCTAAATTTTTATGTAGTACGTCTACATTTTTTTAAAGATTATTTTTAAATTTTCCAAACATTATGGACACTTAATAAATTCCTGCCTTACCGTCGTAATACAATAAGCTGTTGACGAGCGCTAAAACTTTTCGCTGAACGCATAATTACTAAACCGCTTATCAATAGGGTGACCACTCTTAACGGGATAAACAATGTTGCTTGTCAAAACATTTTTTTTGAATTATGGAATGCTCAATTAACATTAAGTCAAACTATGCACTTCGTCTAAAAAATCATCCTGTATACTTTTCTCGTTTCAGGTAGGGAGTGAGTCAATAAGCGCTAATCACTAAACATCTCGTGAACTGCCTACTCGCTTGGACTTTCTTGTATATAAATGTAATCAACTGTACGGTCTTACGTAAAAAGTAATGGAGTAGTTTGATTTTGGGTCATGTGAATCAATTTATGCTACCTAACACAACGCTTAAATTGGTATTATGAATTATCATTATTACGATAACGACATGCCCCAATTTGCCATATCTTTGTTGCAATTTTAACATTTCAAGAAAAAAAAAAATTCGATGATTGCCCTTGAATATGAGAATAAGTTATTCAAATGCTTTATTACCTTCAGTCATATCGATCTATCTACCCATCTATATATCTATCTATCTATCTATGTTTCAATGTAAGAAAATGATTCAACGTTAATTTCACCTACTTCTATCTAACCATGCATTATTTATAATTAACAATCAACAATCCGTAATAAATTCTACTGGTCATTTCATAGACTAATAGATAATGGCGATTTTTGGCCAAATCAATCAATTCATGCTTTCATGCTGTCTGATACACTATTATCAATAATCATTATTATCCACGATTACTTGTCTCAATTTGTGGCTTATCTTTTTTGCCATTTTATCGTATAACTATTTAAGATTGTCCTTGAATATCTGGATCGTTTATGGATTGTTACATAAATTGTTTAACTAAGAACGAATAATATAATAATAATTAAGCTTGAAGCTATTTCCACAAATAGAAATGCTTTGTTAGGCAAAAGAAACGGAAGCATTTTGTAAAATAAAGCAAATAATACAGGGAGGCTTTTTGAGAAGTACCCAAATTTACACAGGTAGTTCAGACTCGGTACTATAATCGTTTATTAAAATAAAAAACAAACTATGCACTTCGTCAAACACAAACTTTTTTCAACTAAAAATGTCATTCTATTCCCTAAAAAACAGAACTTGTTGACAATGCGGTAGTCATTCATAAATACCTAAGTTTTACTGTGCACGAACTTGTGTGCGTGTTAGTTATGAATGATCGCGCGTAAAATAATTGAGTTGCGTATAAATCACGCACTTTTTGAGATAAGTTCAAATGAATGTAATTAATTAATTACCAGTGATTTTAAATATTTACAATTTTTTATATAACATTATTTATGTCTAGAATTTAATAAAAAAATGGATAGACTTAGAAAACCCTCCCTGTATATAGAATAGAATAGAATAGAATAGAATAGAAAATCTTTATTGATCGTAAACAAACACCGTTTACAAAAAAAAGAGAATAAAATAACTAATTTACATATAAATACAATTAATAATTTTCTTAATATCGAATAATAAATACAAAGTCGGTGTATGCGACGACCAAAAGGTAGCCAGCTCAGCATAATGCTACGGTTGAGGTAGCACTGATTTTCAGCTGACGCCTACGAAAGTGAGTCAGTCACGGACAATCTGGATGCCTAGAAGAAATTAAAGAAAAATATATACACATATAAGAAATATATAATACATGATATACATATACATTAGATATATATACATACACACACACATATATGCACATATATACACACACATATATATATGTATTTCACTAATGTTGTATAAGGACCAGTGCTTTGCCAATTTATGTGTCGGAGTTTAATTTTAAATTGTATTGAGCCATTTTTGCTGTCACAGGGGAAGGTTCAAGAGAAAGTGTGTCGTCCAGTACATGTCATTTTTGTGTCAGTAAAAGATAGTTTTTTTTAGCTTAAATTTGAAAGCAGCCCACGATTTGGTAATCCGTAATGGTGGTGGAAGGTTGTTCCAGCATTTTGTGGACGCATATCTGAAACTTCCTCGAAATGCAGCAGTACGGTGAAGTTGTGTACAAAGTAAGTACTGTGACGCTCGCGTGCTATGCTGGTTATGATCCTTTGACCAACTCAACTTATTCCAAAGGTATGGAGGGGATTGATTTTTAACAACGCCAAAAAGCAATGACGCAAAATGAAGTTTTCTTCTCTCAGACATTTTAAGTCTGTTAGCCTGATTGAGATAGGGCGCTATGTGTGACCGAGGTGGCACTGGGTAACAGAACCGTATGCATGCATTTTGGACTCTTTGTATCAGACGTTCTGTTTTTGAGAACAAGCACGGGCCATATACTGCATCTCCATAATTCAGTTTAGATAGTATCACAGATTCACATAAGTTCATACGAACATCTACACTTAAGTAATAACGCACTTGGTATAAGAGCTTGAGACGGTAAAAGCAGTCTCGCACTGCTTCAGTTATGTGATTTTCAAAACGTAAGTTACTATCCAGTATCACACCTAAGTTACGTGCTTCCGAAACCTGTTCTATAGGCACACCGTTTATATTTACATTAAACCTAAAATTGTTATACAAAAACCTAAATATATTATACAAAAACACGCACTTTGTCATTTTATATGTGGTCAATGCCATGTACACCGTTGTTTCCATATGTATCAGCAACATGTAATTATCAAATGTGCCATGTGAATGTCCAATGTATATGATGTGGTTGTTCTTTAAATAAATAAATAAAACTGTATCTCAGAGGTATACAATAGTAACTCCACATTTTTGAAAAAAAACGTTTCTTACTCCATTCAAATCGCAAAAACAAATTCTACACAATAGTATAAAGCATTAAGTCCGACGCCTAATTAATAAAAATATATCTAATTGTATTTATGACATCATAATCCATAATGCATTCAAGGATTAACTCACGCATTTTTGCCTCCTGTAAAATTTGTGTTTTGTCACATAATGCTGTTTACCTCTGAGGTACAGTTAATAACTGATTGAAGTAACTGATTTTGAGAAAGGCTAGAAATCGCACGGTGCTATATGCTCAGAGTAAGGTGGACATGACGGAGATATATTTTTTGGGAAAAACTCGCGAAGAAAATATGTTTGCCACAGCTTTTTGGGGAGAAAGCCTTTGGCAAAACTTAATTTCTCCGTATATTCCCTCCGTATAGTCTTGTAAGCCCTAACCTAGCCAAAACCACTTACAACATGATTCACATGTTGTCCCGACCACTCCTTGGTGGAATAAGGGCAGGGGGATGATAATGGCAAATGTAATAACTCGAATCCTACACCGCGTGTTTTTGCTTAATATCTGGTAAAATACTACCACAACACCCCTAGCTGAGACCCATTGAATAATGAGAGTTAAGAAAGCAGAACAATGCAATAGGTAATGCAATATTTTTTTTTGCCTTAATAATAACATTTGATACATTGAACATTTTAGATGCGACAGTCAATAATCTACAGCTTTTTTAACTTTTACAATTATTGAGTTTTGCTCACCAAAACTTCCTTTTATTTGAATGCTATGTATCCTATGCTACTCAAGGATAATGTAGTGGCTTTAGGGAAAAGATATTCTTTTTTCCTTTTTGGATGTTATTTATGTATGAAAGACTGTAATTAAAGGACGATAAATTTGTTAATACTTTTCTGTTATAAACAAAAAGTAACAATACATAATACATGGTACATGACCTTGTGGTTCGCAAGTCGGCGCTCGTTGACCTATCACGAGGATGACGTCATTGCTTCGCGTCGAAATATCGATATTTCGCGCTCGGGAGACACGTGCGATGTACCATAGTTTCCATTCACTCGGTACCTGCTGTATAGTTTCACAGCGGCTAGCTGTTGAATTACGGCCGACCTACAGACCACCTCACAAAATACACTAAAATACAACAACAGCTTTGCCTACTTCGAGACTGTATATTATTGTGTAAAAATGTATTTAGGAATATTTACTTATGGAGCTAATAGCAGCATTGTAAGCTCGGCAAAGAAAATTCAACCTTATGGTTGTTTCTACATCGAAGAGTGGTAAGGAGAACCGATTGCCATCTCTTAGCGATCAATCTGGTCACTGTATCACGTCCATATAATAAATGGTGCCAGTTCGCCCTTGACAGCTCATAGGCTGAACGGATTTGATATGTAGTAGTAGCTCACACTTACACAGGGGTCACTTTTTACTCGCGAAAATATTTTGTTTACATTACGAAAAAATAGTGTGACAAGAAATCAGGTTGTATGGAAGTTTCGATATTTTTATTTAATTTTGTTTCGAGTTTGATTATTATCCTTTACGGTTTACTGGCAGCTAATTATTTGGCTTTCAGCTTTATGGGCGGCAATGACGATTGGGACTGGTTCACAACCGTATATAGAAACCTGCCTTTGTTAAACATCGAGCACATTATGCGCCCGTCTACGTAAAAGTCTATTTAGTCAATTAATTTTAGCCATTCAAGTGTGCAACCCACGCTGAACAGAGATTTAGTCATTAATTTATTCCTTATCTACGACGCCATAAGAAATGTTTTCAACGTCTTTTGTTTGGTAAACTTCAATTTAAAAAGAAAGAATGTTCTAAAGAGTTCTAGAGAGTGCGAGGAAATAACACTGACCAACAATTACACGTTAAGTAATATGAGTAAGATAAACTAAGGGATTCGTGAAAAGTTGTTTTGTCTTTAGAAATAGAACCTTGTTCTTGGTATTTATTCGAAATATAGACATGGAAAACCTACAGTCAGACTACTGGTGAACATCACTAATTCACTACTTAGCCTTAACCAAGTCTGCTAAATTGGCCATCAGGGTTGTCACCTCACTACGCGAATCCAGTGTCTCCCTTTAATCGTCACAGGCAGGGGACACCTAGACTTGATGAGCACACTGATTACAGGGCTGTCTCAGTTTGAATCTCCGATTAATATTCGAAGGTTCATCGACCGCTCAGAATCGCCGTGATGTAAAAACGGACGATCAAATTGTACACGTTAGCATCGGTTAGATAACGTATGTTAATTAGGTTCAACAACTTGTCGCATAATTTCGGTGTCTCGTAGTCTCGTTTGGAATTTTGGTTTAAATTCTGTCGATCGACTATGTTCGCGTTTCGTTTTTCAACATTTTTGAAGTGTACTAGTCATGTATAGTTTTAGTCATATACAGCCCCACTCGCAGATGTTAATAAGCAACTACTAGCGTTAGATTCGTTTATTAGCGTACTTCAGTGCTATTTATTTATTAATAAGACTCAACATGCCACATAAGTAAAAAAACCGCTAAGTGCAGTCTATAATATAAGCGAAATGATTTTAAACGGTCAATGTATTGCAAATGAGTTTTATGTACGAAGTACGTAAGATTCGTCTCGCATACTTAATGTCCTACTTTTTTCCGTAATTGGCACCATCCCATAAGTCTTTTTGATTGGCTGTTGAGAGAAAACTTTGATTACGTGATAATTTCGTAGACTTGCACTTAAATCTAACCTCATTGTGAGAAAAAGTATCAATATTACAGATTATATCTATCGATTTTCGACTGAAGTGTCCTTTAATGCACTGTTACCATCTTTTAAGCCTCTCGCTCGATTTTTTCAAGAGTTACTAAAATCAAAATCAGTATTAGATAACGTTCGACTGGTCGTAGACAGAGCTGAAACTTGTTTTTGGGTGACATAGTAATAGCTGCATCTTAACTGTCATGCCTTTTCGTCAATGGAGCTTTCCCAGCATCGGAGATGTACTACGAAGTAATGATGTTTGTCATAGCAATCGAATTTCATCACTTTAAGTATACGGGAAACTATAACAATAATCTCTAACAGCTAAAATGTCATTTGAAATGTGGTGTCATGAGTGAGAAGATATGTGGTGGGTGAACCAAATACAGCTAAACTTAACACGTTTAGCAAAGTGAGGGCAGGTTATATCTTAAGTTATCTGACATGATATCACCTGCTTAATAATGCAATTTTACCACTAATTAATGCAGTACGTTGTGTTAACATGGCGACATCGAGAAGTCTAAAAACACTGCTTTCATCTATCGCTTATCACAGGTGAAATTGAAATTTATTATGCGATGACTTGGTGGCGCAGTCGCCATTGGGTTCGGCGACGGAGGTCGTGGGTTTGTGAGTCACACGAATTTTTGTTTGTTCCACTATAGCTCAGTGTTCGGGCGCTCGATTGTAACTAATTCAATATTAAATTATTCGGCGCCGGCACCAATGGAATTGTTAATTTTAAATGCAAACTTATCACGTGCCCAACGGTGAAGAAAAACGTATAAGGAAACCAGCATTTTTTCGAAATATTAAAATATATTTCGAAGATATCTGTAGACCACCAATCCGCAATGACCTAATACCCTCTGTACCAAAGGCCTTTGCCCAACGGTGGGACATTTTGTAGTATGTTACTTTACTTTACTTTTACAAATAATTGTTCCAAATCTAAGTGTTTGTTCCCAATGAGCGTTGATCTCAGGCAGGTGGCCAAAAACATTAAAAACATCATTCACACTTGATGCCGACTAGGGATGGGCAAGTAAAAAAAAATCGAAATTTATCATATCCGCATTTTTAAAAATTATCGATAATTGTCGAATGAAAAATATCGATATATAAATAAGAGCAGTAGAAAGACGAAGAAGAATGTACATGTTTCATACTTCTATTATCTACAGAGTGCGTTATTATCGTCATCGTTACATCAGTTTGTTTTGTTTATGCTGTGCACATGAACGAATACTAACTAATTGGTAGTGTGTGATAGCCTATGTGCGGATACAGTGTTGTCGATTGAGAATTGCACGGATTATAACATCGTTTTTGTATTTGAATTACCTTGTAAGTTACGCATGGTTGCAATTCACCGGATGAGTTAGGTGTAATCAAAAACGGAAAAAATTGCGTTATCGTATTTCATAGATTTACCTTCGGCGTTTGTCCAATAGCATGTATGTAGATAAGATTTAGAATATACCATACACCATGTTCCAGGTGCATTATCTCTTCCGGTGTAGGCAAATCGTCTTGATCGAGTCAATTTGTGGTCACAAGATGCATTACATTGAGTGTTGTTTCATATTATAATATGCCCAATTAGATTAAAAACACCTTCATATAAAAAATGACTGCATTATTAAAAGATGGCGTGATCGTATGGCAATAGAGTCGTCATGAGCACGCCGAAACCAAAACATACTTATACGGCGGTAGGGCCACGCAGCAGCCTCGGCTGTTGCACGAATGGGCAGGCTCGTCCGGGTAAGTACCACGGCCTCACAGAAGACCGGCGTAAAGTGGAAGTGTAATACTTTCGCTTTTCGTCTGGTGAGTGAAGTGGCCGGAGCCCAAGTTCATAAGGTTGTCAACGCATCTGCAACCCTCGGGCGTAGCAGATGTCCAAGGGCGGCGGTTATCATTTAACATCAGGTGAACCGTCTGCTCGCTTGGCAACTTTTCACATAAGAAAAAAACATCGAGTAAACAAGGTATATGCGCGTTTTAGGGTGGTCTTCAACGCTATCATCAAATTAAAAAAAAACATTCGAAAGCCCTTAGTTCCACATACCTCCTAACAAATTGCCCATGTAGTTATAAGGCGTCGACCAACTCGGGGTTTTTTAACAAACCTGTGCGAAAAGTACCTTAATAAATCTTCATAGCTCTTGAGATTAAAAAAAAATATTTCAGGACAAATATTAACACAACATTATCTAGTCCCGAACTAAGCAAAACGAGTACTATGGATATTAGGTAACTGATAAATGATATGAGTTCTTATAAATGTAATAACTATTTTTTTACAAAACATATCCTATCATCAAGGGAAACTTAATAGATTTTCGTCGGATAATTATAAAATAATAAAAATATTTTCGGGACACATTTTTTACATAACAAATAACCTGTTTCTGTGTGTTTTATTGTGCTAATCTCTTACGATGTTAGCCATCACCACATAAATCAACATATAACGTGGTAAATCAACACTTAAAACTTAAGTTAACAAATTCATGGGAGTCAGTAACAGAATGTGAACTCAAGTTGCTTGAGTACGTAAATTAAGAGGGAGTGTCCGGTCGCTGATCTGAATTACACAACTAATCTATATATAGAGTGTTATAATACATGTTATTATACATATACAGAGTGTTTCCATTTCTTTTTGCAGGCCAGAGAGTTCCAGCAGCTCTCGCAAGGCGGTTCACGGGGCTCGAACGTGTCAACGACATCCTCTCAGGGCGAGGTGACCGGGCAGCTTGTGGACCTCGGCGATGGGGAGGTCCGCATAGGAAAGATCACCTTTCACACTGACCAGGTCCTCGGGAAGGGCTGCGAAGGGACCTTTGTTTACAGGTTAGATATTTATTAATTATACGTATAAAATGCCTTTGAAAAGGCATCCGGTCGCAATCAGAGTCGCTAATTAGCTTCTGATTAACCTTTAATTATTCGCTAAATGGAGCCTTATTTATAAGTGAGCTTAGAAATAAGCGAATTTAGTCATTGTTAAACGCTAATTTCCGACGGCCGTCGGCCTTAAGTAAATTGAACACTCAGATGTTTGGTGTCTTCTGAATTTTTACGTAGTTTTAAATTGCCTTATTACAATCCCTGCTGCATATCGAAAATATTGAAAGGATCATTTTAAATTCTTTTATGTGAGATAGTGAGCGAGCTGGTGGTTCACCTGATAACCGCTACCCAATACGCAGAAGTATAAAACTTCCACTTCACGCCGGTCTTCTTTGAGATCGCGGACGGGCCTGCCCATTCGTGCAGACTGTCGCGTGGCTCTACCACTTAGGTAACCCCGGCCCAATGAAAGGCTTTCTAAAAGGTTGGCGACACACAGCGCCACGGCTCGTATTTGTTCGCCGATGTCAGGCATTACAAAAAAGGCGGCGACGCGTGATAAAGCTAGTGCGACACTTGTTTGTGGGCATTCCAGGGGCGTGTTCGACAAGCGAGCGGTGGCGGTGAAGCGTTTGCTGCCCGAGTGCTTCACCTTCGCCGACCGCGAGGTGGCGCTGCTGAGGGAGTCGGACGCGCACGCGCACGTGGTCCGCTACTACTGCACGGAGCGGGACAAGCAGTTCAGGTGCGCGTGCGTCTTTTTGAGGTTATATGTGTGTGGGAATGATCGTGAAATGCTGAGGAACGGAACGTTGAGTGCGAGAGCAAGACGGATAGAATGCGTGAGCGAGAGTGAAGACGTTCGGCGAGTGTGAGCTAGGTGTAAAGACGGAAGACGTGTGTAAAGTTGTTAGGGCGAATTCGAGGCGTATTTGTTAAGAAAGAAGGAAATGAATAATTTTTTTGGAAGTTAGAATTTTGAACCCCCCCCCCCCCCCACTGTAATTCTTTTGGCGCGAAAACGGTGAGAGTGAGGAACGCTTCAGTGTTCTTTATTTTATAGATTTATCATACCCTCCCAATCCGTCATTTTGTTTTAATTTCTAGATACGAAAACTTCATTTCTTTCGTCCAATTCAATGTTTTGTGTGCGTTACAGATATATTGCCCTGGAATTGTGTTCGGCGACACTTCAGGACTACGTGGAGAAGAAATTGAACTTTGAGTGCAAAATAGACGCTGTGGAGGTGCTGCGCCAGGCCACGTTAGGATTGTCGCACCTACACTCAATGGATATAGGTGAGTGAATTAATACAAGATGATCATTGGCTGTTTATGGTTTTAGATTTTATTTCGATCGATGGGATTGGCTCTTGAAATACTAATAATAAGATATCCTAGTTCGGGAGTCAAGGCGCCATTAAATGTGTAACTAAGTGTTCAATAAATCACATTTATTTATTTATTATTCATTTATTTAAAAAAAGAGGTTGCTTATGCAAGTGGCCAACACAAAATGAGTTGTTTGTTTTTTGTTTCCGTCTTTCTTACGCGCAAATCTTCGTCTTGCATTATTTGCAAACATTATAAAACCAATTAACGTCAATGTAAGTAGTAATACAGGGTGGCTTTTATAAAGGTGCTCAAATTCACACAAGACTGAAATAAAAACAAACTTTTTTTCCAAAAAAATTGCCATTCTATTGCCTAAAAAACGGAACTTGTGGACTATGCGGTAGTAATTCATAAATGTGTCGTATACTTTTGAAACGAACTTGTGTGCGTGTTAGTTATGAATGATCGCTCGTAAAATAAATGAGCTGCCCATAAATCACGAACTTTCTGAGATAAGTTCAAATGAATGTAATTAATTGCGAGTGATTTTACATATTTATCATTTTTATATAACATTATTTTTGTCTAGAATTTAATAAAAAAATGGATATACTTAGAAAAGCCTCCCCGTATAATGTGCGTGGCCGTATGTATATACAGACTATCTACCAGTAATAATAAAGACTCTCGGTTAGAATTAATACCAAAATTTAGCACTATATAATGGCACTAGTTATTCGTCGTAAGTGAAAGTTTTTCTGTGTAACAGAATAATGACACGTCTAAATTGTGTGTTGGTTGACTTCGCGGTAGCGCTCCGTTAAGGATCCCGGAAGACGCGGGTTCGGTCCCCGCTGCGGCGAAATTCCCTTCGTCGACTTTTCTAGAGGTTTTAATCTTACGGAGCGCCGTGTACAGTGCACAGGGACGTGAAGCCGCACAACGTGCTGCTTTCGATGCCCACCGGCGCCGGCGAGGTGAGGGCGATGATATCCGACTTCGGCCTGTCGAAGAAGCTGAACATCGGCCGCGTGAGCTTCTCGCGCCGGTCGGGGGTAACCGGCACCGACGGCTGGATCGCGCCCGAGATGATAAACGGCGAGAGGACGGTAATGACACTACGATAGCCTGATTCTGTGCGTGTGCGTGTGTGTCTGTGTCTGTGTGCGTGTGCGAGTATCAAAACGGAGGTGGGGCGATGATTGATTTTTTTTATGCGAAAAGTTGCCCAACGAGCAGACGGGTCACTTGATGTTAAGTGAATACCGTCGCCCATGGACATCTGCTACACCCGAGGGTTACAGCTGCGTTGACAACCATATGAAAATTGGGCTCCGGCCACTTCACTCAACAGACGAAAAGCGAAAGTATTACACTTCCACTTTACGCCGGAACCAGACGTGTCACCAGACGAAACGAAACTATTTGTCATACTTCCACTTTACGCTGGTCTTCTGTGAGGTCGTGGTACCTACCCGGACGGGCCTGCCCGTTCGTGCAACAGCCGTGGCTGCTGCGTGGCCCTACCACCGTAACTGCCGTACTGATACTTCTGTTTATGTGGGTGTGTCCGTGTGAGTTTAGCAACAGAGGGTCTTTGTTTTCGGGTATTGGAATGTGTGCGTATGAGTGAGGGAGGCGGGCCGATGAACTCTGTTCGTTCAGTGCGCGTGTGTGCGAGGAGCGCAACGGAGGGGGGCGATTAATTTCGTGCGCTTAGCGCGTGTGTCTTTGTGTGCAGTATTGGAATGAGTGCGTTGAGTGTCGCGAGGGATTGGAGCGTTGAATTCTGTTCATTTAGTGCGGGTGCGTCCGTGTGCGCATATGTGCGTGGATGCGTGCGTGCGTATTTGTGTCTGGTGAGTGAGCGTGCACATCGGTGAGTATGTGATTTTGCCCGAATAAAAATACCATCACTAGTATTAGGAACGCGTGAAAATTTCACATTTTCATCTATTAGGACGATTGTAAAATTCATGGCTTGTTATATATTAGTCACTTGCTATGCAACGAACATGAATTGTAATATCTACATTAATAGAATTGCATATATATCTAGCTGTTGTGAATTTTGCTCATTTAGTTATTATTTAAATTTGTGTAATTTGCCAGTACATATGTAGTTTCATTCAGGGTTCGGGGGGCGTGCGGGGGGAGAGTACTGCCCTATCATTATCTCCGCTGTCTAAATATGTTAAGTAAAACATCCATAGACATGGGTGGCGGTTTTATCTTAAGGTGTTATAGATGACTATCTACAACACCTCAGGCGTTGCAAACACAACTGCAACGCCTGAGGTGTTGTAGATAGCAAACCTTTTCGCCCCCGGCTACCTCACGTGGCAGACGAAACGCGAAAGTATAATAGTTCCACTTCGTTTCAGTCTTCTGTGATGTTTTTTTTTATTTTAAAAGTTGCCAAGCGAGCAGACGGTTCACCTGATGTTAAATGATAACCGCCGCCCATAGACATCTGCTACGCCCGGGGGTTGCAGATGCGTTGACAACCATATGAAAATTGGGCTCCGGCCACTTCACTCACCAGACGAAAAGCGAAAGTATTACACTTCCACTTTACGCCGGTCTTCTGTGAGGTCGTGGTACTTCCTCGGACGAGCCTGCCCATTCGTGCAACAGCAGGAGCTGCCGCTCCCCCACGAGATAAATGTTTTGAGAACTTTTTTAGCTATTATGTAGTCTCGCTAAGCAATTTCAGCGTCTATTTAACAGCTAATTTCACTCAGGCAAGTTTAAATTTTGCTCGGCCTACCCTCTTGTATAATTAAATTAACAGCGCTTTCTTTCATTTGACCATGCTTGTAGACAACATCCGTGGACATATTCTCGCTGGGCTGTGTGTTCTATTACGTGCTCTCGTGTGGTCACCATCCGTTCGGGGACGTATTACGGAGGCAGGCGAATATACTCACCGGCGATTACAATCTAGAACAGCTCGAGTAAGTATTTGCTATTGGCACCTTGCGCATGTCCTGCAAAATATTCGCTTATAGATTTTGTTTCGAAAATATGTTTCCATAACACTAAACTATAATAGCCTGGGGCACCCACTTGTCGCTTTCATGAATTGCCTTTAGCGATTAATGATAACTTATTTTTTAGTTTACTATTACAATTGTATTTGTATAGTATTGATTTTCTTAGTCATATCTGTCTACCCCGTGGCGATGGAAAGATTTGTCACCGAAAATCGAATAATGTAATCTACGCTACGATTTAGTGTGGATAGATTGCATCATATCTTTATTTGTGGTATCTTTATGTTAACGATTTTCATTTGTTTCCAGAAAAGTGTTACCGGAGGAGGAGTTGCTCGTCACGAAGATCCTTATACGCGCCATGATATCAAACAGGCCGCAGCTTCGGCCACCGTGCGAGACAATACTTAAATATCCAATGTTTTGGGGCAAACAGTCCATACTTAATTTCCTTCAGGTAATTAAAAGGTTAACCCCCGATAACCGTTGGGGAAGAAAGGTTCTCGAGTGGCAGCCTCGTACTGGCCATCGCAGTGTAGGACGACCCCCCACTAGATGGAGTGACGACCTGTGCAAATGTGCGGGAAGTCGATGGATGCAGGTGGCTCAGGATCGTACTTCGTGGCAGTCCATGGGGGAGGCCTATGTTCAGCAGTGGACTCAAACAGGCTGAAATGATGATGATGATGATGATGATGATGAATTAAAAGGCACTATACATAAGCCTATATTTTACATTCGGATGATTATTTTATTGCTTTGTAATTAATATTTCATCATCAAGTATTGTGGAAGCACATTGCACTTTGCAAAACAAGCACTTCAGAACAATTATTTATAGGATAAGTAAATCTTATATATAAAAATGGATTGCTGTTCGTTAGTCTCGCTAAAATTCGAGAACGACTGGACCGATTTGGCTAATTTTGAAATATTTGTGGCAGTCCAGGGAAACCTTCCCGACGATGAGAAACGATGAGAAATTATGGCAAAATTGCATGAAAATCGAAATAGCAAACAATTTTGTTTTCCCATACAAACTGTACCTGTCAACCTGTCAATTATGTCTGTGTAACCTGTCAAACACTTCCAAATACCCAAGAAAAAATTTATATGGCAAAATTTAAATTTATAGGCTTTGTTGTCTTGTTAAATTAAGTACCACGACCTCTCGGAAGACCGGCGTGAAGTGTATGTGCTATATGCCTTTTGTCTCATGAGTGAGGTAGCCGCTTTCATTAAAAACCACGCCCAGTTTATTAAAAGTTGTCTACGCATCTACTGGGTTTTGCAAATTGTTGTTTTGAAAATACGTTTTGGCCGGCGGTTTTCACTTAACATCAGGTGGACCGAACTTCTCACATAAAAAAAAATTAACATGTCTGCGGCAGGACGTGAGCGACCAAGTGGAGAGCTGCCCGTGCGGGGCGGAGCACCCGCTGGAGAGGGGCGCGCGGCGGGTGGTGCGCGACGACTGGCGCGCGCACGTGAGCGCGCCCGTCGCGGGCGACCTGCGCGCGCGGCGCACCTACCGCGGCGAGCGCGTCGCCCACCTGCTGCGCGCCATACGCAACAAGGTACACTCGCCCGCGCGGCTACTCACTGCGCGAATCACTGCGCAGTACAGTTCGATGGGTTAGATGCGGCTTGTCTGTGGCGAGAGCATTATCAAGGTACACTCGCCCGCGCGGCCACTCCGCTCGCTACGTCGGACTATCGACGGTGTACACTCACTGTGAGAATCACTGCGCAGTACAGTTCGATGGGATAGATGCGGCTTGTCTGTGGCGAGAGCATTATCAAGGTACACTCGCCCGCGCGCCACTCCGCTCGCTACGTCGGACTATCGACGGTGTACACTCACTGTGAGAATCACTGCGCAGTACAGTTCGATGGGTTAGATGCGGCTTGTCTGTGGCGAGAGCATTATCAAGGTACACTCGCCCGCGCGGCCACTCCGCTCGCTACGTCGGACTATCGACGGGGTACACTCACTGTGAGAATCACTGCGCAGTACAGTTCGATGGGTTAGATGCGGCTTGTCTATGGCGAGAGCATTATCAAGGTACACTCGCCCGCGCGGCCACTCCGCTCGCTACGTCGGACTATCGACGGTGTACACTCACTGTGAGAATCACTGCGCAGTACAGTTCGATGGGTTAGATGCGGCTTGTCTGTGGCGAGAGCATTATCAAGGTACACTCACCGCGCGGCTACTCCGACTATCTACGGGGTACACTCGCCTCCGGAAATCTATGTTGCTTTGAGCCACTGCGCAGTACAGTTCGATAGGATAGATGCGGCTTGTCTGATCAACGAGGTACACTAGCATTCAAGGTACTTTGACTCGCTACGCAGTGAGAGTATCGACGAGGTGCACTCGCCCCCGAATCTACTTCGACTCGCTACGCAGAGTTTCGTCGAGGTACACTCGCCTGCGAGGCTTCTTCGGCTCACTAAGAGTAAGAGTAATAGATCAGGTATTCGCATGTAAGGTACTTCGACTCGCTACGCAGTGAGAGTATCGACGAGGTACTTCGACTCGCTTCGTAGTAAGAGTATGGACGAGGTCGAAAGTCTATGTTGCTTTGAGCCACTGCGCTGTACAGTTCGGCGGGAGGTCGGAATCTAGAGGGGAGAGTGCTAGCGAGGTACATTCGCCTCCGAACTTTCAAGATTCTTCGAGTCATTGTGCAGTAAAGTTTAGTGATACATGCGTGGTTGCGGACGGAAGTGTTAGCGAGGTACACTCGTTAACATTCCGCTTTATTTATAATATCCTAACAATAACGGCAATGTCTTAAAAAAACATTCCTGTTTCCAGAAACATCATTACAGGGAACTGGACCCTGAAGTTCGCGACAGTCTTGGCAAACTGCCAGACGGCTTCGTCACGTATTGGCTGCGGCGCTTTCCTCTGCTCCTGCCACACGTCTGGCTCCAGATGCAACAGTTCAGACAGGAGGACATCCTGCAAGCGTACTACCCACACAGCTTCACCTTTAGTAGGGAAGATGTCTTTGAGTTCAGCGATGAGAATGATTATATAGAAGAAATGCCTCCGGAAGTGTGTGACCCGGACAAAAATGAACTGTTCATTAAGAGTAGGATGTATTTCGAAGTGAGAAAAGAACCGGAGAGATTTTTGAGTTACAGGAAAGATGGTTCTCCCAGGAAGACAGCAGACTGGAGAACTGAGCAGGGGTCAGAGTTAAGGTTACGGCAAGATGACGTAAGACTTAGGGACAGACATTATAAAAAGAGGGAGAAGAAGAAAGAAGATGTTCCAAAATGGTGTTTACCACCACAGTAGATTAATAGCCACAAATTTAATACAAATAGTATATTAATATATTATTGTTATTACACATATAGTAATTTACAAAGAATTTATTCATTATTAAGTCCTACATAGTTTTACAAGGTCATTGAATTTAATCATAAGTCTCAATAATATATGTTAGTTACTCACAGTTAGTATATAACCTTGAAATTAAATAATACTTTGCATTACATATATTAGACTTTTAATATACATATTAGATTTATTATAAATTGTAAAGATATACATGTTATTGCAATTATAAACAATTACATTTTTACTTACATATGTATAGAGTAAAACCGTGTACTAAATGGAATATCTGTAAATTAGGAACTTGTGTACTTAATTCATGTCAGTACTGTCCATAAGTCTATGTATTATGTGCATAGTTAAGGTATGTGTAAAGTTGTATATAATAATGAAAAATTGGACGAGATGGGACCAAATTAGATTTGAGCATAGAATTTATCAGTAAAAACTTTTCTCTTTGTAACATTTACAAACATTCCTTTATGTCTTACCTGTCTTTGTGTATGTATAAATATACAATAATGCAATGCAAAATAAATGAATTATTTGTTACCTGATAGCTATCAGAAACAATAAATTCGATACAATTAGCTAATTACCATATTTATTTTATTTTTAACAATTACACTAATAAAACATTATATTGAATTATTCACAGACACCAAAAGTGACGTCAGTGTAAGTGTATATGTAATTGGCTTTAGATTATAACTATATGTAAGAAATATTACAAATGGCATTCTATCAGACCTGGTTGTCAAGCACTTTTACAGTTAGCTTTTGTCAAAAACCGAAAAATTTTCTTTGGTGTACAAATTGAATACATGCAAATAAGTGTTGAAATCATTAATTATTCACGGTATTTCTTTTTAAGTGAACATTTTATTAGTTCTATTATGATTTAAAAAATACTGTTATTACCTGCTAGATTTGTTTTCATTAATAAATATCATTATTGTTAATAAGAACAAAAAAGTAAACTGTTTTTTGTGATCAGATAAACGGAATAACTTAGGGCTGTAATTAAATGCCATGTTATTATTTTATTTCAAAGCAGCTTTTCCCTGAAGCATGTAAAAGTGTAACATGTATTCACTAGTTCCATGGTTTTATTGTTACTGTGCTTTAATGAGTTCCTGTAATATTTTCCCCGTATGTTAAGTAATAGAAAATAACAAAATGCACAAACAATTTTGTTAGTTAATAACTTATAGATGTAATGATAAAAATGTGATAATTGTATGTAATTTGCTTTAGTAAGATTTTGAGGTTTTTTGACAATGTAATAATTGTTGAAATCATAAGAATTAAGCATGACAAAACAACGATAATAATATATTGTCCTAAGTTTTTCTAATATCATAAGAAATTAACATATATGTGTAGAAGAGTATTAGGGAGTTTTTATGGTTTGTACTAATTGTACACCTCACAAGAAAGTTTTATAATTATAACACAATTTGGAATTAATTTATAGTGAATCAAATGTGAGATTTATGAAAAAAAATGTATATTTATTATAACAATTATGTAGATTGTCTTAACAAAAATATTTTCTGTACAGGTACCATGTTAAACACAATCTTATTTTTTTTAATTTAGGTAAGTGGCAAACGAGCTGGCGGTACATCTGATGTTAAGTGATTACCGTCGCCCATGGATATTTGCAACACACTTAGGGGCCCCGGCCACCTCACTCACCAGACGAAACGCAGAAGTGTAACACTTCTATTTATGCCAGTCTTCTGTGAGGTTGTAGTACTTACCTGGACGTACCCATTTGTGCAACAGCGAATACTGTTGCGTGGGCCTACCACAGTTAATTTGTAATTCTGATTGTTAAGTGTTACAGAATGTAGAAAATTGTTGTTTCTGGTTTATTTGTGTCTCTTAGATATTGGTTATAACTAACAGTTATACTTTAAGTGATTTTTACAACTTTTTTATAAAAGTATATAGTAACTCTTGATTTAATATATGGCTTTTAAATAAAAACAATGTATGAATGTATCCTTATAGCTTTTATTATAATTAAAAAGTCCTTAAGATAAAACTTAAATTCAAGCTGTTATACCCCTGTATATCACAATTTTTATATGTAAATACAGATATTGGAGCAAATTAACAAGATTTAAGATGATACAAAATTGTGTGGTAATAAAAAAAAATGTGGGTTACAATTTAAGACAACATAACATAAAATCAGTCTTTGTTAATGGACTATGGCACATTAAGGTAAGTAATATTTTTGTGCTTACAGTAATTAATACAATATAAGCATTTAATGTCTTATTTCATTTTATGGATAGATTTGCAATAATATAGAATTGATAGTAATTATCTCACTAGTTTGTTTTCACCAAAAGTCATTTTAAATATTGAGTTTCATTGAATTTGTTTGTGTGAAAATTTTTGGTGATTTCTATAAAATGTAAATATAAAATTGGCACATATAATTTGTTTAGTTTTCTTAAATACTAATGTTAAGATATTTTAATTATTTTGTCAAATATCACATACCCTATTTTATGTCTGACAGCTTAGCCATATATTTTACTTGCAAATTTTTCTATTAAATCTATAATGGTTAAATGGACTTTCTTTTTGGCAATGTCTAAAGCAGATTTTTCTGATGCATTCAATAATAATATATTTGGATTATATTTGATTAATACCTTTGTGGCACCAATATTTCCACTGTCGCTGGCATTATGCAAAGGTGTGCTACCGGCTAGATCAATCGCATTTACATCGGCACCGTTGTCAAGTAGTAATGAAATAATCTTGGTCTTATTGTATATTGCGGCTAAGTGTAGAGGAGTTTGGCCTTTTTTATTTACGCAGTTTACATTAGCTTTGTTATTTAATAGAATTTCACACAGCTCCTCTATACCATAACGCGCGGAGTAATGTAACGCTGTAAAACCATTAATATCAGAGAAATTTACGTCGAACTCTGGTATCTGCGGTCTGGAAGTTTTCTCACAATACTGACATTCACAAAGTGGGTGACAACGTGACTTATTGGAAACAAGTGAACTTTTATTATTTGGGTCATAATCAATATTTAAGTAAAAACAAGCGAGTTTAACATCGCCATATGATATTGCTTGTAAAATTCTTTCTATTCTCTTCAAGTTTTCAACAGTTTTTGATGCATTATTAGTGACATCTTTGGTTCTGAAACCTAACTTACTTAGGCTTAATTTCTCTGAGTTATCTGATTTGCAATTCAAAGTTTTTATGTCTGAGCTGGTGATATGAATGTACTCATACAAACTGGGACTACTAGATTTCAATACTTGCAAAATTTTAAGGTTATGAGCGCAATCAAATGCTGTTTTGTTATATTTATTTTGCAGAGACGGTTCGGCACCATTTTCTATCAACAGTCGTGCAATGCCTTCATAACCCCATTTAGCAGCCAAATGTAATGGAGGGTTCCCACTTTCATTTGTACAATTTATGTTCATTTTCTTCCTACCATGTTCTGCAAAGTATATGAGAGCTTTAACACAATTCAGGTGCCCATTATTGACAGCCAAATGCAATGGTGTATTTATATCTATATTTGTCTGGTTGATATCTGCTCCTGAATGCAATAATAATAACAGAGCATTTTGATGACCCCGTGAAGCTGCATAGTGCAGGGGTATACATTCATTAAGATCTTTAGAGTTAACATCAGCTCCCATATCAAGAAGAATCTCTACTATTGCTGATTTTCCATGGATACATGCTACATGTAGTGGTGTGAGACCATGACTGTCTCTTGATGTAATTGTTGGGGAAGTTTTTAAAAGGTTCCTTGATATTTTGCACCAACATTTTTTGCAATTACACAATGGATGACATAGTTTTTGATAAATTTCTGTTTCACCGTTACAATCATCATCATCATCATCTTGATCATTGTTATTTAGAGATTCCTCTAGAGCAATTTTAAGAATGCTTTTTTCATTTTGTTGAATGCTCTTTAAATGTCTTTGATTTCTTTCTAATATATCTTGCAATTGTTCTACATGGTTAGCTTTAATTAATTCAAAAACATATTCAAGAGTCTCTTCTCTGCTGTTGCTGTCAGATGTTGCAATTGACTCAGTCAAACTATTTCTTCTTTGCTTATTGTCCTGTAAATTTTCTTCAGTGAGGTAACCATTGTAATAGTACGATTCAGGATCTGGAGGCCCTGTTAAAGCACCAGATTGTATATGCTCTATAACAGCTTCTAGTGTAGTTATTAAGAACGCACTTTCATCAACATCTTTACCAGCACAACTAAAACGAAATTCTTTCATATATGTAAGTTGACTGTACCAATTTGGCAAACCTGATTTAATTAGTAGAAATACAAACACAGGTAATAGATCATCAGCAGTTAATAGAACAACATTATTACTGTCATCTATTTTGTTAATTGCATTTAAAGCTTGCTTTAAACAAATTATTTTTTCCAAAGAAGTATTATGTGTATCTATTTTTGAAAGTATTTGTTTTGATTTAGGCACTGCATGGTATAATTCCTTTTTTATGTCCAGATCTCTTAGCTGAATGTCAGACATATTTCTAATTTTCTTGTTGAGGTGAGAGTCCTCATAAGCACAACTAGTACATATAGATTTAAACAAAGTTTCAAACAAATGATGCTGCATATAGCTTTCTACTGCTAACTTTATATTATCAAGAATATGTTTAGATGATTTTGATTTTTCTCTAAGTCTTCGATTCTGTAATGTTGTTTGAAGGCATTGTGTATAAAGATCACCAACTGTCTCTTTCAAAGTCCCAATGCCTATAGGCAATGATGGGTGCTTTTTTAAGAATTGTTGAACATTCTGTTCAATTTGATCTAGTACTTGACGGCCTGCTGCCTGTGTCCATAGAAGGTCAATACAGTCATTTATGCTTAAAAGGCAATCTTTTGTGTAACATTGTCACCAGTTGTAGCACAGGGT